ATTTCGAATGAAATTTAGGAGAACAGATTATTGACGATTTGTTTTTAAAGACATTCAATATAAATCTCTTTGAGTACAAATAACAAAATTAAACTAAAAGTTGTGTCTACTTAATAAGTCTTCATCTTCTTCATCATCAGCACAAAAAAGTCCACTGCTGTGCATAATGAGATCTCATTCGTTAATTTGTAGGAAGGTTTTGCCATAATCGCTATGCTTGGCAAGATGGTTATGTAATTTACATTAGCCATGAGAGCTTTCTGACATGCATTCATCTTACGGCACCCACGGAACAATAAATTGTCGCAGGCCGCGCTGAATAATATCAACATAACAAGATAAAATTATGTACGCTGTATCGATAACTCGGTAGTGTAATAGCTAATCATTTGGTTGCGGCGCTGCGAGGCGGCAGGTTCGAATCGCATCCACACGAAACAAGTGTTTGTACGACCTAGAAATATTTGTTCCGGATCTGAATGTTTGTCCATGTGCATTTCAGTATATTTTTTAAAGAATATGGGTGACGAACGAGCACACAGGCTACTTCATGGTAAGTGGTTGTTGTGGCCCATAGACATCTAGATGTATTTTCAATTTGGAATCACAATGAAGATGCGTTGTCACCCGTGAGGACTAAGATGAAATGCCTCACCATACGAAACACAGCAGTATTGAGCTGCTATTTTACGCAGGTATTCTATGAGCGTGGTCCTGCCCCGGTCGAGCCGACCCAATCGTACTATAACCATAATATAACTACAGCGTGACTCTACCACATATGGAATCAAAGCTATGTAAAACACCTCCAAAATCCTAATGTGTTCTTTTTAATCAGTAACACTAACAAAGCGAATATTGCATTAATGTAACACCGATCAGGTCAAGAAAGGACCTATGTGACATCGATTCATTACGCCAGTGAGCGTATGCTGAATGGCTGCCGTATGTCTAATCGCCTAGTGGTAAAACAAAAGGCGTTGCATTGTGGAGCGATGCTGCACCATCCGTGGGGCACAGTAAATTTTTAGCAGGATTTTTTTTATAAAATAAGGGTTAGGTACAGTTAGGTTATAGTCACCCTGTTCTATATTTTTTTATATAATAAGAAGTGACAAACGATTACACAGTCCACCTAATGGTAAGTGGATGCTGTGACATCCACATCTATCCTCGCTAGGAATCAATTAGCAGACGCGTTGTCACCGCTGAGGACTTAGATGGAATGCCTCGTTTTAAGTAAAAAGGGTCTTCGGCTCTCTACACTTATCAAACGAAACACAGCAGAATTATGCTGCAATCTTATGCTGATATTTTATGAGAACGTGGTCCTCCCCCGGTCGAGCCGACCTATTCGTGCTAAAACCAAAATTTTGCTGCAGTGTAGCTTTAACAAGTTAGGTATTAAAGCAGAACTTGAAGTCTGTTAACGTATTATTTATCTTAAAAATAATGTTATTTGATCATTGCTACATATTAAAAGATGTAAAAATTATTAAATTTGACAAAAAATTACTTTGCGTACATCCGCTTTGTCAAATTTAGTAACTTTTTGTCAAATTTAATATAATGGACTTCCGCAAAGTAACGCCTGATTCTATTAATTATCGTAAAAATTATTGACAGCAATACAATATTTTTCAAAAACTTCTCCGACCTAAATAACGTAAATGTACGTAATGTTAAGTTTACGATTTTTTGTATTAAAAATGTACGTACTTTAACAAATTATGGATAAAATTGGCTTGAGTTCGAATAATGAAGACATTGTTAAAGGCAGTTTAAATTTTAGAATTGCCGTGACATAGGCAATTATTGTCCACATACGCCAACGTAAAGAAAGCCGCTATTAGCAAATCCGACACGTATGCTGGCAAGTGACGACGCTCTGCCAACAGTATGTTCTGGAAATAAATGAATCGACAAAGGTTAATTATTTTTTTTTAAATTCGTATATACAAAAACGTAAAAAATAATTTGAACTGAACTTCTTAGTCAAATATTATAAAATTAAATTATAGATTCGAGCAGTATATTCTAAGTCTATGAACTCGAGAGACAATTTGGAACCTACTAGTTATCAAACTGTATCTTTTTACACATTTAGTAAAAAAGCATTATTCACATTGAGCATAATTCGCTAAGGCTATTTCTAAGCTGGACTGCTAGTAGTGGCAATTTATTTAATACCGCTGGATCTCATTAATTAAGTTTAAGTACAAAATCAAATTTTGATATAGAAACCTAACTATACTGATATAGTGGTCAAAGGTTTCGGCCGACCCTTTGACTACAGAGAGAAGAAGTAACAAAACTGTTGAGAACATTCTAATTCTTATTTCAGGTACATATCCAATCATACAATTTGGCGGCCCTGCCTGTAGAGGCCTGAGCCACCCTGCGAGGGTTAGTGTTGGATCATCATGCGTGCGCGTTTTCTCTATATAAAACGCCCGCACGGCGGCGACGCATCAGTTTGTGACCGTTTCGGGAGACAGACACAACATACTGTAAGTACCTCTTATTTCTGATATTATTTTTTTTTCGAAATTTATTAAACTCTACTTATTCTGGCATTTTCATCCATGAAATTATGTATACGTTAAATGAATGTAGTAAAAACAATAACAACAGCAATATTTTTTAAGAAAAAAGTTATTCATGGGATGGTTAGGGACTGTGAGACGTGAGACGAACGAACTCCTCAATCGTGGGGGCAAGGTCGCTTTCTATTTGACCCGGGACCGGTCTTTAATCCCTGTGCCCTTTGCGTCAACACTTGCGCAAGGTTAAAGAAAGTTTGTTTGTAAACAACCGGCTCCTGTACTATTTTTTATATATTTTTATGAATAAATGGTTAGGTTATGTAAGATTCGCACGGGAAATTATTTTAATAAAACAACTTTTACGGATTTCATTTTCTTTTATTTTATATTTTAACTCTCGATCCCGAAGTTTCATGTGTATTGTAACGCTCGAATAATTTAAATTGATAATTATTATAATATGATTTTTTAGTTTTTAAATACTATTAATAGAACAGAGTAGAATATTTTGTATTCAATATAGATTACATGTAATTCTTATTGTATCTAAGTAATTTTTTCATTCACCACTGGTTCGGAAAAAACCTCTGTCCTGGGAAGAACCAGCAAGAAACCCAGCGGAACCATTTAAATATATATATATATATATATATTCTTGAAGGTAGTATTTTGGCATTGTATAGCACTTATAATTTATACCTATTTTTAATATTAGGTAATATAATAACTAACTAATATAACTAAATAATATTAGGTAAAGCTAATATGTAACGGAAAAGTTATGCAAACACACGAAACTTGTCTGATGACACCTAGAACTTGACATTCAACTTTTAACTTTTTATTTTTGCAGTATAAATAATAAGATGAGCGTGCCTTATTGGCGATATTAATCATATTCCGTGCGTCGAACCTAACGGGATTATTAAATAATCACAAAATCGATTAAATTATAATAATTATAATAATAAATTTATAATCACAAAATCGTAAACCTATTGGTGTTTACGAAAGTCATGTAGGTATAAACCTTTTATTTTTACACTTAGAATAAGAATCGTACATACTTATGAATAACAACTTAGGACACTTAGTAAAAATGAAAAGCATAGTATTTGAAAAAGTTCAATTTTCACATCAATTCTTGACTTTTTAGATAACCGATTATAGTCCATATCGTAATTTAATTTAATTAATAGTAAGTGGGTTCTGCAGTCCACGAACACTCGAAACAAACTTCAAACAAAGGCTAATAATTAAAAATTTTGTACAGCCGACTTCAATATAAGTTATTAAGAATAACTCAAAAACTATTGGTCTGACCTTGATCAAATTTATATGGGACCACACGAGAAGTACCAGCTTTCAAAAAAAAAAAAAAGAATCATTGAAATCGGTTCACACGGTAAAAAGCTATGAGATAACACACATAAAAAAAACATACAGTCGAATTGAGTACCGTCTCCTTTTTGGAAGTCGGCAGAAAATGCGTTGTCACCTCTGTGAACTAAGATGGAATGCTTCACAGTCTATAACTGTAATAACTAATAACACTGTACAATGTAGTCTATTGTTTATGCTGTAGTAGTGGTTAGATGGCAGAGATCGGTGAGATGGTGGTACCTGCCTATCTAGAATAAATAACTAGACGGATTCCTAGCAACAAATGGAATCCTACCACTAAGTTTTTATACATGGTAGAGCCATGTTCCAACTATATTAGTAGTATAGTTGTAGCACGAATGGGTCGACTCGACCGGGGAAGCACCACGCTGTCACAGAATACCAGCGTAAAATGGCAGCTTGACACTGCCGTGTTTCGTATGGTGAGTGTAGAGAACCGGAGACCCATTTTACTGGAAAAGAGGCAGATTACTCCTCACGGGTGACGACGCATCTGCATTTTGATTCTTTATTGAGGATAAATGTATGTAGATGTCTAGGGGTCACAGCAACAACTTACCACCATTGTGTGCTCGTTTGTCACCCTATCCTATAAAAAAAGGTTGATTTAATTATAATATTAAAATAAATTGCTTAAATTAGTTTCACCATTTCAAACTCATATTTATCATGCCTAAATATTCTATGATACAGTACTTTTTGTGTATACCCAAATTATGTGGTAGCAAGAGCGTTACAATAACAGAAAAGTATCTCAATTTTAATAAAAGTAGAGACCTTTTTACAAATTAATCACTAAACGCTAACATTTCTTTGCTATCCATCCAAAGAAATATACTCGCACTAAATACCAAATCTTCCCCGACAAATTCTTTAAATGACAGTGAAAACCGCGTTAAAATCCATCAAGTGGTTTTAAAGTTAAGCAAATACACCGAAATGCGCGGATAAGAAGCTTCGTTTTTATATTATTTAGTGATTACGCAAGTATCATGGACATAATAAAGTAACTAATTAGCTAAACCCGGATTTTTTTTTTGTTGACAGACAATGCAGGCAAGGTCGCTGATCATATTGGCTGTTCTGGCGGTGGCGAACGCACAATTCCCAAATGGGCGCATCCTGGAACCTCCAGTGCCTTCACACTGTGCTAATCGCGTCATCCACGAAAGATATTCCGATAGTAAGTAAAATTTTTGGTCATAAAGGAAAAATTAAAATACGTAATTTCTCTTGAATGCGACCAAATAAAGTATAATAAGGCATTCAATATAAATTATTAAGGATAACTCAAAAACTACTGATCCGACATTATATGGCACCAAATGAGTAGCACCTGCAACCAGAGCAAATAAAAAAAGAATCATCATCAAGAATCAAAACTTATGAGGTAACACACATAAAAAACATACAGTAGAATTGAGTAGCTCTTCCTTTTTGAAGTCGGTTGAAAATGATTGTTTAGGTTATCTATTTCTATTATTCTGAAGAAATGCCATAGCCAATCAATACTGCTTGCCTTTCGTAAACAGACACAATGTTTTTCAGTAAACACACACACACACTTCACATTAAGGTGATCCATGTCTATAATTAGTTATATATATATACTAATTATTACGTTTATTATGTCTTAATCTTACGCACAATTTTATTTTTTTATTTTCTACCAAACATCATTGAAAAATTGTTTAACAAAGCCATTGTGAGCCTGAGAGAGAACCTTGTATACCTAACATAGGTACTGTTTTATGTATAATGCTTTTTAGTTGATGGATAGTCGAATTAAAATTAATTTATATTTTCAAGCAGTTAAATTCTTCTCTATGTTGTCACTTGTATCTAATACTTGCTTACAATAATGTTATTAAAACATGGCATTTGAATTGTATTTTCTGTTTACCAAAATTTAAAAATATATAAATTTCAGTTAGTATCAGTATCAGTTAGTAAAGATTTTGGCTTCAACAGCGATGACCTTAACACTAGACGAACCCAATAGATCGAAAAAATAAAACCCAGTCGCTATGAAGTAACAACTTGCAAAGCTATACTCGTATTAGGTATATTTTCACATTGCTATACGAATTAGAATTATTATTATAATCGAAACATGAATAATATATAATTAGTAAATCGATGAATAATTTTTAAATCGTGTAAAAAAATCAATCGATAGCACTTTGGCTTCCTTTGAAAGCGGACTTTTTAAGAAAGTGAATAACAACACAGAGTAAATAATAGGTAAAACTACAAACTTAAAAGCTGTGTTGCGTAGTACTATTATTTATTCTGTGGCTGTGTAGTGATAAAACACCTTTTGTTTTGAGTTATAAAAGTTTTTACTTATAGTAAGATAATATATTAAACTCCCATAAAATATCCATCCATCCATCAATCCATTACAGCCTAAAAGTCCACTGCTGAACATAGACCTCCACCATAGATTCGACCGTAGGTTGCCACGCCTGGCAGACTTGTTAGCAACGGCAGCTATGTTTATTAATTTAATATCAGGACAAATGTGCTGCCCGTCTCCTGTTTCAGTTTCCCTCTAACGCCTCTTGCAACATCGACGGGAAGACTGGGGGTATTGTGGCCCGTTCAATATGAGTGTTTCTAATAAATATATTGTTAATCAATATTGTTTGCTTTCAATGCTGTTCAAATTTTAAAAAATAATACGTGTTTGTGCCATAAATTCTCAAAAAATCAAGATATACTACTGAAAGCGCATAACAATAAAAGTTCTTTTTACTTATGACCTAAGCTGTTATTTAAACGGTGAGCTTCAAGTTTTATCGCGGTATCTTATCCGGATGTAAGATAAAACGACCTGTTTTCGAGTTGGAATTTGTGTAATTCCCCAACCTGATAACATTGTCTAGTATAAAAAAAAACACTTACCGTTAAAAGTTCGTCGTTTTTAAAGTTTTTAGCAGATTTGAAAAAAGAAGGATGTTCCTAATTCGAATTTATGTTTCTTTTTATGTGTATGTGTATATCTTTATCAGTAATTGTGATTATCTTTATATATAAAAATTACGTGTCACGTTGTTTGTCCGCGATGAACTCCTTAACTACTGAACTGATTTCAATGAAATTTTGCACACTGTTTGCAGTTTGGTCCAACTTGAGAGATAAGATAGTTTTTATCCCGATATGTGACCCTCAATTTTTTTATTGCTAATCTCAGGAGTTTTTTTAGGGAAGCAAATGGTCGTCGGAAAGGGCAGAACAACGTCTGCCTGGCCAGCTAGTTATCTCTTTTCAAAGCGGAATTACGAGACTTTATTCTTTTAAAAATTTAAATGAAACGTAATACAAATATGTCCTGTTCTAATATTTTTTTTAATTAGACCATCTATTATATATTTTTACAACACACCATGCAATCTTCTAATTAATACTAATTTTAACCATCGTATTTCATAGCCCGGATAGCTCAGTCGGTAGAGCATTGGACTTTTAATCCAAGGGTCCAGGGTTCAAGTCCCTGTTCGGGCGGTGACTAATTTTTGTACACAATTTATGAATGTTGTTTTTTTATATTTAACTTTGTATATTTATTATACTAATTTCACAATGGAAATGTCAACGCCCGTATCAAGTATATATAATGTATATTCACTGTTTCACCACTCTTATCATATCTCCCATATTTTTTTTTATTTTACTATGACTACTAGAGACGCAACACTGTAATAATATAAAACACATTTATTTAAGTGAATAAAATAGAATAAAATATTTTTCATTCAATAGAGATTTATAGGAATATACATAATACAAATTTATAAAAATATTCTACTATTACCACAGGAAAATCCAACCTGGTAAAACTGGTTAGAAGCTAAAACTAGTAAAAACCCAGTGCATAACAATAAAAAAATAACAATCGTATCTAATAATAACAGCCAACATCGCGATCTTAAAGTTTAAAAAAGCGCGAAACATTATTTTGTGATCGAATATATTACCGAATATATTTTGATAGATATAGAAATTAATTAATTTTTATTTTAAAAAAAGTTAGCTATAACTAACTGATAAAATGAACCGCCCGTGAGATTGCACTAGCTGCAGCATATTTTTTGCCAGCATTGTGTTAATTAATCATAAACGATATCGTACTTCGGAGATAAAAACTAATTCCACTACGATTCGCGATTCAAAATTCTTCAAGCGTTTAGTCTACTACAAGAAAACCTTATCCTCGTTCTGTGTCCTTTTTTACATATTAATGTTTGTTTGTAGATAAGGGATATTTCTTCTCGTGGCGGGACCCGGCACTTCGAGGTGTTGAGGAAGACTGGTTGAGTGCAAGAAACTACTGCAGGCAACGGTGTATGGACCTTGTCTCATTGGAAACCAGCGATGAAAATGAATGGGTCAAGGCACGGATCGTGCAGGACAAGGTAAACTAATGCTATATACATAAAAAACTTAATATTTCCTCTATAATTAAAATTCTCCCGGATAAGTTTTTCGTAAACATTCGTATTAAGTACGTGGAGCTCTTCACACAATGTCCGAATCCGATAGATGACTGTTACGGGCTGATGAGAAAGAAAAAATTAAGTCACCTATTGACAGTGACCTTTTAAATTTTATCAAACTCTCGCCGATACTTATACAATGCAAATTAGTCAGTCTTTAATATTGCACAATATAGAGTATACATAAGCTAACTTGCTTATGTGTACCCTAAGCTGCACAATTACTACTTATACTTAACTAATAACAGTAATCTACATGCATGGATAATCGAGTGGAAAACAAATATCGCTAGCGACACAAAACACCCGCCTTGACCTGTATGACTATGACGCGTCTCGCAAATTAGCAAAATGTTCACGTATCTCGCGAAATCGTATAAAGAATAGAACAGTCGCCTAATTCAAGCGTGATGTGAAAATGTATAAAAAGAAACTAAACCCAAAAAGAAATGAAAGCCGCGTGTTCTTCCATAACGAATTTAAAGTACGTATTTTCGCTGTCGTCATCGATACCGTACCAGTTTCACTTTAGTCTAAAAGCGAAAAGTAGAACTCGATTAACAAGGGGTATTTCCATCATGTCGCACAAGAATAGAATCGGTTACAGACTATAGTGTTTAAATATTTTCCCTTTCCAGATTTCACTGTTTGTTATCGATGAAACAGTGTCTCGTTTCGTGGGAAGCGTTTTTTACTTCACACTGTATTTTGTTATTGTAAACTACATCAATACTCAATACTCTTCTGAGAAGAGTCCTCTCCCAGTAATGAGTTATAAGTAATCGGCTCCCTCCGTAACTTACATTAATCATCAATACTGCCAACTATGAGACGGAATTAAAAATTTTAAGTTTCATTTACAGGTTTTATCTTGCATTACTAGAATGTGCTAATTTTTACTTGCCTTTAGGTAAGACATTACGAAATAAAATCTATAGAAATTATAATGGGTAGTCCCCCGCCGCGTTTGTTTGTATGTTTGTTCGCGCTAATCTGAGAAATTATCTTAGAAGGTTTCATTTAGTTTGCCAATAGACAGACTGATTCATGAGTGACGTTTATGTGTATAATTTATGAATATTTTTGCAAATTAGCTAATATTAAGATGAAATTAGTCTATTAAAAGGAAAAAAGCATGCCTACTCAGCTGAGACCTTACATAGCGTACGCTGCGTAAAATGAAGATAATCTATGGTGGAATTATTTTTCCTCAACTCAACGAATTCTAATAAGTCCTCGTTATGTTTGTCTATCAGATTAACTCGCAATGACAAAAAAGAAAGCTTTAAAAATACACGCAGTAAAACTCCAGCACATGCGAGTCATTTGTACAACAATGTAACCAACCTAACAAGTGGTAAAATTAAAAATTTTGTAAAACCAACTTCAATATAAATAAAATGAGAAAATTATCTGTACTTAAAAACAGAGACGTGGGCGAAGTTGCATCAGCGAGGCCTCTTTTCTTTCGTTTCCAAGATCTACCCTACATACTTATAGCTATTAATTCCCGACAAGTAGTTACAACGGCCTCGCAGTCGCACTTAAGAGGGGCTTCTTGCGAGGCCCCAAACAAACACGCTTTTAAATTTGTGACGTTATTTTTCGAACGTAAAAGTGATCAAATTAATTAGTCATCATGGTAAAGTCTGGGGGTATGGCATGTTAAGGGGCCTCGCGAGGCATCATTTAAGTGGGCCCACTACGCCCACGCCTAGCTACGTCACTGCTCAGATCTTGCTCAAATTTATATGGGACCACATGAGAAGCACCAAATAAAAAAAGAATCATCAAAATCGGTTCACCTAGAAAAAATTCTACAAAAAATACAGTTTATTTTTTACAGGATAAGGGTGACAAACGAGCATACATTCCACCTGATGGTAAGTGGTTGCTGTGGCCCATAGACATCTACATCTATCAATCTACCATTGTTTTACGTGTAGGTACCAACTTTCTAAACTCTAAGTTCTGGACGTTCAACCTTTATAATGATGAAATTATTTTTACTCCTCGAGTTTCAGCTTCTTTTGCATTAAAGTAAATAATTTTTGCCGAATTAACCTTAAATAAATGCTTAATTGTGCCAAAAGGTAAAATACATATGGACATCGGGCCGGCTCTGCGATTTCAAAGGTTGTAACCGTCCTGATCTGCTACCTAATGAAGTCAACGGTTGGTTCTGGACGGCTGAACTGCAGAAGTTGGCGCCTACCACCAACCGTCAACAAAATGACTGGTCTGAGGGTGGCGGCATCGGCAAACCTCAACCTGACAACAGGGTAAGAGCCTTTGAACTATACAATTTGTTATTATACCTACACGCAAATGTTTTAAAGTGGTGAAAACTTTGCCAATTTTTGTGAATTTTGTGTGATGTCACAGATTAGTAAATAGTTTAGTGATGTGTCGATATATTTTGTGCAAATAGACAAGGAAAACAATAGCGCAGTATCTATCCTCTTTACCTAAGTAGTGTCTTTCTGGGCGTCTCCGGCCGTGATACTAATGTATGTTTAAATGTATATTTAGGTATTCTAAGTCACGTACAAACGTCGCAATTCATTAACCGTCAGGACCGTAGTTTAAGGAATAATATTAGGGTGACCGTATTTTCTAGAAAGACTGATATTCAGTAACGTATTTAAGATTGAGCTTGTGATGATGATGCAAATTTTCTTTAAACGTAGCTTTTGGTTCATCATCAATACAGTTCTTCACAAGTCTACTGCTGAATATAGGCTTCCCCTAAGGAACGCCACAAAGCACGGTCCCGATGCACCAACATCCATTGACTTTCTGTATGTCTTACCAGGTCGTCACTCCATCTAGTGGCAGGACGCCCTTTGCAAATAAAATATACTGGCTAATACCACAGAATAAATAATAGTACAAGAACTAATATCCGCTCGCTTCGCTGGGCGCTCGATAATATTTTATTGCGGAACCTAGATGTAAAATATCATGATTTTTTTCATGGGACTTTCGTAAAATCCGTTCTTAGTGGACGTCTACATTGCGAAATAAGTAACTATACTAAATTTCAAGTCAATCGAGTGTATCATTTTAGAGATCTCGTTCTTTACTTTGGAAAAAATATATATATATATATATATATATATATATATATATATATTCCAAAGTAAAGAATGCATAGAATTTAAAAATTCTAACGGATACCTATCAGACAATAGCTGGCGGTAAGTAACCATAACGTTGCGTAAGCGTTCATCCGCGGTAATGCGACGTCAATTCCGTAAACAGTTAAGTAATATTTGTCACAACCCACCCGCCGACTTGTCGAAGTATCTGCGTGGCGGATGTCACGTAATGAAAACGAAAGCGATGTAAATATTTATGGGCCTGCGAAATATTCGCCAAAGGGCGTACCCGCATGCCTGCCAACCACTTTCTACGATCCACACTACACAACAAAAGCTCATCGGTATTCGGTATGATGTGTCAACGTTGAATTCCGTTTGCACTTCACTTTCGCCGGAGTCACATATTCACATGTAGATAGATGTACAAGCTCACATGCCAATCTGCGGTGGCACGGATCACCCATATCCGTTTGTTGTTGTTCTTTAATAGCCTTTAAGACCTGACATATTATGTGTAATTAGTGATTACGTTAGGTACTTACCTTTATAATAACGACGTCAACCTCGCTAGCATGAAATTAACATTTGTTACAACAATATGCAAAAATTACGTGATAATAATATTTAAATGTTGTATTTAGCTCTAAAGAGATAAATAAGCATCGAAATTAGAAATTCATTTTCATCAAATCTAAATTAGTTGAAGGATATAAGTATATGAGTGGCGTAAAATGATAGTAATAAATCTTTGAAATCATATTTCTTTCCGTTACAACGTTACAGCCCATTAAATTTAACTGCTGAATATAGATCTCCCCCATAGATTGCCCCATAAGGGAAGTATTTGGCATAGTTACCATGTTTGGCAAGCGGGTTGGCAAACGCAGTTTTTTTTATTTTTACTCATTATTAGCAAGACGCTGCTGCCAATCTCCTGATTTGTTTCCCTCTGTCGCCGCTTACGACACTCACGGGATGATATGGCGTAGTGGGTATTTCTTTTAGACAGGATTAAGATATAGATTCTTTTTAAATTACCTCAAATATTTGTCAAAAAATAAAGGTGACAAGCGTACAGTCCACTCCACCGTAAATAGATTTTGAGACTCATGCCAATAGAGCACAGTCATGCTAATCTTTCCTCGATTAAGAATTAAAATGCTGTTACTGACTGACTAAGATGGTATCTTTATCAGTAAAATGGTCTCGCACGAAACGTAGTAAGATTATCCTGCTATTTTACGCACATAGCGAACGTGATCCTTCCCCGGTCGGCAAATTGATGATGCAGGTGCTGCAGTACACAATGTCCGTCTGATCTACCATTTAAAAGACAATATATAGGTCTTTACTAGTCATTACTTATAAAATTGCAGTTTGTTTGAACTGACCACTTCAAACTGTAATGCTATGGTTTGACTCAGAATTCTAAATTCAAATAATTTTGTAGGCGTTTTCAAAATCAGTTATTTGATTCAAAGGGTTTTTTTGTCATATCGCTAAATTTACAATCATAGAGTCTAATTGTGTATTTGTGTTATTTTTGAATTCGGATTTTGACCTGGATGCAATGCGTATCAAACGACATACAATATCAATAACGCCTACAGACTTAGCACTGTTAACGAACGAACTGTGCGTTATTGGTTTCGGAAAATTTAACCTATAAAATCACAATACGTGGTCGCCCGAAGGCTGATTATGAGTGCGAATTGGAAACGGATCCATCTCGAACATTTGCGGCAAATCGGTAAAATAAAGAAGTTTTATAAAATGACAAACCTACCACACGAACTGAGTGACGTACGGCCACAGAACACTAATACCCTTAGGCCCGCAAACAAACTTGCATCGTATTGCTAAACCTACATAGAAAGGAAGTAATTTTGAATCGAATTGTTACTTATGATGAGAAGTTTTATACGTGGTAGAGCCATGCTACAGCTATATTATGGTTGTAGCACGAATGGGTCGGCTCCACCGGGGACCACGCTCTCACAGCATACCAGTGTAAAATAGCAGCGTAATGCTGCTGTTTCTTATGGTGAGTGACCCTTTTTCCTGTATACCAGGCATTCAGTCTTAGTCTCCAGCGGTTATAACGCATCTGCATTTTGATTCTTAATCGAGGATAGATGTAGATGTCTATGAGCCACAGCATCCACTTACAATCATGGATGCTGTGTGAACATCAAGTGGGCTGTGCGCTCGCTTGACAGCCTTATTCCATAAAAAAATCGATCTTACACGACAATCACAAAAGTTCATCAGAGTGGTAAGGTCACCAAGCGAAACAGTGCCAGACAAGAAAGATTAGCCAGAAAAAAATTATGGTGCCACAGTTGCTGCTTACTTATCGTTATTGTCAATAATTGTAAATGACGGTGAAGAAACTAACACTCAAAAAACCCAGGTTGGAAAACTGTGCTCTTCGCTATATTCCATCATTTAAAAGGAGGGCATATTTCCTGCCACCAGGTGAGGTATAATATTTGTCAGATTTCATAGCGGGGAAGTTAATTTGTTCGGAAAATGTAAAGTTTATTGTTTCTTTCTGTACATACTATTAGCTATATTTTATCTTAATAAGATGAAAAATAAATAAACCATACCACAGATATTCATAAAAGTAGAAATTTTTTAAAAAAAGTTAAAAATGTGCTAAAATTTAAAGAGCAAACCACTGACGCATTGTTTTGTGTATTAATATAATACTCTAGAAACTGATAAACTTTTCTTAAAAACCAACTTCTCAATTAAATTATATTGTGTAACAAAAAACTGTACTTCAGTGTTAACTAGCGACATCTGGTGAGCAGAAAATTATTAGCTCTCATTCTTGACAATAACGGTACCTAAGCAGCAACTGTGGCATCATAATTTTTATCTTTCTTATCTTTTTCGTACTACACCACAACAGATGTTCGGAAAATTACACCCACCCTGCTTCCACCACCGTATTCCTCAAAAAAATGCCCACTTTTCATAGTTCCTTTGATAGGCAAAAATTTCAATTCCGAAAAAGCAGTATAGAACGTCTTTATAGAGTTCATAGATTTTCATGCATCACACTTCTATAGCAAGGGCATGAACAAACTGCCAATAAAATTAGAAGTGTTAGTTTAAGGCAGATATTTTTATTCATGTTTTTTTTTCAATTATCCCGTACGGTACCAAACGGCAATTTCATAGGTAAACCTGATAATATATTATGTGCAGTCGATTTTAATTTCTGCGCACTTATGCTAAGTTTTTTCTTTTGATAGTGAAATTTTTATTTTCTAGCTGTTCAATTAATGCATGATGCCCAAATTTGGCAACAATACCTGACCATTTAGAATGCACGTATTAGGTTATCCTCCCCTACTAGGATATTCTCTTGTATCGTGAAGGAAGTTTACATACATAAATTTCACAAGGAACAACATCCAGACACGGGATAATTATTTGTTGGTCATACAAACAATTATTGTTCAGTGCGGGATTCGAACCCACGGCCCTTAGTGCTGCAACGCGTCACTAAGCCACTCCGCCAAGGAGTCGTCTCTTTTCTTTAATAGGTTTTTGCTTGTTCTTCAAAAGTTCATAAGAATCTATAAACAAAACGACAATTTAAAAACACAATAGTCGAAGACTTTGTATTTCCTTGTTTAAGTCGTAACCACATTAATTTAATTCTTTCAAACAGGAGCAGTTTCAAGGCGGTGCTGCTGAACACTGTGTAGCAATCTTGAATAACTTCTACAACGACGGCGTACACTGGCACGACGTGGCTTGTCACCACCGCAAACCCTTCGTCTGCGAAGAAAACGACGCCCTCCTCAAATACGTCAGATATACGAACCCCAATTTACGAGTTTAAATCATTTTAAAATAATGTTAATTGACAACTCCTATATTTTAAGTACACACAAACACTTTCCAAAGTTCTTTTATACAAAAGTGTTTTCATCGTGCGTTTGTTTCAATCATACTCTTTTAGAGTTAAAAAGAAAACCAAAAACTTTCAAATTTCAATAGCTTTACGTAAGTTATTTAAAGCTAATCAGAAAATATTTTTCAATATCACATAAAAATCCCCACAAACACTGCCAAGAAACAGAATTTTCTACATTTTCTATTTAGTTTTAAGTTTTACCTCATTATGTTTCATATTTATTGCAGTATTTAAAGCTAAACAGTCGTGGACAACTAAAACGCTAAAGTTGTATTACTTAAGTATTTAACATCTGTCAATAAAGACTGCTAATAATTATTTGGTTTTTTATTTTTACTGAATTGATAATAATTAATTAATTTAATTTTTTTTTGTTAATGTTAGGTACAAAATATGTTCCTGCGTGCTCTATGTTGAAATAGCAATTTGCGATAATAATTACAAAAGGAGTGTTACTAATTTCTAGTAATAAGGTTTCCAACATACAGCAGACATGGGATAGCCAAATTTCAAGAATTTAATAGTTCCAGAAATAAATTGATCCTTTGCATTCTATCCAGCAATGAAGGTGGAGTTTCACATAGTAGTAGACATAGGCTCACAAGGATTTTGTCCTGTATCATGTAGGCAGTTTACATTCAAAAACTGCCCAGGCTAGAATAGAATAATCTTTATTGAGTATATATTGCAAGTGATATTTATTGAAGTTTAAGTTTTTGACTTTTACCACCTGTTCGGTAAAAACCTCTGTTCTTGTCCCGTGTCTTTTTCAAAGTGTATTATACAAAGACATTTAAGTAGTAGTAGTAAAATATCAAAGAGATTTAGGCGCTGCGCAAACGTACACTTTTGTATCTTGTGTGGGATACAAGCTACCAGTGAATATTTTATTTTCATATAATCAATATGAAATCAGCCATTCCTTACTCAGACACAGACACTTTTTGTGTCCAGTTGCTTGCACTTGACATATACCGATCGCCAATCGAAAAGTCTTCGGTGTAGGTAACTGGAAACTTTAAGTCGTCAGTTGAAGACACAAGGAACACAAATCAAATCTCCTTACAATTGTACGGCGCTGACGTTGGCATGGTTGATTGGCCTGTAAACATTGAATGCAACGACGACGTCTTTCTCTCGTTGATATTATACAAAATAGAGCACAGATTGTACAAACTACTTACAAAGCTTATTTAAAAGAACAAGTTTGGAAGCGACCACCAATTAACAATGTATTAATTAAAATTATAATAACCTACGCGATCACTGTAAAAATCACAGTATGCGAGAAACCCGGGTTCGATTGCCGCCGGCACCAATGAAATTGTTAATTGCAAATTTTAAGTGCTGACTTACCATGTGCTCGGTGGTGAAGGAAAACATCGTTAGAAAATCTGAAGGTCTTCGAAATATGACTGACTTACTGGAAAACTGACATTACATCTGCATTTTGATTCTTTATTGAGGATAGATGTAGATGTCTATGGGTCACAGCAACCACTTGGTACCATCAGGTGTACCACTGTGTGCTCGTTTGTCACCATATATATATATATATATATATCCTATAAAAAAATATTTCTAAGACACGTGAAGTTCGCTAACACATGCATTGAAGCAACGCGGCAGATATTTCCTTGCCCCCAAAACCTTTCAGAAATGAGAGAGGCTTGTGCCCAGCAGTGGGACGTATAAAGGCTGTAACTTTTACTTTTTAACTTTTTATAATAATCCTTAATAAACAGTTTTTGCCTAATATAATATTTAAACTTGGTAATAGAGAAACTGTATATTTTCTGATTTTCTGGGACTAATTGTAATAGCGTAATATATTGACTTATGAATGAATTACACTCTGTGGAGTCGAGAAACTATCATTTAAATATTATTAGCTTGCTGTTTGCTCCTGGTGTTTACAGTGAGTATATCACTTTTTTATTAAAACTACTTTTGTTTTTGTGCATACCTATATGTCACAGCCATTGAGCCAACTAGCTTAATTAGTCTTTCAGTTAAGGGCCTAGCGTTTTTAATAAACAGCGCCGCTCAACTAGAGGCCTGAATGATATTCAGCCGATACGTCTAATACAACATTAACATTGTAATATGCAACATAAGGTTCCGGAGCAGCTGGGGTGGTCCTTGGACTACCCTAAAGCCTTACATTTATGCTAAATTAAAGCTAGGCTAAAAGGTTAAGTAGTTGGCTGTGACAAATACATAAAATTTTCGTAAATATACTGAGAGGCCAGTTTATACTGCAGCTATATTAGTAGTATAGTTGTAGTACGAATGGGTCGGCTTGACTGGAGAAGGTATTCTGTGAGAGCGTAGTCTCACAGAATACCCATGTAAAATAGCAGCTTAACACTGATGTTTTGTATGGCGAGTGTAGAGAACCGGAGATCCTTTTTACTGAAAAAGATGCATTACATCTTAGTCCTCATGGGTGACAACGCATCTGCATTTGATTCTTTATTGAGGACTAGCTGTGCCCGCGGCGTAGCTCGCGTAATACAGGTTTTACATAAAGAATTTGTCGTTTAGGTAAGAGAATATTAAACGATTTATTTCATTACTGTATCAATAAGTGGTAACTAAATAAATCATTATCATCAAAGTTCTAAGTCGTTTATGATAGAGCTTCTGTGTAAACGACGTTAGAAGTAGGCTTAGCCGGGGTGTACACAAAAAGGTTACGGGGGCTACTAAAGCGGGAAAAAGCAACATAGAGTTGGCCATGTGCAAAACAGTCAATACTGAGGTACACTCCTACAACGCGTAAAGTTTGACCTTGTGCTTTATTTACGGTCATCGCATAACACACGCTCACTGTAACTGGGAACTGAACGCGCTTAAAACTGAAAGGAAAGTTACTTCTTAATAGAGGGTTTTTGGGTAGTGCTGCCAGATAAAAAAAAACTCATTCAGCTCTAGGACAACACAAAAAGCGCTAGATTTCATGAAAACAGCGCTTTTAAAAAAGCCCTAGATTTCGCGCTAAATTAACTACAAACAAATTTGTGTTTTTTTTATATAATCATAATAAAGAAAACAACATTAAGTTTTTTTTCTGGCAATATTTTTTTGATGTATCAATACTTCGCAGGACATCGACTTATAATTATGGCAATTGCTGTCAACAGTAGTTAGTACTGTGCGAACAATAAAAATGTCATTAATTGTTTTAAAGTGCAATGTATTTCGCAACTTAGTTTCAGATGTCAGCATCTGATTGCGGTTGCTACACAGTTTCTTTGTGTTATAACTTCTAAATAACTTTTAACTTAGCTGTGCTCTAAGCAACTGACTGAAACTGAATAAAGCAAAATAAATGCGTTGCCAAAACCATGAACGAAAACTTTAATAAAGGGGATTTCCCCGCTTATAGTCGTCGGTAAAAAAATCAAGTTGATCATCCTAAAGGGGAAGCCAGGAGATCCATAGCACAGGGTATCCTAGTTTGGACTCGTCTCCCATGCTCTTTGTTTTGTGGAAAAAATATGTTTGAAAAAGATAAACTGCAATGTACTATTTGTGGGAAAAAATAATAAAGGTCATTATTATTATTATCGGTAATGTGGACTAACAGTGCTGCTATAAAAGAGTTAATAACCCGCTAGTCGCTAAAATATTGAAATGTGTGCTAAATACACCAAAAAGCGCTGGATTAAGCTAGGTGCTAAAATTTCGAAATGCGCGCTATACATTCCAAAAAAGCGCTAAATCTAGTTCCCAAAGTGCTAAAATGGCAGTACTGATTTTGCGTATATTATAAATAGAATATCACGACATTTCGTTGCAAAATTTTATTTTTGGTCGGGTTCCGTTGTATAGCTTCGATGGATACACATTTCTTCAGTAAGTCTCAATACGATTCATCGGCGAAAAATCTCAACACAGTTTGTAATTTGTACAACTCCATCTATTACGTCCTTTGTGTGAGAAAACATCCTTTTTAAATCTCTTTTTGTGTTTTAAGTATAAATATATTAATTATTATGGAACGTTTTTTTTACACACAAATCTTTTTATTACTATTTCTGAGATTTTATGGCGCCATTGAACAAATTCGAACCTACATTTCAAAATAATAATCATTACTTTCGATAGAATTAACCAATTTTAATAAAACAAAGATTAAATGTAACTCGAAGATACGCTTTATGATTTTCTTAACGATTTCTTTGAAAATAAAAGATGTTTACTTTAGACGTGATGCGTTCATATAATAACAGACAAATAGACAGACAGACAATTCTAAAAATTATAAAATGTTCTTATTTAATTATTTTCAGTTCCCCATAATGATTTTAGCCACCAAAATATATATACAATGTACAGAAAGAGACACAACATGTTATCATCATTTTTATTATATGTATATATTTAAAGAGAGATGGCGCTGCTAACATCAATTATAAAAATGAAAGACATTAATTGACGCGATTGATACATTATATAAAACGCAAGAGAACTTATAAATCAGTGCCTGCACAGTAAGCAAAAAATAAAGTTTGACTCTCGCCAAAACCAACGCAATTGTTAATAGCTCTTTTAAAATTTGATTTACCACATAGAGTACTCGGCGGTAAAGAATAAATTGAGTTTGTCAACACGCAGTAGGGCAGCGAGTAATATAATAAAGATTACTGCTAGTAAATATGAAAACTCATCTACAGAAAACAACCACATTGCAATTGCATTACATTTTCACAACACCACCATCTATCGAAGATATGGGTTAACTATTGTGCTTCAGATTTAGTTAATAAGGTTAATATATGTTTGTATAATATATTTAATACGTTCTTTAATACTTTTGTTTACTGCGTTTTAGATATACGTAATTATATCATTATTTTACATAATTTAACTATGATTTATGATATGATATTAGTTTAAAATGCACTTGATGACTCAAACAAAGCCACCGTTGAGCAAATTCGTACCTATATTTCCCTACCCATACTTCAGAATATTTATCATAACTTTTGATGGAATGAACTGATTTTAATGAAATAAAGACTAAATGTAACCCGAAGATACACTTTATAATTTCCTTAACAATTCTTATGATATAAATTAGTACTTTATACGTGATACGTTAACAAACAAACAGACAGACAGACAGACCGACAGACAGACAGAAAATTCTAAAAATGGTAGAAATGTATTTAATTACTTATTTTTAGTACCCCTTAATCACTTTTATTACAAAAATATAAAATGTACAGACATCTGCTATTTACAGTTTTATTATATGTATAGATAGATGTAAATGTCTATGGGTCACAGCAAACCACTTACCATCAGGTGGACTATGTGCTCGTTAGTCACACCATACTTAAAAAACTTATTTGAAGAGTTCAGCTAAAACCGATAAGGTTGTAAATATCTCTTATGGCACTCCTCTGCAAAATAAAAATAGTTCTCAAACAGCCGTATGTCCTCATAGCAAAATCCCATAAAATATTACATGCTATAGAAATATTGAATAAAACTATCAGTTTCTTCCCTTTTAGAAACACATTGGTATTCAGATTTTTAACATTAGGTATAATAAAACTTTAAAATAGCATTATTCACTATGTCATATTAAAACAGTTGCTGTTTAAGTTTAAAATAAATGAAGTATCATCAGCAAATAATACTATATCATAATAATCCTGTACAAGAAAGGTAGGTCAATAATATAGACTAAAAATAAAAATAGGCTGAGAATGATGAACACCCATTAGTACAGGTAACATGAAGCCTGAACATACTTTTATCATTGATAATAACTTTTTACATTCTATTACTAAGTATGAAATAATAAGCTTAAGCACTATTTTTTTTGACATCATAGTGCTGTAGCATGTCAAGCTGAGCTTATATTAGGCCTTAGTTGTCAGGCCAATGTTCATCAATGGACTTGTGAAGATCTATAGTGATAATACTAATGATAAGGAATGAGGGATTCTTTTGTACTCCTAATACTTTATATAACTATACTGTTTGTGTTGTTCTTTTGGTCAATTTCAATCACATCTTTCATGGATACAAATCTAAAATAACAGTAAAAACTTCATCTAAATATTTTTGGTCAAGTGATTGCATTATATATCAAAGAACAAGAAATAACTGTACCATGTATGCCATCCCTAGTACTGGAAAGTATCTTATAAACCCAGCACTACAATTACAGCCTAAATACAACCCCAGTGGCTGGTACTAGTTTTTGCTTGTTTTAGACTGGCACGCACTAGCTGTGTTTAACCCTGTCTTGAAGGTTTCCTCATGTACACAAGAATGTGGGAAATTAAAACGTGTAATTGCAATAAGCACTAAGCAATATCCATAATGTCAGCGGAGATGGAATAAGAGTTGATAGAAAACTGATTTAAAGTCAAATTGAAATTGATATAAAATATATTTATTTAATTAAAACCAAATTTATCACCTTTTTCATATTATGAAGGTAAAGACAGTCTAAATCGATATTGTAAAATCCTGGGCGAAACTTTCTTGGTTATTAAAAACCATAAGCATATATTGCAGAAGAAAACTGCAGTTAGCAACATTGTTACATGCATCATACGATACAATCGGAGAAAGCTCAACTTCAAACTGCAACTGTAACAAGACTTTCTTCATAATATTTTTATAGTATAAAACTTATGTTACTATTCATATATAATGTGCAATAAATAACAATAATGGATAACTTCAAATGTTTCTAGAAGGGTTTAAAAAAATCAATATGCAAGTACCTATATCAGTTAATAGACAATGTGTGAAATCTGATATTGAACCTCAAATATTGTTTCATAATTAAAAAATGAACTTTTTCATTGAGCTTGTCAATTGATAACCTCCTCCTTTTTAGATTAGTTACAAAAATAAAATAATGAAACACTAGTTTTCAATGTTTCAACAGTTTCAACAAATAACTCATGAAAAATTCTAAGTTCATTATTTTCCTACACTTCAAGTTAATTTTTTTGATAAGTGATGCAACTAAATATTTTTTTCTTAAGTATATTTTTATGTACTTACTCTCTGTTGGCATAATCATCAATATCAGATATTAATGACATACTAGAACTTGGTGGATCAGGTAACAAAGAGAAATCTTTATCAAATTGCTCCTGCAAGCAACAAATTCTTTCCATAACAAACAATAAAAGTATTGCCCAGAAATATTCAAATTCGAAAACCATAATAGTCATTTTTTTCCTTCAACCATAATAATATGATAGCCAAACTTTGTTTTAATGGGAGGGTCGGTGTATATAGGATTTGTGACTGAAGATATAGGTAAAGCAAATGCTGCATCTTGAAAAGGGCCAACCATTGAGCCACGGGTCATCCAGCCCAAATCTCCTCCTTGACGCGCCTTATCTTCGCTGTATGCTGCAGCTACATCTGGGAATTTTTGTCCAGCTTTTAATTTCTCCAATGCTTCTAAACATTTTGATTGTTTTTCACATAATATATGACGTACTTTGACAGCTGTTCCTCCTTTTTTGTCTTTTACAGCCGATTCTAAAATTAAATTTTTTGTATTTTAATTTTATTCATTGTAATCATTGATATTATCAGTATGAACGTAGCGCCTTTCCTTTTAATATCATTGATTGTTATAATATTATGTATAATAGTAGGTAGTAGTAGTAGGTTTTATTTATTCAGTAGTAGGCATTTAAAATAAGTTCAGATCTGTTTGAATGTTTTTTTTTTATAATAAATAAACCTATCACCGTTAAAACAATATAAAATTCTAACCTAACCTAACCTTTCGTATCCCCGCCAGATTTTCCACCCGTTTTAGAAGTTCCACTTGATTTACCCTTTTCTGGTTGTTTTTTTGGAGGCATTTTAGTTTTGCACTATGTGTAGTAATATTTAAAGTAAAAGTATAGTTTTCAAAAAAAAATTAATAGTTTAATAATTAATTGATATTTTTAATCTTTATACCTAGGTTATAATTTATATTTACTTATTTTCACTTTTTTTTTGGAGTTTATGGCCTGGTATCTAGACCTTTAGGCCAAGTCTTAAGTATTTTTATTCGGTTTATTATAATTTCCCCAAATGTATAATTATCCTTCATAGTTCACTGCTTCACAATATGTTGATGCGTCACATTGTGCAGCCCTTGGGAGATTTTGACGGCAACTTGAGCCAGCAGACAGTTGGCGATGGTATCTAAAGGCGCCTATGTAGACAAACAGCTTATCTTGAGAATCCATCACCATCAGAGCACTTGTTTCACAGTTTCCACTAATAGTTCACATGCGCAGACACTTAATACACAAAATCGCACCAGTTTTACATATCAAAGTCCACTTCAAACCATTATTTAAACAATAATACAGGAGCAGCAAACCGACGCCGGTCAAGTTCCCGCCAAAACTCTATTTTCACTTTATCTATAAATTTTCACAGATAACTGATGATATTTACAGAGTACCAAGCTACCAAGTACACTTTTTACAAACAAATCAAGGAGTAGGTACCTACAGAATTCATGGACAAAATATCAATCACTACGTTTTAGTGTGATAATCTAATGGCTCCAGTACACGTTGGCCGAGCGCGCTCGCCGAGTGCGTTCGGCCAACGTGTACTGGGCCGTTTTGTGTGTATTTGGCGTTTGCGGCCAACGCTCGCCCACAAGCCGTATAGTGTCGGTTTTCCGTGCACAAATCAAAGAAATTTGGCGCAAGCCGCCAACAGCGATCACACGTTGGCCGAGTGTTCAGTTCATAGTTACGCGTCGAAGTAGACTGTAGTGTCGGCTGAATAAAATTGTTTCAACGTGGCGACATGGACTAATGAGGAAATATTTATTTATTTATTTAACAGTTTATGTACACACATAATTCAATAGGAAAATGGTAAAAACATAATTATGCACTGCCTATTCCATGATGAAATTTCTTCCAGCAGGCCTATTGAAGGATAGTTGAAGGAAATAGAGGTAGTCAAAGTGTGCACTTACATAAATATACATATACAATACAAATATATACATATACATACACACACACACACACACAAACACACACACACATTTATATTTATATATATATACCCATGTGTATATATATATATAAATAAATATTACATATTATGAAAAAATATATAATATATTTTTAATGTTACTTATATGCATACCAACACAATACGATTTAATAATTATGGAGTGAAATATTGATTCATTGTTCATTGATTGATTCTCACAATGAATCAGTTATATGGAACCCCAAACATGAGCAACATAAAAATAAAACCAGAGTAAGTAACTTGCCTAACTGCATTAAATAATACATGTTTAGTTGCGATTTCAGAGTACCTACCTAATGATAAATATTATTATAAATTATCTCTGCGTTTATGTTGCTCAGGAATAATATAGCTTAGGAGCGTCTTTTGGGCTATCATTTATTTTGAAAAAACCCCCAGCGAAGCGGGCACGGGTCAGCTAGTAGATCCTATAAAGGTTTCTTTTTTCCTTTTGAGGTCCGAACCCTAAAAAGGACAAACTGGGATTATTGTTGTATGTGTAGTTTTTTTTTCGTTCACTCTGAGAAGAGTGAAGCGCTGTATAAGTATATGACAGCGGCCGCGATTGCCCTAACGTCCATCATCATCTAGCTACCAACGCAGAATGAAACACGCCAACGTGTGAACGATACCACGAAAATCTGCCGAGTGCGTTCGCCCAGCGCGCTCGGCCAACGTGTACTGGAGCCATAATACTCTATGCAAGCGTTTTCCAGTCAAGTAAAAGGAGAGTATTTTTTTTTAAAGGAGAGGGGCAAACGAGCATGCGGCTCACCTGATGGTAAGTGACTACCGCCGCCCATGAACAACCGCAACAGCAGGGGAATTGCAGATGCGTTGCCGGCCTTTTAAAAAGGAGTAGGCTCTTTTCTTGAAGGTCCCTAAGTCGTATCGGTCCGGAAAAATCGCTGGTGGTAAACTATTCCACAAGGAAGTTGTGCGAGGAAGAAAACATCTTTTAAATCGCACAGTGGTGGACCGCCAATCATCCAGACGGTGTGGATGGTATCGGAAGTTCTGCCGCGATGTGCGTTCATGAAATTTGGCGGCTGGGATTAATCCGAACAATTCCTCAGAGCACTCCCCATGGTAGATGCGAAAGAAAATGCAAAGAGATGCAACATCTCTTCGCAGTGCCAATGAATCGAGCCGATTGGAAAGGGCTCGGTCGTCGACGATTCGAGCCGCTCTGCGCTGGATGCGGTCAAGTGGAAGAAGCTGGTACTGGGGAGCCCCTGCCCAGAGATGGGAACAGTATTCCATGTGAGGCCGAACCTACGCCTTATAAAGTTGCAGGCGGTGTGCCGGCATGAAATACTGTCCCGCTCTGCTGAGCACGCCAAGCTTTTTAGGGGCCAATTTGGCCTTCTCTTTCAAGTGACCACGAAACTGCACGTCACTCGATATGTCGACTCCGAGGATACCGATACTGGCTGAGGCAAGAAGGGGAGTGCCTTGAAACTGAGGAGATACGACAAAGGGGTTCTTTTTAGCGGTAAACGCGCAAACTTGTGTCTTCTGAGGATTAAACTGGACTAGATTTAGTCGCCCCCAATCTGAGACTTTGTCCAGCAAAGACTCGACTTCAGACACAAGTTTGTTCCGGTACTCGGCGACGTTTTCCCGAGAAGTATTGGCCCGGCCGGTGTATAGAGCATCACCAGTGCTGTCATCCGCATAGCAATGAATGTTACCAGTTAGCAACATATCATTGATATGCAGAAGAAACAGCGTTGGTGATAGCACACAGCCTTGTGGAACATCAGCGTTAATAGGCTTGTAGTCAGAACATGCACCGTCTACAACGCCCTTGATGCTCCGATCTGCAAGGAAGCTGGTGATCCAATTGCACAATTTCTCGGGAAGCCCATAGAAAGGGAGCTTCGAAAGAAGCGCTTTGTGCCAAACCCGATCGAAGGCCTTCGCAATGTCCAGACTAACGGCCAACGCCTCCCCCTTGGACTCTACTGCCTCCGCCCATCTATGGGTCAGGTAGACCAGAAGATCACCAGCTGATCGACCCCGACGAAAACCGTATTGGCTAGAGAAGGGAAACTCGTGTTTAAGTAATAGCTGCCCAGAACAATAGATCTGCAAGATTAAGTTGCACTTGCCGCGGTCAGTCCATGAATGAGTGACCATTATCTTAATATACCGAGATTGAGAGTATAGAGAGTGCATCTGTATCCTCAGACACTTTGTCCACTTTACTGTGTTAAGATCATTATGTTTTTAAAATTCATACAACTAAAGTGATAATTTAAAAAAAAAATTTAAAAAAGTTTATTATTACTTTATGCTTTTCAGGGACAGATGAAAGAATATAAACATGAAGCATGATGAAGCCTTATAAACGTATTGGCCTTTAACCAAAGCAATCTTATTTAACTGATTCCTACAAGTTTCCTTACTTCAATCATTAAGTTTCAATTCATATTTAAGTCAAATGTTAAAATTAATTTTTATAATGTATTTAATTATTAATTATTGAATGTTTGCAATTATTAAAAGGATTAGTTATATGAAAAATAAACCAGTCATTATGTACTCCGTGTCCCAGTCTTTTATTTCTACAGCAAAATATTTTATAAAATATATAAAGTATGAATATGTATATACTTAATTAAGTATCTTCTTATTTATAGTTGATTAACGTTATGTTAAAAAATGAATTCGGGGGAAAATGTCCATGGCAGTAAAGTTGTATTTACTAGCTTAGATCTTTGGAGAAACCAAAGGTCTAAGCTCGTAAATACAACTTTCCGATCTGATTATTGGAGATTTTTTAAGTTTATTGGTAAAGTCACCTGGGATTTTATACATTTTAATTGAAACAAAAGGCAGGTAGGTTCAGCTTATTCCCAGGAACATGTTATATGAATACTTTTTTATTTTTTGAGAACTGTCATGGTAAAATTCAGTAAATTTTTGAAGTTATTCAACTTCATGCACTGAACACTTTTTTAAATCTTTTTACCGCTTCCTTAACAATCATTTTCGATAGTCCTTGTAATTAAAATATACATCACTAGCTAATGCACACAATAACAAATCAAAATTAGTCACGCGTTTTCGGGCTGTCAGGTGGTCTATACGCCAGTATATTCTAAGTCTATGGCTGAGATTTATAAAAACATGGTGGAGAGTCGCAGAGTTTTTAAAAGTAACTTAAGGTGGTGCCAGAACAACGATGACCAGATAAAAATGGACATAATATTGGCTTCACATCATGCAGATAAAATTTTTTAAAATTTTGGAAAGCAACTAAACATCTTGATTATAAACTTACCTGCGAGTATAAATGGTGTGCACGACCCAAAGTTGTTGCCGACTTGTTTTCGTACCACTTTAAAGTTGATCCCTTGCCAACTAGAAATGTACAGCAGTATGTTCCTATGCCCGTTGATATTAACAGTACTGAGGAAGCTACTTCGTTATTCACATCGGACGTTGTAGAATAAGTGGTAAAAAAAATGAAAAGGGGTAAAGCCCTAGGTTTTGATGGATTGAGTTTAGAACATATTTTATTTGCAGGTTTGGACATTTATAATCTTTTGGAAGAATTATTTACGTTTTGTGTCAATTCTGGATATTTGCCGAAAAATCTCATGCGAACGGTGGTGGTTCCAATCCCTAAAAATAAATCCGGTGACCTTTCTAATCTTAAAAACTACCGGCCGATTTCTTTAGGGATCATTATAGGTAAAATTTTGGAAAGGCTATTACCCGAGTATAAGCAACAACATTAGGATTGACGACACGGAGGTTGGTTTTCGTTCCGGACTTTCAACGGATGCTGCAGTCTACAGTATTAAATCCATTGTTAACTACTACATAAATAGAGGTACGTCTGTGTATGTTTGCTTTTCAGACTTTAGTCATGCCTTTTATCTAGTTAACTATCAGCAACTATGGCAAAAACTAATAGCATCAAATGTACCCAGAAAGACTGTGGATCTGTTGAGATACTGCTACGGGAACCAGAAAAACTTTGTGAATTGGGGCGAGCTATCTCTAATGATTATTTATTAGAGTGTGACGTAAGTCAAAGTGGGCTGACCTCTCCGGACTTGTTTAGCTTATACGTAAACGACCTAATCGAGGAACTTAGAAGTACAAAAATTGGTTGTCACATGGGTACAATTTGTCTGAATAATTTCAGCTACTCTGACGACATGGTGCTACTGAGTCTCTCAATCAGAGGACTTAAAAGGTTATTAGCCATATGCGAACATTATGCGCGGGATCATAGCCTGAAGTATAATGTTAAAAAAACGCAGATAAAGGTGTTCCGCTGGGGCAAAGGCCAGGAGAGCATTCCGTTAGCATTTATAGATGGTGAAGCTATTGCAAGAGTGAATCTATTCAGGTACCTGGGGGCATATTCTGACTGAGAATTTGCGTGATAATCTCGATATAGAACGTGAAAGGAAGGCTCTGGCTATTCGGTGTAATATGCCCGCACGCCGGTTTGCGCGGTGCAGTTCTAAGGCAAAGCTGACCCTGTTTAGAGCATATTGTAAATGCATCTATACTTGTCAGCTTTGGTTGAACAGTACCAAAAATGCACGTAGCAGCATTAGAGTGCAGTATAATAATGCATACCGCATCCTTATGAAACTTCCTAAATACTGCAGTGCGTCGACCATGTTTGCCAACGCTTGGGCAAAAAATATCTATATATCGAAATACCGATATTTTTTCTAAATCTCCCAAGGGCTGCACAATGTGACCCCATCAACATATTGTGAAGCAGTGTACTATGAAGGATAATTATAAGTTGTAACTTCAGGCTCAGAAGGGCTTGAATCCAGAGCCGTAAAGCCAGTTATAAAACATGGAGTATATAGTAGAAGACAGATCATCTCTGTATAACCTGTCGGAAATATCTGCGAACCTGGCTTGATGACGTCATGCAATATGGAGAGATGGCAACGGTACTGGATAGACGATAACGGGCGGAAATATCTGCGAACCTGGCTTGATGACGTCATGCAATATGGAGAGATGGCAACGGTACTGGATAGACGATAACGGGCGGAGGTGCGGGGAAGCGCGAGGGGAAGCGCATTCCAGCGAGGTTCGCAGATATTTCCGACAGGTTATATATGGAAAGTGTCCGTAAATACGCGTCCAATAAGGGTGGCGATGCAGTAGCATAGGATAAATTTTAATAAAGCGCCAAAAGTAATTAGAATTAGATGGAGAAATTAACAAGGACTGACCAATCCGCTGGGTTTTGGCGCACTTTTCAAACAAAATATATAGTCGGAGCACACTCATAATATAATATTATGATTTATAATCATAAAGGGAATATAAATTAAAAAAAGCATCGCTTCAAACAATAAAGTTAACAAACGTTTAAACTAAGAAATTGTAATGCGGAAAATTTAATAGAATTACAAGTAAAAGAGATTAATTTAACTTGTTAAAAATGTATTTGTTGAAAGAAAAATAACAAGTCTTATGGAATAAATAAGGTGTAAATGTAAAATAAATCAACAAGTGAGTAATTCAACGATGTACATTATTAAGTTATATAAATAAGCGATTACATTTTCGACAATTGTATAACGGGAGTCGCAGGATATTACTCTTCCTTGATTGCTTGTTGTTTGCTTTACTAGTGTTCACAACACAATAGAGATGAAGCGTATATACTAGAACAGATCTAGGCACTAGGTATTAAACGAGACTAGGTTGCACCTGTTCCAGCTTTTAAATACTTGATCCACCTAGTCTCACTGTACCTAAACGTCGCACGGCACAACGCGGCAGCCCGCTCGAATCGAAGTAGTAGAAGTTTCGGCGTGGCAAAGCGAGATAGGATTTTGTTGCCATAGTTACTAGTCTGCTTTGCCGCTCACTCGTGTTTGCCTCAACCATTCGTGTGTTAGTCATTTAAATTTGAACTATATTTCAATATATTATATAAAACTATCACGACGCGCACTCGTGTTGTGCGAGAATATATTCTGTCCTTTTTTAACTACACTATTCCTTTTTCGTCTTTCTATCTTTGTCTGTCAATACTCGAGACTAGTCAGGACTAGTCCTGGGGACTTCAACCAAATACTAGGCAGATTTTATAGACTAAATAATATAAGTAAATACTCGATGCGAATGGAGACCATATGATGCAGTCGAGTGTCTATTACGGACTCATGCGAATGTGATTTCGGCACCGTATTGAATAATACTTACTCGACTTATTTAGTAAATGGTTTTCGTAACGAAGTTTTGTTACGTGGTTAAAGAACTTTCACTTTTTTTTATTAGACATTAAAGTGTATATTGTTTAAAAAAATTGCAGCAGTGTCGTTTGGGATCATTTTTCGGACAAATTCCAACAAAAAGTCTGAGTATAACATTTGTAAAATATAATTTAGTTTTAAAAACTCTTAAAACTAATTTTTCGCGCGTATGTAAAAAAAAAACAATAATTGCAGATAGGTAATTAAAAACAAAACAAAAGAAATAAACGAAAAAAAGGCAAAAATCGGATTACTCTAAAATAAAAAATTAATTGAAATATTTTAAAACACCAACAATCTAGAATGTAGATAAATCTTAATGTGACTATTCATCCTTCACGTATCGGGATCGGCTGTACGTAAAGACTAAGCGTACTTTAATGTGTATACTATTTCAACAATACCAAACTCTATGCGTACTTCAAGGACTCGGTGGAACAGGTATTTGGGTCGAGTATTTGTACGGAATTGGACAAAGTGCACCTAATACATAATTTACCTGTACGACGCATCTCTACAACACAAATGGCATTCAATAATTATTGCATTCGTTTTTATGTTTTTATAATATCGCACAATGGAATCAGACGGATATCTCACGAACTAAACTTACTCGACTTAGCTTCTGCATCCTGATTGGTTGTAGCAAAAAGATATATTTATATTTCTCTGTTTACGCTTGCTACATTACATTATATTCTATAATATATTTTATATTCCATTTATCAATATTTATTTGTCTATGGTTTTTAGTCAAAGAGTCAAACAGTGTTGCCACCTTGGTGATTTTGTCACCAGATCTGGTGATTTTTCAGAGCTCTTAGCGGTATATTTTCATCGTTTAGCGACTATTTGTGTTTAGCGATTTTTGGCGACATTTCAATTTGGAGTTTGAGTATCGTCGCAGTCGATTAAAGTGGGTGAGAAATTGCACGTACTTAGTGTAAGAACAATAAAGAAATTAATTAAAAGTGTGTCCATCGTAATCGTCCTATCGTATCGTATCGCATCGTAGTACTTTCGCACAGTGGTCCCGTTTTGGTGTTTCATACAAGTAGGATTCTCGAAAAAATCAAAGTATCTCTTTTCCAAATTTTATTTTAGATTCTTATTTGGAAGCCTCTTTTAACATCAAATATTTATCGGTGTACCGACGGAATAATGAAACGTACAAAAATTAATGACTGATTTTTTCAATGTATGGAAAAAAATATTCAAACCCGATCTGATTCAATATATGAAAAAACGCGTCGGTGAAAAACCCTACTTGCATGAAAAGCCAAAACGGGACGACTGTGCATCGTGGGAGTAAGAATAGTGAAGTTAAGAATGTTAAAGGAACTGGAAGAAAAATGGAACTGCCGGCCAAGAAAAAAAATTATACGCAAAAGTATAGAAAAGAGTGGGAGGAGCATGATGGATTCAAACGCTGGCTTAAACCTTTACCTGATGACGAACTGAAAGTTTTTTGCTCACTTTGTAAATCAGATTTATTAGCGAAATTAGCAGACCTAAAAAACATGCAGAAACGAAAAATCAATATTCGGAAATCTAATAATAACATTCGCAACACCCGAAAGTCCTTGAAACCAAAGTCCCGTAAAGCTGAAGGAATGCTAGTTCTTTATATCACAGAACACAGTTCAGTTTCGTACATTGATCATTTAACTGAGGTATTTAAATGTGCTTTCTCAGATTCTAAAGCCACAGATGTCTTAAAAATGCATCACTCTCAGTGTACAGAAGTTATTAAAAATGTCTTAGCTCCACATTTTATCGAAGAACTACTCAAGCATATAGGTCTGCAGAGATTCAGTTTCATCATTGACGAATCATCTGACATCCGGCAATAATCTCTTTTTTAATTTCATTCATGTAATACATGAAAATTACTTAATTATAATTAATAAAAAATAGCGAGAACTGGTGGTTTTTTCCAATCCAAATTTCCAAAATATGGCGACATTTTACTCTGGATCTAGTGACAAGAAAATTTTTGAGGTGGCAACTCTGGAGTCAAAGACTTAATAGAAGTATATTTAAAGCAATTTTCTGAATAAACTTATGAATGATAGAAAATAATAATAGAATAATTGTTTAAATAAACGTGTACATAATATGTCTTTATTAGTATTATATAAAATAAACGGTAAATCATAATGCTATAGCTTTTCTACTTATGACGTGTGTTATGTTACTTTTTGTAATATTCAATTTCAGATATTTCTTTATCTTGATACAATGGGAATTATGTACGAAAAACGGCCGTTAAAAAGGCCTCGCTTGGGGCCTCCTGATGTATACCCACAAGAACCCAGGCAAAAAGAGGATGAACTTACATCCACTAACGTCAAACACGGTTTTTCCACAACACCACAATCTAGTGATGAGTTTGGAACAGCCAGAAACTTCAACTATTCAGCATCAAAGGTATGTGATGCTAGATCAAGCACAATTTATATATTAAGTGTATTCTATATTTTCACTCTGGAGGAAAATATTAGTTTGACTAATCAAATACTGAAAAATCAGAATTTGTTTTGTTGTTTAATTTGTTTGGTTGTATCATCATATTTCCGACAACTAACAAAGTAGAGCACTAACATTTAATTTAATGTTATAAATTGACTACAAGCAATAGTTTAATGTTGCAAAATCAACTAAAATATTTAGGAGGAAATTAAGAGTATAGAATGAAGGATATCAGGGGCAGACAATTGTAAAGTGATGATGACTATTTGGCTAAACTTATCACAAATTCTAGTCTAATACAGCTATGTCCATGTTTATATGAAATCTTAAAGTTGATGTAAATTCATCACCATGTTATTGAGATCATCATTAGCCAGTATAACTCATCTGCTTGACTTGTTACACTTGGCAGCTTGGCCTTCAATACTGCCCGTTGCTCCTGGTCTGCATATTTTGCTTCCAGTGTAGACAGGCATATTATATTGCAATCTACAGGAAGTCTTAAGATCTTTTTGTCATTTCCTATAGTCCCCTATTATTACACCTATTAGATGAAATGGGCTAATGGGTACTCTTACATTGTCACCATAATTAGGTATCTTATTGAGATCTCATAGATATCAATAGAATATTGATTAAAGATAAAATTAACCATAGAATTCTGTTTACATAGTCAAAGAATCAAAGTAAAGTCCTACATTAAATAATTATATTGAAGAGATTAGATTTTTAATATACATATTACATTGTCCACAATAATAAAATACATTAAATACTTGTTTTACAGATAGGACAGTTTTTCTCTAGTATACTTTCAAAAAAAGAAGAGCTAAACACGCTGCCTGATTGTGGACGAAAGAGACAGCAAGTAAATCCTAAAGATAATTTTTGGCCAGCTACTGCTCGCACTAAGCCACAAATTGAAGCTTGGTTCAAGGATTTAGCAGGTATATAAACTTCAGTGTACTTATTATTTGATGTTATGAGGATATGTGACCTTTTTTATCATTATTACCCATTAATTTTGTGGGAGAAAAAAAGGTTCACGAGTGGCAGCCTAGTACCGGTAGGTGAAGTTTAGTGCGTCTCTCCATGAGATGGAGTGACGACATGGTAATATATGTAGGAAGTTGATGGATGCAGGTGGCTCAGGATTGTGCTTTGTGGCATTCCTTGGGGTAGGCTTATATTCAGTAGTGGACTTGTGAAGGGATGTAATGATGATGATGATGATGAATATTGTGGTTCAATCTGTTTATTTAAAACTAGTGTTCTGCATGCTTTTTTCATGTATAGAACAAGGGTGACAAAAAAGCACAGTCTACCTGATGGCAAGTGGATGTTGTGGCCAATGATGTTTTACATGGTATAGCCACCCCACAGCAATATTTAGCTGCAGCACAAATGGTTTGGCTCATTTGGGGTATGCCATTGTGAAACAGCAGAAAAATGCTGCTGTTTTGCGTGGTGAGTGTAGAGAATTCAAGAACCCTTTTACTGGAAACAAGACATTCCATCCTAGTCTTCAGGGGTGACAAGTCATCTGCATTTTGATTTTTATTTAACAATTGATGTAGATGTCTACAGGCCACAGATGTGTGTCCTGTAGACATCTACATCAACTGCTGTGGCTTATGTGCTGATTTTTCACTCTTATTTTATTGAAAAAATGTATTTGCATCCTTGAGAACTAAAATGGATTGCCACGTTTCCTGTAAAAAGAGTCTCTAGTTCTCTACACTCACCCTTTTTTTTTTATAGGATAAGGGTGACAAACGAGCACACAGTCCACCTGATGGTAAGTGGTTGCTGTGGCCCATAAACATCTACATCTATCCTCTATTACAAATCAAAATGTAGATGCGTTGTCACCCGTGAGGACTAAGATGGAATGCCTCATTTCCAGTAAAAAGGGCCTCCGGCCACCTGCACTCACCAAGCGAAACGCAGAGGTAAACCTCTACTTAACGCTGGTTTTCTGTGAGGTCGTGTTACCACCCCGGTTCGAGCCGGCCCATCCGTGCGACAGCAAAAGCTGCCGGGTGGCTCTACCACTATTAAAAATACCCTATGAAACACAAGAGCATTAAGATGCTATTTCATGCCGGTATTCCGTGAGGATTTGGTCCTTCCCTAATTGAGCCGACCCATTCTTGCTACAAATATAATATATCTTCAGCGTGGCTCTACCACACGTATTCATTTAAATTATAGGAATCTTTTTTATGAAACATTAGATGTAATTTGTCTTGCTAGTTTTTATGAACTAAGAACCAACACTGCACTCGAGTGTCTTATATGTTATGCACGGTACGGGGGCAGGCACATGGTGCCTGTAATTACTTTGGGAGGTGTTCACCATTGGAAATTAGCCTCTCCCTTTGTGGGGCGATTTTGCCTTAACCATTATGCGATGGATTCACCATCAAAGTACCAGACTAATAGATTATGTTACAATGGTTACAATTTAAAAATGTTTTAAAAAAAAATTCTTGTTATATTTTAGGAAGCAAGCCTCTAGCTCAGCTGGCCAAAAAGGCACCAAACTTCAACAAGAAGGAAGAAATATTTATAACTCTCACAGAGTATCAAGTAGCAATGCCAAGAGCTGCTTGGTTTATAAAACTAAGCTCAGCATATACAGTTGCTGTTTCAGAGGCAAAGATTAAAAAAAGGCAATTACCCGATCCTACTACAGGTAAATAATTAGTATTTAAAAAAACTATAGTAATTTTTATGCAATGATAGATGTTATAGAAACAATTTTAATTAATTTTGTAAATAATTTTCATTGTTTTCAGAATGGACAACTACACTAATTAAATTCTTAAAAGACCAAATACCTAAATTAGCAGAACATTACCAAAGTGCAGTACCAAGCAATCCATCTGAAAAAACTCCACCTTCACAATCAGGTATCACAATAATATCATTATATTCTTATATTGTTTTAGAATTTGGGACATGCTGGGGCACTTTTGGTACGACTTTCCATTGACGTCCATCGAGTTTAGTATTGATACGTATTTTTACAGAAAGATTACATTTTTATAAGCACACACACAAAGTTTCAATATGCGGAAACATACTTTTTGAGAAAAAAAATATTGGAAATCAAATATTTTTGCAATATTTATGTAAATTCCTACCGAGAAACAGACGCCATTTTTTATTATTATTGTCAGTAGGGATGTCGATTCTTTCCAAAAAAGATCGATTTTTTAAATAGATTCGAATTGTATACTGATGTATCGATTCCCAAAAAATCGATTTCTGAAATATCTATATTTTTTCATGTTTGCATTTATAATGTAAATATAAATCCATTTTATGAGAAAAAAATTCCCTTCATCATAAAAAAATAAGGGGAAGGATTTCTGTATCTATTTTGAGACTGCTACGTCTCCGGCGCTGCGGGAAGAGCAGCCTCTACGCCTTAGCGTAACAAATCGCAGGCATCCCTCCGCGCCTCGTCCGATGCCTACGATTTGTTACAGCAGGCGGAGGCTGCTCCCTCTACGTGTCTCCGGCTTTATAAAACCACTCTAGGGGTAGGACAGACTCGTACCAGATGGAGTCGGGGTCAATCAATTCGGTTCTTTGACATAAGTTGAACCTAACCTATTTTATTTGTTATCTGCCCTAATAGGTACTGTTAAAATAAAACAAGTTTCAATAAGAGATCATTTATCGTGGTATCTTTCTTGTTTTTCATAAAATGGGCTTATATTTACATTAGAATAGAATAGAATAGAATAGAATAGAATGATTTTTATTCAATATGGATTATTACATAATACTTATTGAAAGTCATTATTTTATTTACCACTGGTTCGGAAAATACCTCTGTCCTGGGAAGAACCAGCAAGAAACCCAGCGGGACTTTTTTTTTTAAACATAATTTCACTTAACAATAATTTTGATTATACAATTTTAAATGAATTTTCATAGAACCAGCATGGTGGCGATCACCTTATTCCCAGGGGTTATTTTCACTCATGTATTCCTTGATATTATAATAACCCTTTTTGTACAGTTTTTCTTTAATAAAACTTTTAAACTTGTTTATTGACAAACTTTGAACATGTTCTGGGATTCTGTTGTAAAAGCGTATACATTGCCCCATAAATGAATTACTAATTCTGTGGAGTCTTGTAAGTGGCATTACAAGTTTATGTTTGTTCCTAGTGTTTAAGGTATGAACATCCTTATTCTTATTAAAGCTATTTATGTTTTTATGTACATACATTACATTTTCATAAATATATTGCGATGCCAAAGTTAATATGTTTATTTCTTTAAATTTTTCTCTAAGGGACTCTTTACAATTTAGATTATAAATCGCCCGTACGGCTCTCTTTTGCAAAACAAATATAGCTTCAATATCAGTCGCATTACCCCATAGCAAAATTCCATAAGACATTACGCTATGAAAGTAACTAAAATACACTAACCTAGCTGTCTCAACATCTGTGAGACTTCTAATCTTTCTTACAGCATATGCTGCAGAACTAAGTCTGCTTGCTAATTTAGATATATGGGGGCCCCATTGAAGTTTCGCGTCAATAGTAATACCGAGAAAAACAGTGGTATCCACAAGACTCAACTCCTCCCCATTTAAGAGCACATTGGTTTTCGAATGTTTTACATTAGGTATTGTAAATTTAATACATTTTGTCTTATTGCCGTTTAAGAGCAAATTGTTGGCGTTAAACCAATGTACTAGTTTCGATAGAGCATTATTTACATCGTCATATTTAATTGACTGCCGTTTCAGTTTGAAAATTAAAGATATAATTATAATTAATTATAAGTGCATACATTAAAAAAATATAGATATTTTAGAAATCGATTTTTTGTGAACCGATACATCAGCTTACGATTTGAATCGATTTAAAAATCGACCTTTTTCGGAAAGAATCGACATCCTTATTGACGTCGACAATGACATTACAAAATGGCGCCAGTTTTACAGTAGGATTAGACATAAACATTGCAAGAATAATTGATTTTCAATAATTTTTTTCTCAAAAATTACGCGTTTCCACATGTTGAAACTTTGTGTGTGTGCTTATAATAGTGTAACTTTTCTGTAAAAATCAACACCCAACTCGACGGACGTCAATGGAAAGCTAAGCCGCACTTTTATATATCAACAAAATATACTATAAATCACTCTTTTATCACAGTCTTTTAGTATCCATTGCTATATATAGCAATAGATTGCCTTATCGAAGAGATATTAAATGTTAAACATTTGATGGAACTTTTGACCATTATCATACACACAAATTAGAACCTTAGATATGTTGTGCATCAAATTATACATGTTATTATATATATATGTGTTTTGCTTTTTTTTTGTTACAACTTTCCTTATCAATTTTCACTATTTATTTGTGTCACCTCAACTTTTCGAAAAATAGAGTGATTAGACTAAGTATAATAAAAAAAATTTTTATGTAATGTTGCAGGTCAGGGAACTCCTAATCATAATTCATCAAGTAATCCACCCGGTGGTTCGACTCCTAACAGCACAACTGTGCCTAATTCAATGCACTCGCCAGGAAATTCTTCAAGTAAGTAAATGCAAAAATGTTGCCGTTATTATTAAATAGTTATTTTCTGAATTAATAAATTAATGCATAGTGGTGCTATGGCTAATAAGCCTTGTGTTGCAGACTCACTCTGTCTGCAGGTAGGTGTTTTAAGTCTGCCCATGTATAATTTATATTAACCCTTTCGCTGTCCCATGCACTACATATAGGTCATGGCTATTGTCTTACTATGTGTCTGAAAACCGGACAGTGAAAGTGTTAATTTATTTTTGCCGTGTAGTGGCGACGTAAGAGAATCCTAGGCTAGCAGAATTAAAATAAATTATAACAAAAGTAAAAAAATGTTGCTAGGTGAAATAATATTAGTTATTAAGTGACAAATTAGCAAGTATTCACATTTTAAATATGTTGAAGCTATTCTTTTTTTAAATATAATTCCCCCAGTGGGATTTTCTCCTGTATCACATAATATGGAGATAAGTCCAGACCTGGGACAATTATTTGTAGGCCATACAAATCATATTTAAATTAACTTTGAAGCCTTCACTTCTAAAACCTAAACAAATAATTAAAATTTGTGAAGATGAAGTGCTTGTTTATTGTCAAAATAACAGCTTTTTACTAAATGCATAGAAAGTATATATGGTACTGATAACAAAAACGCAATTTTAAAAATATTTGTCTTTGTCTGTCTGTCTGTTTATTTCAGCTAATCTCCTGAACGGCTAGACCAATTCTGACGGGACTTTCACTAGCAGATAGCTGATGTTATAAGGAGTAACTTAGGCTATTTTTGTTTCAGAAAAAGAATTAGGGTTCCGCAAAAAAAATTATAACCCAATTTTTTATAGAATAAGGGTGAAAAACGAGCACACAGTCCACCTGATGATAAGCGGATGCCGTGGCCCATAGACATCTATATTTATCCTCAATTAAGCATCAAAATGCAGATGCGTCGTCACCCCTGAGGACTAAGATGGAATGCCTTGTTTCCGCTAAAAAGTATCTCTGGTTCTCTACACTCACCATACGAAACACAGCAGCATTAAACTGCTATTTTACACTGGTATTCTGGGAGAGCGTGGTCCCACTCCGGACGAGCCGCGACCCATTAGTGCTGCAACCACAACATAGCTGCAGCATGGCTCTACCATGTAAAAATGAAATGAAATCCAATCGTAATAAATTATACGTGAGCGAAGTCGCGGGGAACAGATAGTTGTTACATAAAATAATTAGGGTGATTTTTATCAAATGATATTTATTTTGAGACCTTCTGTACATTTATCATAATCTCTCTTACTTTTAAAGCTATTTTATTTATAAATACACTAAAAATAAGTACATCCACTGTCTGTGGTCGTTTCGAGCCGACTGAGCGCCCTGAAAGCACTCAGTCATCCTAACCATGTAGTAAAGTCTTAACACTTTTTCTTTTTTGAATTCTAATTGGGTTCTTAGCTTTAGGTTCAGGAGAGAGCACAGATTGGCAGCAGGCTCTAAAATTGTGGAATTATTGCTGTCGTCTTGCCAGATACATGCTAGATGAGGGACTATTAGATCGACATGACTTTCTTACCTGGATTATAGAACTGCTTGATAAAAGGACACCTGAAGACGGCCTTTTGAGGTAAGTATGATAAGTATGTATGAACTTTCATTTGGATATTGCTATAGAAAATATTTCCTTTTGTTAATTTCGCAATGTATACTTTATTCGGTTTTACATGATGGGAGTACCATGGAAAAATAAATCAACCCTTAATTCTGATTGCATCAGCTTGTGAAGTACAGACCTAATAATAGATTTGAAAAGTATGCTTTTCATTACATAATTTTAAATTTTTTGTTCTTCATTTATTGTCGTAATTAAAAATAATATGAAAACAATTACTATTTATTTTCTTGCTCACACAACACCTTATTGTATATCTTCTGCAGGCTGTTTCTACCACTTGCCTTACAACATATGAGTGAATTCGTGTGCTGCGAAAGTCTTTCACGCCGCCTAGCGACTACATGTGCCAAAAAAGCAGCAGCAATTTGCTCCGTACTCTCTGACACGACTCTTCGCACACTTAACCAGCCAGTGGTGTTTTCTAAAGATTCTGACAGAAATGGTAGTTATGCTATATTTATAAAATGTGTTTTTTAAGTATCTTATATTTTTTATATGATGTTCTTCTTATCGATTTCGTCTATGCAACAACACTGATATATTTATTAATGTATAGTTAATATTCTAGTGCTTAAATGTAATAAAATCAAAAGTAAAGTTAGATGCTATGTAACTGCCAATACAAAACTAATAGTTTGTGTTTTTTGCTTAAATATTTGTACAGATTGAAATTCAGATCGACATGAAACCTTGAACGCTAAATTATGCTGTCATCAATCTTATTAATATTGTTGCGCCCCACTATTAATGTCTTGTACATGGCAACACTATTTACCACTAGCGCCCTCTACTATCGAGTAGCAGAACTAGGAGATATGTACTCGAACATTCTAGATGTTTCTACAGTAGAAGGTTCTGGGAACTATCTGAGGCCCTATATAAGGCCGGTATAGACCACCACCGAGACAGGCCACACACTTAGACACTACTCTAGTACAGAACACTAGGGCACATCGCATTTGCTGGCGAATGCGTCGTCACAGACACACCCCGTACACGAGGTTTAACACCCGTGATACGGGGCGTTTCTAACTTTTGCGACCCGTTAAAAAAATTACGATAGTGATTCAAGCCGAGGTTCGTACCTCCTTCTGAGAGGCCCTTGAATCGCATCGAGCCCCCCCCCCCCCCCCCCCCCTAGCTCGAGGAGCCTCACTCCGAAAGCAGGGGTCGGGGTGCCTCGGGACTGCAGTCGGCGAAGCGGCGCTTCGCGCCTCCTCGCCGCCGGCAGAATCGTTGCACTCAATAGTACGTATATCCTCACTTACGAGCCTAATTAGATGAAGCTGTCAAGGTCACAGGGCCAACAGCGTACACATTCAGAAAAAAAGACACCGAGACAGTATTGAATTGGCGATATAATTCTTCGAAGCGATACAACTGCGAACTTAAGTGATCAGTAGTACAATTGTGTTTTATTATTAGTGTGGTTTAAGTTGTAATTACTTCTTTGTATTTAAAGTGTCAATTTTGGTAATTCAATCGGCAGTTTTTAATTGTCTCGAACCTCAAGTAACAAAAACAGACCCGACATGCAAGAGTGCTAGTCTTATGTTGTTAAATTTCACGCACAACCTCAACAATTGCTTTTTAATACAAATTGTTGATTTTTTTCGCAATACTAAAACTATAGCCTTTTCGACATATCATTGTGAACTTTTTCATTTTAATATTTTTATTATCCATTGGACCTTTAGTAAAGGATCAGTAAGTTATCAAAGACAATATAATTAATATATTCTGCAGATAAAATAAAAAATATTTAAATGTGTGAAATTTTTTAAAGCTAATAAATATGCATTTATCTTAAAATGGTAAAACGTTAGATGAAAAATATACCAATACATTAATTTTCTTATCTAAATATGCAGCACATTTAACGCTGGGGACAAAAATCGCAACGTGGTAGAGCCATGCTGTAGTTATATGTTTGTAACAAGAATGGGTCGCCTCGACCGGGGAGAGACCTTGCTCTCATAGAATACCAGTATAGCAGAATAATGCTGTTGCGTTTCGTATGATGAGTGTAGAGAACTGGGGAACCCTTTTACTCGAAACAAGGCATTTTAATCGTGAATATATGTAGATATGGGCGACAGCATGTTTTTGTAAAAAAAGCATTAACCCATATAAAGCATACCATTTTTTTCATAAAATAAGTATTTTAAAATAAGACTTGTTATTTTGTATTTTAAAATAAAACTTGTTATTTTGTATTTTAAAATAACGATATGCAAAACTACTACTAATAGGATATGGAATGAGTTGAACATGAAATAATATTTTGTTTCTTTTTTTTTTAGAAATAAACGGTACACCAATGTCGCCAGCAACGGAAAACGCCAACGGCGATGTAAAACCAAATGTTTCCCAAATAAAACGCTCAGCAACCCCTGGTGATCAGAGTCAAGGCACTCCTAACCCAAATCACTCTATCGGGACTCCGAATCCAAATCATTCCATAGGCACGCCAATCCCAATGGGTACCCCCAATCCGTCACAACCCATGGATGTGCAAGTGAAAGAAGAGAGTGGATCACCTCCTAGAGACACAAAGACGGCAATAAACAATGTGATAACAGCGGCTCTGAATCCTGTCCAAGCAGGATTCGGCGAAATATTGAACTGTGCCTATCATAGAGATATTATAATACAACTAGCTACAATATTGCAGGTTTGTAAAAACAGATACCTTTATTTAAGCCTTCTTTATACTATCTATCATATTTAGGCTATAATATATTAGCATTCCAATATACAACGTGCAGCAACAATGGTGACTTTAATTTAACACACATATACGTTTTCTCTATCTCGTTTCATGAAGAAATTATATTTCCATTAAACGTTATTATTTACAAATTTATTTAAAATTTTAGAAAATAGCATCTTAGAGCAACCTGTACTTAAAGAACTGTCGCGCAGCGATCATTTGACGGGTTCACGGATCATAAGATCGCATCATTTAAATTAAAACGAATAAGCAATACCATTAAAGGAAAGATACATCCCTTTATCGGCGAGCGGAAGGCGCAGGCGATGCGCGCCCCCCACCCCCTGCACCGAAAACGAATTTTTTTTTTGCTTTTTCTAGTGCTAGCCAAATCAGTGTCCTTAATTCTTTGGTACTGCGATAAAGAGCGCTTTGTTTTGTTGTTAATATAGTAGATACGTTTACGTCTCTTGCGATACGGACGCTTTTATTTGTGTTATTAGTGCTTGTGTAAACTTGTGATCGTAATGGCACATACACATCCGAACAAGGCATTTTTAATCGTGGAAATATGTAGATATGGGCAGCAGCTGAATATGCGGACATGATCCTAATTTACGGAGAATGTCGTCAAAATGCCGCCCTTGCGATAAGGACATATCGCGAGAGATATGGGCATTCAAGACAATGCCCTACTCATCCTCGCGCTGTTGTAGGAGCTCTTTATCTCGAGCGCATCCGCGAAAACCACCTACACGACAAAACCCAATCCAGTTAACTAAAATGTGATACAATATTTCGAAGACCAACCCAAAACTAACCTCCGCCAGAGCGCTAGGCATTTTCAAATCAATCACACAACCGATTAGGCAGAAGCGAAAAGTGGCACCCATTCAAGTTTAGAAAAGTACATACTCTGCTATCGCGTGATAAATTAATAAGAGTGAATTATTGTCAGTGGTTACTGAGTAAAATTGAAGAGGAGAGTGACTTTCTTTCCCAAATTTGTTGGTCTGACGAAAGCACGTTCACCAAAAGTGGCATGTGGATCTAGCACAATCTGCACCATTGGGCACCCAAAAACCAAAATCCGCGCGTTTGGCGGGAGTCACCCCATCAGTACAGATTTTCGGCAAATGTTTGAGCAGCTGTTCACGGTGACAACATCATCGGACCCGTATTCATTGATGGGGCTTTGAACGGAGAAAGGTTTGTTAATTTACTAAATGATACGGAGTCAGAATACACAAACAACCTAAACGTCCATCGATACCAACGAATGTGGTACCAATTAGATGGCGCGCCAGCACACTCTGTAACAACAGCCAGGCAGTGGTTAAATATCACGTTTGGTGCACAATGGATTGGTAGATTTGGACCTCGTAGGTGGCCAGCAAGATCGCCAGACCTCACGCCACTCGTTTTTTTTTCTCTGGAAGTGCATCAAAGACGATGTGTACGCGGAGAACGTGGATTCGGTGGAACAATTACGCCATCGAATAATAAATGTGTTTGAGAAATTGAGGGAAATGGCTATAAGTTATTTTCAAATCTACGGGAAAATATAAAACGCTGTATATCCGCCAACACGGTGGTCTCATTGAAAATAAGAAAATTTAAAATAAAGACAAATAAAAGCAGTGATTAGTGATGACAGTTATAACTAATAGTAACAGGACAGGGTGATATGATAAGTGTTTGACTAAGCACCTCCGCGCTGTAGGTACTCTCCGGTGCTGCTCGGTTTCTTTGATAATTAGCCGTCAAAGAATCGGGCCGATCACGAGTAAGTACAAAGACGGGTTGCGCGGTTGCCAGCGCGCGAAGCGACGCGTTGCCGCTCCAAGTTAACGTAAGCCAGCTGGGTAGGTAATTTCATGATGAAGTTTTGCAAGGATGATCCAAATTTTAGTTAATTTTTTACTATTAAGTTTGTTTGAAATTTTTTTGCAATTTAAGAGTTACTTTAACCTATCGAAATTAATATGATTAATGGGCAACCCGTGTGTTGAATTAAAGTTACCATTGTAGCGGCGACGTTGTATATCACAACTGTGCCTCGGGCCGGAGTTTGCGTGTATGTCAGAGAGGACATCTGTTCTCGACGCCCCTCTTGGCTCTTCGGACCATTGTCTGATCCAGAGTGTGGTGCCACTCACGCTCCCCTCGCGGTTGCGTTCTGCAGGTTGCCGCCGTGTTTGGCATTACAGGTCGGCGGATTGGGACGGAATGCGGTCTTTCTTTGCTTCCTACCCATGGGGGCGGGTTTGCTTCTCGCCGGATGATCCCAGCGCTGTTGCTGACTCTGTCACTGATGTGGTGCTACAGGGAATGGAACTATTTATTCCATCATCTGTGGTACCCATCGGAGGCAGATCTCAGCCTTGGTTTGGTCGCTCCTGTAAGACTGCATTACGCAGTAAGCAGGAGTGTTATCAAGCCTGGGCTGCGGCTTCGGTGACTCGGGATGTAAACACCAGCATACTCAAAAAGAAGTATAACTTCGCCTCCAGGTCCTTCAAAAGAGTTATTGCCAAGGCAAAGTCAGAGCACATAGGCAGAATTGGCGAGAAACTAGTTCGCCTTCCTTCGGGAACCCGTGCATTCTGGTCTCTCGCCAAGGCTGTCCAAGGGAATTTCTGTAAGCCATCACTACCATCTCTGCACAGGTAGGACGACTCACTGGCCCACGACGCAAAAGAGAAGGCCGACCTTTTAGGCTCCCTTTTTGCGTCCAACTCGACTGTTGATGACGGGGGGAACACACCGCCGACCATCCCGCGGTGTGAGTGCTCCATGCCGGATGTGCGGTTCTCACAGCGCTCGGTTCGCAGAGCACTCCTCTCCCTTGACATCCACAAGTCGAGTGGGCCTGACGGAATCCCCCCAATTGTGCTGAGGACGTGTGCTCCGAAGTTGGCACCGGTTCTAACGCGTCTTTTCCGGTACTCCTACTCCCTAGGCGTAGTCCCGAAATCATGGAAGACAGCTTTTGTCCACCCGATCCCTAAAAAAGGCGACCGCTCAGACCCGTCCAACTACAGGCCTATCGCCATCACCTCCTTGTTCTCCAAAATAATGGAATCCATTATTAACTGCCAGCTCATCAGGTACCTTGAGGATCACCAGCTGATTAGTGACCGCCAGTACGGTTTTCGTCGGGGTCGATCAGCTGGTGATCTTCTGGTCTACCTGACCCATAGATGGGCGGAGGCAGTAGAGTCCAAGGGGGAGGCGTCGGCCGTTAGTCTGGACATTGCGAAGGCCTTCGATCGGGTTTGGCACAAAGCGCTTCTTTCGAAGCTCCCTTCCTATGGGCTTCCCGAGAAATTATGCAATTGGATCACCAGCTTTCTTGCAGATCGGAGCATCAAGGTCGTTGTAGACGGTGCATGCTCCGACTACAAGCCTATTAACGCTGGTGTTCCACAAGGCTGCGTGCTATCACCAACGCTGTTTCTTCTGCATATCAATGATATGTTGCAAGCCGGTAGCATTCATTGCTATGCGGATGACAGCACTGGTGATGCTCTATACACCGGCCGTGCCAATATTTCTCGGGAAAACGTCACTGAGTACCGGAACAAACTTGTGTCTGAAGTCGAGTCTTTGCTGGACAAAGTCTCGGATTGGGGGCGACTAAATCTAGTCCAGTTTAATCCTCAGAAGACACAAGTTTGCGCGTTTACCGCTAAAAAGAACCCCTTTGTCGTATCTCCTCAGTTTCAAGGTACTCCCCTTGTTGCCTCAGCTAGTATCGGAATCCTCGGCGTCGACATATCGAGTAGCGTGCAGTTTCGTGGTCACTTGGAAGAGAAGGCCAAATTGGCCTCTAAAAAGCTTGGCGTGCTCAGTAGAGTGGGACAGTATTTCATGCCGGCTCAACGCCTGCAACTTTACAAGGCGCAGGTTCGGCCTCACATGGAATACTGTTCCCATCTCTGGGCTGGGGCTCCCCAGTGCCAGCTTCTTCCACTTGACCGTATCCAGCGCAGAGCGGCTCGAATTGTCGACGACCGAGTTCTTTCCGATCGGCTCGACTCATTGGCACTGCGAAGAGATGTTGCATCTCTTAGCATTTTCTTTCGCATTTACCATGGGGAGTGCTCTGAGGAATTGTTCGGATTAATCCCAGCCGCCAAATTTCACGAACGCACATCGCGGCAGAACTCCCGATACCATCCACACCGTCTGGATGATTGGCGGTCCACCACTGTGCGATTTAAAAGATGTTTTCTTCCTCGCACAACTTCCTTGTGGAATAGTTTACCACCAGCGATTTTTCCGGACCGATACGACTTAGGGACCTTCAAGAAAAGAGCCTACTCCTTTTTAAAAGGCCGGCAACGCATCTGCAATTCCCCTGCTGTTGCGGTTGTTCATGGGCGGCGGTAGTCACTTACCATCAGGTGAGCCGCATGCTCGTTTGCCCCCTCTCCTATAAAAAAATAAAATAAAACGAACACGATGCATACATACCGCCCTACGCTGTGTGTAACGCTCGACGCTTGCTGAGAAATCAGCAAGTACCTACAAACTCGTACTAAATTATTAGGCACTGCGTTATCGCTTTATATTATACCTCTATGGCTCTATAGATACCCAATATAGATTGCTTATTTTATTATGTTTAGTTTTCCCCGGGTGGTCATGCAGCGACCACTCAAGAGTTCACGACGCCGACGCATGAACTTGAACAGTCATCGCAGTTTATGTCCGTACTAGCTGTTGCCAGCGGCTTCGAACGCGTGTAACTCGAAAATTATCCCACAGGAACGAAATACCTGAATAAACGGTATCATATGTGTTATTCCAGACTATAACCTATGTCTGAGCTAAATATCATCCAGATCCCTCCAGTCGTTCTGGCCTGATTGAGTAACATACATCCATCCATCCATCCAAACATCCAAACTTTCGCATTTATAATATTTAGATAATAATTATATAAATTGTTTTCAAAAATACTTACTTATCTGTCTTCTTTTTTTTTATATATACTCAATTTCACTAAATGTAAACACATGTTTTTATCAAGACAGGTGACCCATCAAAACTGTTTTTTCTTAGTACCGACGTACCTACCTAAAGTTTACATTTTTGTGTCCACGACGCGGCGACGGTTTCTGGCATTTTGTTGTGTTGTAGGTTGTAGGTACCTAGGTAATAACAGTAGGTAACTATGATAATCCCACATAATATACCTAGTTTGTCCGCCGCAAAAGTCGTCGAATAAATAATTAAACTGTTTTGTTAATCTTTATTGATTATTATTTCCTTTATAACATTTTCATTGAGAGCCGTGGTAGGTTGGTGACTTGATGGTTAGCGCTCGCTGTAACTGTGACAGTACGCGAGCAACCCACTTGCAACTTGTGCTGTGCTGATTTACCACGTGCTCGGCGGTGAAATAAAACATCAAACAAACAACCTGCATGTCTGAGAATTAAGAAAAAACATATTTCGAAGACGCGAATTTCGCCAACACGCATTGGGGCAGCGCGGCGGACATTTTATTGCCCTAAAACCCTTTCAGAAATGAGGAGGCCTGTGCCCAGCAGTGGGACGTATATAGGCTGTAACTTTAACTTTAATAAAAAAGTGTAATTTTAACGTTTTTATAAAAATAATTAAAACACATTTGACCGGGGACGGACCACGCTCTCACAGAAAACCAGCGTAAAATAGCAGCTTAACGCTGCTGTGTTTCGTATGGTGAGTGTAGAGAACCGGAGACCCTTTTTACTGGCAAAGAGGCATTCCATCTTAGTCCTCACGGGTGACAACGCATCTGCATCTTTAGTCTTTATTGAGGATAGATGTGGATGTCAATGGGTCGCAGTGGCCACTTACCATCAGGTGGACTGTGTGCTCGTTTGTCACCCTATCCTATAAAAAAAATAAAAAAAATAAACTTAAAATATATTTTTTGTTGATAGATTATAATTACTAAATTAATAACACCAATACTGTCATTGTTTCTTTTTACGTCTGCGGTTTGTAATTACCGCCACTATAGTTCAAAATAAATTATTCCTAATACACAGAAAAATAGTTAGGTGTTTAAGATACTATGTAGAAGGTTGGTTATTAAAAACGAGTAGACGAATGTAAGCCCAATTTACGCACGTGTCATACAACGTTTTTCAATACTTTTGCGAGAAAACAGCACCTACTATAGGTAATGAAACAAACTTTTTGTTTTTAGATATCAGTTGGAAAGTGTGTTTTTCTGGGCTGTTTTGTTTTGTTAGACTGACATCTCGCAGGTCAACCTAGGAGGTTGTCGGCTGCTTATTTTTTATTTTTATTTAAAATTTTCTTCCGTGATATAATATAATTATAATGGAACATTAATAAAATTTAGACATCGGGTTTTTTCTATATTTTATTTATATTCCGCTAATTTTGACTGTGCTTATCTCAATTTGATTTACATTCTACCTCTAAATTGTAGTTTACGAAGGTAACGGGGATCAGCTCCGTCAAAACACATTTCTGATTAAAGGTATCTAATTTTAAAATTTTGTCTTACGTCCAAAACGCATCATCTCTTTCAATTATATCAATTTAGATGCCATTTGGCGTCCAAATATCAAAATAGCAAAACTTTCGTTTTGTTATCATTAGTTGGCCTTGAGCCTTGAACAAACGACATAGGTCGCAACAGACTGAGTTGAATAAAACTCGAATAAGCGTAAGCGCGTGTACCCGCGCGTGCATTTCTGCGTGAGCGTCGTCCTCCCACACCGTACCGGGTGAAACATTATTCAGTGAGATACGTAAAAAAATACGAAAAGGCCTTTGGAAAATCGAGTTTTATGAAAATAACACTGCATAAATCATTTACAAATAAAATTTATTGAATTCTTCGATAATTGAGCATTGTCGGTACCGACTTTGTTTTGGAAAATTTTACACTTTTTTATTACTAATTTACACCCAAAGTTGTGTTAAAATTAGCAATAAAAACTAATCTTTGTGAGTTCGTAACTTTTTAATGTCTCTTTATTTTACTATTCTTTTTCCGCACAGACAAAACTATATTATGTTTAACTTTGGAGGTTCCCCAACAACAACAAGGTAACAGCGAAGTTCCCATCCCCCCCCCCCCCCCCCCCGTAATTTCTATGGTAATAATGTCGACTAGTGTTACCTTAAGGCATTAAGTTTGCCATATGTACGATTTTATTTTTTGCATAAAAGTTTAAATAAAGAAATAAGCCAAATAGACATACAGAATACATGTGAACTACCTTAGGTAATAAAAATAAATAGGTAACACCACAATTGCAAATCTTCCTTTTCAGATAATATGCATTGAGTGTCCCACTGCCATGGTCTGGTCTGGTTGTGGATCCTCTATGCAAGGATCTCCTCTAGATTTGCTACCACTACCTCCATCAGCTTTACCTATGCCTCACATGGACTCTGAAATTACAGAACATCATAGAAAACTGGTAAGAAAAATATAAAAATATAGTTTCAAAATTTTATGTGCGCTGTGTTTTGTTTTTCTTTTCTTAAATCGTCTTGAATATAGTAAAATTTTATTAAATAACACTTGTGGGTCACTTTTTTAACATAAGCTTTCGAAAATATTTCTGTTCTTGAAAGAACCAGCATATATATATATATATATATATAACAGTATTATACAAAGTACAACGAACTAAAAATGATTTGTTAAAGAATCAAAGTCAAAAGTCACGGCCAGTGTCCGTCTCACCATTTATTTTAATTGGTGCCGTTATGTGAAATAAATATGTATAAAACCGCGCGTTTGTGTGTGTAACAGCGATTCGTTCGACTCGCTCTCGTGATTGAGCGCTCGCGAGGCCTACTCACACTAACACAATGTATATGTGCATGGCTAACATCAACCAAAGTCAAACCTTCATCGTGAAATAGAATAATCATAACCAGTAAGAGCTTAAGCTGGTATTCTTCTGTTTGAGCATGGTGATTTCCCTGTTAAAGCGATTCTTTCAATTTGCGTTTAAGATGTAGCTGTAGCATGGCTCGACCGAAATTAATTAATTTATTACTATTGGAAAGATAAACGTGTTTTCTTCTTCTCTAGGTTTATGAAGCCGAACAAGAAATCGCGGCAAGAAGTAAAAAAGCTGAAAGCAAATGGTGTACTGACAAATGGCAAACAAGTTCCCAAGGTAAAACTCTATGGTGGTTCACTTGTACAACATTTTTATTGTTACTTTACATATTTAACCATCCATATAATGTAGCCCGTGTAGTGGCGGGTAAGAATACCCACTACACCATATCTTCCCGTGGGTGTCTTTAAAGGCGACAGAGGGAAACTGACTGATAACAGCAAAACAACAATAAAAAAAACTGCGGTTGCCAACCCGCTCACCAAGCGTGGCAACTATGGCAATATATCCCCCCATGATGAAAGTTACGAAGAGATGACCCCCAGTCCCCACGGTGGTGACCATGGTAACGGCGGGGCAGGTGGTTATTCGGGGGGGGGGGGGGCAATTACCGGTGGAGGTTCGGTTGCCACCTAAGACGACTCGACCTGGCAACATATAACGCACGCACCATGAGGACTGACGAGAAGATCGTGGAGCTGGAAATAGAGATAGACAAGTTGCGCTGGAATGGATTATTCGAGGTCCGAAGAGACGGGAGGACATGGTAATCATCAAATCCGGTAACTTGTTCTATATCCGGGGGGGCGAACATCTGTCCCAAAGAGGTGTCGGATTTATCATCCACAAGTTTCTCGTTAACAACGTTGTAAAGATTGTGTGTGTAGACGAGGGTTGTGTACCTTATACTCAGACTCACCAAACAGTATTCGCTGAAGGTCATACAGGTTTACGCACCAACCTCGTCACATCCCGATGAGGAGATGGAGGAAATGTATATCTAGAGCCATGCATTCCTCCAAAACCCACTATACGGTGTTAATGGGAGACTTCAATGCAATTCTAGGCACAAGAGAGAACGATGAGCTGAAGGTAGGGCAATTTGGAATAGGGCAACGGAACCCAAGGGGCCAGCAGCTAGCCAACTTCATGGAGAAAGAGGGACTCTTTATGATGAAATCTTTCTTCCAGAAGCGGCCCCATAGGAAGTGGACCTGGTCGCGCCCTGACGGTTCGGCTAACAATGAGATTGACTTCATTATGACGAGTAGACGACAACTGTTCAGTGATGTCTCAGTGATCGCGAGGGTGAAAACTGGTAGCGATCACCGAATGGTTAGAGGCACACTGAACCTAAACATCAAGTTGGATAGGTCTCGTCTAATGAAGTCAGCGCTCCGTCCCCCTCGTGCTCTAATCCAGAGTCCCGAAACCTTTTAGTTCGAGCTATAAACCCGTTTTAAGTGCGGTCGGAGCTAAGTTCTGCAAGACCTGCCGCAGAAGAACACAAAAACTCCCCGATCACACTCTTAATCTCATAGCTGTTAGACGGGAAATGAAGCTGCAGTCTTCAGATTTGACAGCATACAGGCAACTGAACAAACAGTTCTCCAAATGCATGCGGCGGGACTTACGCAACTTCAATACACTTCTACGGTTCTACGGGCAGCTGTACACATCATCGTTGGAGCCACATGCAAGTGTGAGTAACGATCCAAGAGCAAGTCTTATCCGATACTGTTTCGATGATATTCCTGACGTCAGTCTGAGCGAGATTAGAATGGCTCTCCAGCACCTTAAAAACGACAAGGCCCCAGGCGAGGATGAAATTACAGCGGAGCTTCTGAAAGCGGGTGGAAAACTGGTACTTGAATTCCTTCAGAAGCTCTTTAATTCCGTCCTCCATGGTGACACTACACCGGAGGCGTCGAGCAGAAGTGCGGTGGTCTTGTTCTTCAAGAAAGGTGACAACGCTCTCTTGAAGAACTACAGACTGATTTCCCTTCTGAGCCGCGTCTACGTGCTGTTTTCGAGAGTCATTACGAATCGTCTCGCACGCAGACTCGACGACTTCCAACCACCCGAACAAACCGGTTTCTGAAAAGGCTTTAGCACCACAGACCACATTCATACTGTTGTCGTCAGCTCAAATTCGAGGATTCGTAAAAGAAAGACCTAATATTCCACATAATCACATCTTATATTTCCATACAATAATCCAATATCACAGGGTATACATAATATCATAGCAAATAAATCTCACGTACTTACAGTTTCAGTTTTCCAATAATTAGATATTAACTATTATTACAACTACTTCGGCGCTTTATTGCTCACGACTTACTTCCTCTGAACCTGGAACCAGAATGCCATTTTCCTTTTTCGTGTTAGCTTCCCTCGCTACCATCACACGTTTACTATGCATTCGAATAAACGACCGAGTCTATGGTTGAATGATTTAATAATTTTGGGTTGCCATTGTACAAGTACCTATCATAAATGAGCAGTATAAATACAGACTTATCTAGGGTTACCGGAAAGAAGCTAACAATACCCTTCGGCAAATTGTACAGAAGTCCGAGGAGTACAACAACGAAATTTGGGCGGTACTGCAGTCCCTTCAGCGGTGCCAAGTTGATTGTCGGTATATCGAAGTGCTAAAGTGTTTGTATAGTTGGGCTACGATAGCTATCCGAGTACAGAACCAGAACACGAAACCTATCCAACTGCAGAGAGGTGTAAGACAGGGTAACGTAATATCCCCGAAACTCTTCACCGCTTCATTGGAAGACGTTTTCAAGCTACTGGATTGGAAAGGATACGGTAACGTCAATGGCGAGTAAATCACTCACCTTCGATTTGCCGACGATATAGTCATTATGGCAGAATCGTTGGAGGACCTAAGCACTATGCTCAACGACCTCAATAATGTCCCCCAACGGATAGGTCTTAAGATGAACATGGACAAAACAAAAATCATGTTTAACGTCTATGTCACACCCATGCCGGTAGTTGTTGGGAGCACTAAGCTCGAAGTTGTTGACGAATATGTTTACCTGGGACAAATACGCAGACTAGGTAAGTCCAGCTTCGACCGAGAGGTCAATCGACGGATTCAACTCGGCTGGGCAGCGTTCGGGAGATTACGACACATCTTCTTATTAGACATACCTCAAAACCTCAAAACTAGTTTGTTCAACCAGTGCGTGTTACCAGTGATGACCTATGATACTGAGACATGGTCCTTCACTGCTGGCCGTATGAGCTATGGAGAGGGCTATGCTCAGCGTTTCTCTGCGTAATAGATTTAAAAACAAGGATATCCGTAGTAGAACCAGAGTAACGGACATAGCCCAAAGAATTAGTATGCTGAAGTGGCCATATAGCTCGAAGAACCGACAACCGATGGGGGAAAAAAGGTTCTCGAGTGGCAGCCTCGTACCGGCGCGGCGGACGAAGAGTAGGGCGTCCCCCACTAGATAGAGTGACGACCTGGTAAGACATGTAGGAAGTCGATGGATGCAGGTGACTCAGGACCGTGCTTTGTGGCATTCCGGATTGAGGAGACTTGTGAAGGGCTGTAATGATGATGATGATGATGATGATAATGTAGGGACGGTGTAAGAATTTCCACTATTCCATATCGTTCCATGGGTCCGTAAGAGGCGACATAGGGAAGCTGATCAGAAGATGGGCAGTAACATTATCATGGTAACAACCCAAAATTATAAAAACCTGCAGTTGACAATCCGCTAGCCAAGCGTGGCAACCATGGCAACATCCTCCATATGAGGCAAACTTTGGGTGGAGCCTATGTTCAGCAATGGACTTTTGAGGCTGTAATGAATTACGTATCTGAGATGAAAACCTGTGTTAGTCTCACTGCTGAACACATGGTCCTCATCAATCATTGGGTGGAGCCTATGTTCAGCAATGGACTTTTGAGGCTTTAATGAATTACATATCTGAAATGACAACCTGTGTAAGTTCCACTGCTGAACACATGGTCCGCATCAATCTTTGGGTGGAGCCTATGTTCAGCAATGGACTTTTGAGGCTGTAATGAATTACATATCTGCAATGAAAACCTGTGTAAGTCCCTCTGCTGAAGACATGGTCCTCATTCCTGAAAGGTTTACAGGATAAAAAAGGGTCACAAATACAGGTATTCCCCAATGTTTTGTTTCACCGCTGAGCATAGTGTTAAAGTAAAATTTGTAATAAACAATTAGAGTATTGCCAACGGGGATCAAAATTTTTATTGCCGTTGTACTGTGAATTTATAAGGCGTTTGTTTATTATTTGAGCTACCTTAGACTTACTTTACGATTAAGGTTTAACATTTTTTTTTATCTTCAATCATATTGTGATTCCCATAAAATTAATTTCAGTTCATGACTTTTTTTTATTAAAATTAATTTTATTTCCCCAGCTCGTGTATTAGCTGTCTTGGAAGCGTTGGACCGCCATTGTTTTGATCGCGTAGACCCAAACAACAATCTCGATACTCTATACAAAGAAGTTTTTGCTAATTGCACGCCTCCGTCGAAAGATTCGCCTACTGATGGAAAGGATCCGGTAAGTTTTGAACTTTCATAATGTAAGTAGTGAGTTGTAACATCAGCTGTATTGTAGACTTGATTTATAAATTTAATAACCGAGAATAGTTTAAAATGAGCCTGAACTAATTAAAATTTACTTTGTAGTTTCAGCCGACTTTAAAAAAGGAGGAGGTTCTCAATATAATAATATTTTTGGTGTGTATGTTACGCTTTATTATCGCTAATTGTATTTCATGAATACAATTGGAATCTTACTTTATTAAATAGGTTGTACATCTAGGGTGTTGTCATTTTTTTTTTCATATAAATAATTTGAAGAAAATTGTTCCAATCCGTAAATATACCGAAAAATAGTTAACGGTGGTAGAGCCACGCAGCAGTTTTTGCTGTTGCACGTATGGGCCGGCTCGAGCCGGGTTGGTACCACGACCTCACAGAATACCGGCGTGAAGTAGAAGCTCTGCTTCTGCGTTTCATCTGGTGAGTGCAGGTGGCCGGAGGCCCAATTCCCCCCCCCCCCCCCCCCCCCAATCAACATGGTAGCGGAATTACACGAAAGACTACCCCAGGAGGGTACCAGTACCCCTGGAGAATCCCTCGCTGAGCATCCACGACCATGTTATTCCAATCCTGAGAGTGCTCAGGCTGCCCCGCGTATTCTGGGGAGGGGGGGGGGGGGTCAAAATTCCGCTTAAAAACATAACTGCTCGGGGAAAACTGAGCAACAAGACCAAGGCGACCCCTGCCACGCTTTCGTGAATTTCAGCAACATCAGGGGACTTCACTCTAACCTAAACGCCGTCCACTACCATCTCGAGACGGCAAAGCCGGCCTTGCTCTTTCTGACCGAGACGCAGGTTTCCTCTCCGGCTGATATTTCGTATCTCTCCTACCCGGGGTACAAATTGAAGCACTCCTTTATGCCTCGGGCTGGAGTTTGCGTGTATGTCAGAGAGGACATCTGTTCTCGACGCCTCGGCAGTCTTGAAGGTTCGGACCTGTCCATCCTTTGGCTACGCGTAGACAGCGACGACCATCCGCGCGTCTACGGGTGCCTCTATAGGTCCCATAGCGGTAATGCCGAAACAGACCGACTCATGGACCACGTCCAAACGGCTACAGATTCCTTGCTACAACAGGTACCATCCGCAGAGATCGTGATCCTTGGCGATTTTAACGCCCACCACGCCGAATGGCTCGGTTCACGTTTAACCGATCATGCGGGGAGATCTGTTTATGACTTTGCCTTGGCATATGGTCTGACACAACTGGTTACTTCGCCTACGCGGATTCCAGATGTGGAGGATAATACACCTTCCCTGTTGGACCTTCTGCTGACCTCTCATACGGACGGATATCAGGTTTCCGTCGATGCCCCTCTCGGCTCTTCGGACCATTGTCTGATCCGGAGTATGGTGCCACTCACGCTCCCTTCGCGGTTGCGTTCTGCAGGTTGCCGCCGTGTTTGGCATTACAGGTCGGCGGATTGGGACGGAATGCGGTCTTTCTTTGCTTCCTGCCCCCATGGGTATTTGCTTCTCGCTGGATTATTCCAGCGCTGTTGCTGACTCTGTCACTGATGTGGTGCTACAGAGAATGGAACTATTTATTCCATCATCTGTGGTACCCATCGGAGGCAGTACTCAGCCTTGGTTAGGTCGCTCCTGTAAGACAGCAGTATGCAGTAAGCAGGAGTATTATCAAGCCTGGGCTACGGCTTCGGCGACTCGGGATGTAAACACCAACACACTTAAAAAGAAGTACAACTTCGCCTCCAGGTCCTTCAAAAGAGTTATTGCCAAGGCAAAGTCAGAGCACATAGGCAGAATTGGCGAGAAACTAGTTCGCCTTCCTTCGGAAACCCGTGCATTCTGGTCTCTCGTCAAAGCTGTCCAAGGGAATTTCTGTAAGCCATCACTACCATCTCTGCACAGGGAGGACGACTCACTGGCCCAAGCTGCAAAAGACAAAGCCGACCTTTTAGGCTCCCTTTTTGCGTCCAACTCGACTCTTGATGACGGCGGGAAGACACCGCCGACCATCCCGCGGTGTGAGTGCTCCATGCCGGATGTGCTGTTCTCACAGCGCTCGGTTCGCAAAGCACTTTTCTCCCTGGATATCCAGAAGTCGAGTGGGCCTGACGGAATCCCCCCAATTGTGATGAGGACGTGTGCTCCGGAGTTGGCACCGGTACTAACGCGTCTTTTCCGGTACTCCTACTCCCAAGGCGTAGTCCCTAATTCATGGAAGACAGCTTTTGTCCACCCGATCCCTACAAAAAGGCGACCGCTCAGACCCGTCCAACTATAGGCCTATCGCGATCACCTCCTTGTTTTCCAAAATAATGGAATTCATTATTAACTGCCAGCTCATCCGGTACCTTGAGGATCACCAGCTGATTAGTGACCGCCAATACGGTTTTCGTCGGGGTCGATCAGCTGGTGATCTTCTGGTCTACCTGACCCATAGATGGGCGGAGGCAGTAGAGAGCCGTTAGTTTGGACATTGCGAAGGCCTTCGATCGGGTTTAGCACAAAGCGCTTCTTTCGAAGCTCCCTTCCTATGGGCTTCCCGAGAAATCGTGCAATTGGATCACCAGCTTCCTTGCAGATCGGAGCATCAAGGTCGTTGTAAACGGTGCGTGCTCTGACTACAAGCCTATTAACGCTGGTGTTCCACAAGGCTGTGTGCTATCACCAACGCTGTTTCTTCTGCATATCAATGATATGTTGCTAACTGATAACATTCATTGCTATGCGGATGACAGCACTGGTGATGCTCTATACACCGGCCGTGCCAATATTTCTCGGGAAAACGTTGCCGAGTACCGGGACAAACTTGTGTCTAAAGTCGAGTCTTTGCTGAACAAAGTCTCGGATTGGGGGCGACTAAATCTAGTCCAGTTTAATCCTCATAAGACACAAGTTTGCGCGTTTACCGCTAAAAAGAACCCCTTCGTCGTATCTCCTCAGTTTCAAGGCACTCCCCTTCTTGCCTCAGCCAGTATCGGAATCCTCGGAGTCGACATATCGAGTAACGTGCAGTTTTCGTCACTTGGAAGAGAAGGCCAAATTGGCCTCTAAAAAGCTTGGCGTGCTCAGCAGAGCGGGACAGTATTTCTTGCCGGCACACCGCCTGCAACTTTACAAGGCGCAGGTTCGGCCTCACATGGAATACTGTTCCCATCTCTGGGCAGGGGCTCCCCAGTGCCAGCTCCTTCCACTTGACCGCATCCAGCGCAGAGCGGCTCAAATCGTCGACGACCGAGGTCTTTCCGATCGGCTCGATTCATTGGCACTGCGAAGAGATGTTGCATCCCTTTGCATTTATTTTCGCATTTACCACGGGGAGTGCTCTGAGGAATTGTTCGGATTAATCCCAACCGCCAAATTTCACGAACGCACATCGCGGCAGAACTCTCGATACCATCCACGCCATCTGGATGATTGGCGGTCCACCACTGTGCGATTTAGAAGATGTTTTCTTCCTCGCACGACTTCTTTGTGGAATCGATTACCATCAGCGATTTTTCCGGACCGATACGACTTAGGGACCTTCAAGAAAAGAGCCTACTCCTTTTTAAAAGACCGGCAACGCATCTGCAATTCCCTCCCTAGTGTTGCAGTTGTTCATGGGCGGCGGTAGTCACTTACCATCAGGTGAGCCGCATACTCGTTTGCCCCCTCTCCTATAAAAAAAAAGGTTAATTTTACGACTTTAACTAATGCAATAATTTCACCGTTAAGCATGTTGTAATCAGCATCCGAAATTGCAATTAACAATTTCATTAGTGCCGGCGAGGATCGACCCCAAGTTTTTCGCGTACTGTGGAATTTACGACGAGCGCTTAGTCCTTAAGCTACCATGGCTCTCAAAAAAAAAAGGTTACAATAGTAATGAAAAAACTTATCCGCGTAAAAAAGTTAACTGAGACGAGAAATTTTAATAGCATGTGTTATGCCGATGACCTTCAGCTATACGTGCAAGCTGAAATTGGAGATATCCATAATGGGATTAAAAAATTAAATAACAACTTACAAGCTATCAAGGATTGGTCTACTCGTTATGGAGTATTGGTCAATCCTTCAAAATGCCAAGCTATACTGGTGGGTAGCTCAAGGATGCTAGCCAAGATTAATCTTGCAGACATACCCTCTATCTACTACAATGGGATTACAATACCGTTCAGTAAAATCTTGGCCTACACATTGACAGCACGCTGAATTGGAGAACTCAGGTTACTGAAGTCAGTCGTAAAGTCACTGCTACGTTACGTACTCTGTATCGTTTAAAACATTTTCTCCCCACAAAGTCTAAGATCATGCTTGTCCAATCACTCATATTACCCATAATTGATTATGCAGATGTGTGTTACCCGGATCTGTCCCAGGATCTTCTGAACAAGCTGGAACGCCTTCTCAATAACTGTATAAGATTTATTTTCGGGCTTCGTAAGTATGACCATATTTCGCAATATAGATCTAAGCTTAATTGGCTTACAATCCGGCAGAGGCGTATTTCCAGAATATTACTTGTTCTTTTTTCCATATTAAATGACCCATTTTCGCCTTCTTATCTTAAGAATAAATTTCACTATCTCTCCTCATCTCATGATAGGGTTCTACGTTCGTCTTCTAACAACAAAATATGTTTTCCAGTTCACTTCACCGAGTTCTATGGTAACTCCTTTACAGTTCAGGCTGCACGCCTTTGGAACTCCTTGCCTGACGACATCAGAAAAGCTCCCAATAAGTTTGCTTTTAAAAAGTTAGTGCGTAATCATCTGTTAAAGACAACGCTTCTTAGATGAATCATCCATGTCATTTATATTTTAGACGTATATATTTATAGTTATTTATATGTATTATTTGTATATGTATGATGGTATGAATATATGTATGCTTATGTATGTACGTATATATTTGTATACATGTATAAATAGGATATATTTTTATAGTTTATTTATTGTATATAATAGTAAAATGTATATATAACGTAATTAATTATACATTTCTATTTTCTTTTTATTCTATATTGCTACACCTACTTCAAATTCTCACCACTCCATGGGTTGACTGGTAGAGAATGCCACAAGGCATTAAGTCCGCCCTTTGTATTCTTTTAGATTAAGGAATGCAATAAAGAATAAATAAATAAATAAATAAATAAATATTTTTACAACTAAGACGAATCTAAGACATCCCACCAGTAGCGTGCCAAAAAATACATATAATATATTTATACGCAAATATATGCATACATACATATATATGTACTCGAAAAACATTCTCCCTGCCCTCTTTTTGGGGCAATCGGGTTAAGAAGTGAGTTAAGGAGTGTGCGTGTGCGTGTGTGTTGCAGGAGTGGGCGTGCTCGTACGCGGTGGTACGCGTGCTGTGCGAGTGGGCGGTGTGCGGCGCGCGCTGGGGCGAGCACCGCGCCATGGCGGCCGCCGCGCTGCTCGACCGCCGCCAGCAGCTGCTGCACCTGCACCACGACCACCACGCCTCCGGTGACCATGCCATACCTCACTGTTGCACCGCCCAAACTCTTCTATGTATTCTAAGTATACTAGACTAAGGCCTGTATTTATAAACGTTACTCAGCCCAAGTACACGCACTTGAAAACAATATTTAGGTTATGATCTTATTAATAGTGTCCGACCGAAACAGGATTTTCAACCGAAACCGAAACTTATTTAGACTTGTTATTTTTTTATTGTATACTGAAATCTGGTATAATTTTATACACATACAGATAGATAATGCATGTTAATGAAAAGCAATAATTGTAATAGCCGTGTAGCAATATATTTATTTATTTTAAAGTAAAAATCAACAATTTAACATTAAGAAATACTTTTTTAAGTCAATTTTGTAAAAAAATCAACACTTACACCCATAAAAAGATTTCGCTAATTGAAAACATATTTTAATGTGTTCACAATATTGTTAATATTATTCAATGAGAGCAATAACTTAATATATCACACACACGCAAACACACAACTTAACAAAGTCCCAGAAAATATAAAAAACCTGCTCAAAGTTCAAAAACTTTAATAAACTAAGTTTGTATAAAAAGGTTTATTATAATATTTTGTAATTTATGAATGATAATAACTGCTGGGAATGAGGTGATCACTACCAAGCTATTTCTAATTTGTTTTGTGTTGTTCATCGTGTTACATACATCATTGTAAGCAGTGGCGTAGCTAGGCGTGGGTGAAGTGGGCCTTCGCCTACGGCCTCGCACTTAAAGGGACCTTGCGAAGCCCCCTAAAATGCGATGCCCCCAGACTTTACCACAGATGACTAACTAATTTGATCACTTTTACGCTCCAAAAAGAATGTCACAAATTTAAGTGTGTTTGTTCGGGGCCTCGCAATAAGCCCCTCTTAAGTGCGACTGCGATGTCGTTGTCCAAAGACCGTGATTGTTACATTGACGGAATACGAGACTTGTCAGGAATTAATAGATATGAGTAGGTATGTCGTATCAAAGCATTTTTGGTAGGACAGATCTATTGGGTAGATTCTTGGAATGAAAGAAAAGGGGCCTCGCTGATGCAACTTCGCCCACGTTTATATTAGTCCACGCTACGCCTCTGTGATTGTAAGCTGTTATTTAAAAAAGTCCCGCTGGGTTTCTTGCTGGTTCTTCCAAGGACAGAGGTTTTTTTGAACCAGTGGTAATTAAACAAAAGAGTGACTTTCAATAAGTATTATTTATAATCTATATTGTACTAGCTGTACCCCGCGGTTTCACCCGCGTATATCACGCGTCTGCGCCTTGCGACATGCGAACTTCGAGAGAGACATCACGACGGACGGTTGCTGAATTAACAAAGATTTAAAAAGTGAAATATGTTACTAAAATTACATGGTTAACGTAATTGCTGGTTATGCATGATACAGGTACTGATACGAATAATGTGGCCTAGTTTGTACCGGCGTTACTATTTCACATTTTAACATGAAAAAGTAGTTATTGTGACATATCTGTAATAGTTAAACATATGGTATCGCAGACTTTTTTTGTAGATATTGATATCCTCTATAAAACTGAAGTACATTACTTTGCTCTATTATCAATAGTTTCCGCAGCGTACGCGATATAAGGATTCTTTTTGGTATTTTTTTCACACCTTGGGCTACATTAACGAATTTTTCATACGGATCCCTAACTTTTTTTAAAATATTATATAGCCTATATTCATCAGGGATAATGTAGGATTTTAATGGTGAAAGAATTTTTCAAATCGGTCCAGTAGTTTCGGAGCCTATTCAATTCAAACAAGCAAACAAACAAACAAACAAACAAATCTTTCCTCTTTATAATAGTAGAGTGTAGATAAAAAAGTTTCTGTTTCTGTGTAATTATGAATAATTTTTTAATAATAAATTTTGTAACACAAATGGGTCGGCTTGACCGGGGCAAGACCACGCTCTCACAGAATACCAGCGTAAAATGGCAGCTTGATACTGCTGTGTTTCGTATGGTGAGTGTAGAGAACCGGAGACCCATTTTACTGGAAAAGAGGAATTCCAACTTAGTCTTCACGGGTGACGCCGCATCTGCATTTTGATTCTTTATTGAGGATAAATGAGATGTCTATGGGTCACAGCAACCACTTACCATCAGGTGGACTGTGTGCTCGTTTGTCACCCTATACTATAATATAAAAAAACACTAGTCACGAACTCATACGAACAACCCAACATAATTCACGAACAGTGAGTTTCTTTTTGCCGAAACCGAAACTAGATTTTTTTGCCGAAACTTGCCGAAACCGAAACCGAATCTTCGGTCGGTCACTACTTATTAATAAACATATTTTAAGATGCTTGGTTTAGGTTTACAATATCAGCTGAGTGCCACACTGATTAATAAACGAAACTCGACTCTCAAGTGTGTGTACTTGAGTGCAAGTCACAGAACAGTATTCCTAAGTACAGTGTTTTGAGATACGGTTTTTATGTGTTTATTAATTAGCAACGATCTTGAGATGCTGATATCGTAATAATATCGTATGAAATGATTACGCAGTTGAGTTCGTCGTTGAGTAACGTTTATTAATACGGGCCTAAAACTGTGTCACAGTTGTGGCGCGAGCGCGGCCGGGTAGCCGGCACGATAAATATGCCACGCAGTTGTATTTTCATTTACGACAGCAGTTATTGTTCTTAGGCAAATACGAAATAAAGTTTATTTGTTTATACAGGGTTATTTTTCAGACTAGCCAAATTTTAAACTAAAATTCTAATATATAATTAATGATATATCGTTATTGCAGTTTTTAAAAATACGAGTAAATAAGGCTTTTACTTTTACTTGAAATTATCCCAAATGGAATGTGATTTATGGGCAATAACGTTTTTGCCTACCGACCGACCCTTACGAATGTGTGCGTGCGCAGTAAAATCAGTTAAAATAATGCATTACCACGCATTTTCAATTTAAAAGATAAAAAGGACAGAATTATTGAGATTTGTTTTAATCATTTTTCTTCACCATTTGCCCATATTACTTATTCTGAACCTTCTCTGCAAATTTGGCCGGTTATTGCATAATAACCCTATATATCTAAACTGAACTTCAAATGAAGTTGAAAAAGTGCGCTCATAAGTAATTGCAGCGTTTTTATAGTCACATTAAACAAAATCAGTGTTGAAGATTGTCTAAAACAACGTTCGCGGTTTACAAAACAAAGAACTAGTCTTCTTGCCCACTTGCAGTCGACTAAAGAAGTTACGGGGTATACAATGTATTAAGACCGCAGGACACGTCTAGTAGTATATAAATAGAAGTCTTTGGCTGGGACTAAGTCTCACAGTTCATTCCTAATTTCTTACCAGTTTCACTATAGTGTACAACCAACCTTTTATATAAATTGATAAAGCTATTAATTAAAATTGTTATATTACTATTTAATAATTTTTACATCATACTGGTATTTGTTTAGAGATCGTATAAATTTAAAACAGCACTCGTATTTCTTGTACTATTGGTTGATTTAGTGACATTTACCCTATTGAGTATCAAAAAAATCTAAAACCGTGTGCCCCTTCATTTTCATTTCATTCATATGTTTGAAATCGTTTTATTTAATTGGCCACTTTGAACTCTAATGGTTCTGTTTTGTTAATTTTACTCATTTAAATTCAAATATATTTTAGGCATGTTATTCGTTTTTTAGAATCGGTTATTAATTTGTTTCTTGAGGTTTAGGTTTTTTCTTTTTCCAATACTGCTATATTTATAATCATGGGCTCTAAAGGCCCTGATTGATGGGCGATCTTTACGTTGGTGGGTTTATGATGATCGCCAGTGTTGTATGAAATTTGGCACGTAGCTTCAACTAACTCTAAAGAATAACTGTTTGGTTCGCCAGTGCAGTATCAAAAACGACGAGCCACAGGTAAAACCGCCGTAATATTTACCGCAAACTTATAACTCGCACGTCGATCAAGGCCTTCAGAAAATCCGTATTATTTTTGAATATGAGTTCCGATGTGGAAACAATTTGTCTCAAACGGCACGCCATTTCGACTTCGTTTACGGACCTAGCACTATTAGGGAACGAACTGTGTTTTTGTTCTATCGCTTACGTTCAGGAAATGTTGACCTTATTAATGAACCTCGTGACGGTGAGTCTTAGTTAATGTCCATGGGTATAACGGGGTGATGCGGCACATTATTAATTGTATTTTTATTTCAGGTTCAGATGATAAAGAATCTATTAGTTCGGGCACGGGTCTCTATAACGGGCCACCAATCTTCCAAAATCTACTGCTACGATTTTTGGACAACGACGCACCAGTACTAGGTAGGGGATTTCATGACAACGCAGTAACTAACACATCTATTTTCTAGAAGAGAAAAATTTTGACCCGTCTATATTTTTGTCCTTTGTCTTATTATTGCAGATGAGAGCCCAAACGCATCACCAGGAAACAGACAGCAGTTCGCAAACTTGGTGCACCTCTTTGGCGAACTCATTCGTAGAGATGTGTTTTCACACGATGCTTATATGTGCACGCTGATTTCAAGAGGTATTATGATGTGATGATTTATTAATTTACGCGAATACTAAGTTTGAATGAAACAAATTGTTACCCTAGTAGCCATGGGTGCTGCAAGGCACTCGAGACTTCGGTAATATAAAAATCAAGTAAAACTAGTTGGCCAGGCAGACGTTGTTCTGCCCTTTCCAACGACCCTTCCTATGAAAACATCCTTAAATTCGCAATAAAAAAATATTGAAGGTAACTTATCGGGATAAAAAGTATGCTATCTCTCAAGTTGGAAAAAACTGCACACAGTGTGCAAAATTTCATTGAAATCAGTTCAATAGTTTAGGAGTTCATCGTGGACAAACAACGTGACACGTAATTTTTATATATAAAGATAAGCGCAATAAAATCCGTGAAATTTAATTTCATTTAAGGTTTTATTTTAATTATAATTTTTATGTTACCTTACCATATTACAGGCTGTGATTATTCTTCATTTCTGAAACATGTAGTTATTATAGGTTTCATTGAGTGTGCCCGATTACTGTGAAATTTATCGCAAGCGCTTAACCCCAAAGTAGTAGGCTCCGATAATACTCTAATATTTTTTTAATAACTTCGTTTTAATAATTAAAATCTATAAATGCATTAATTATACAATTCAGGTGACCTTATATCGCCTACGGAACCCACGTCGACAAACGGTAGCGGAAGCCACACAGTGGCGCAACCTGCCAACAGTACCGGCACCAATCATAACATGGACGATGATATATTTGCCGGCATTGATCTTAAACCAAAAATGGAGGTAGGTGACAATATGTAATATAAAAGTATCTGGTATACTTACCTTTCCCGTGTGTGAATGCTCTAAATAAATAAACTAATTACTATCTTAGGAAAACGTAAGAATGGACTTGGATGATTCTAAAATCGATGATGATCTCGACAAACTTTTACAACACATAAAAGAGGACCAACAGAACTCTATGGATGCTCCCGACAGCCCTAAAGATCCTGGTGAACCTTCACACGGGTAATTAGCGGAATTTCATTATTTAATAACAAATCTTATTTCTAGTTCTGCCTGCCAAAAAAGCCTGCCATTTCAAGTGACTACAACTTTTTAAACTAACTGGCAGAAAGCTAATGAATTAATTGCTTCTACAAACAGCTTGATAACACACTTCATTTAATACTATAAACATGTAAAATGTATTTCAAAACGTCTGTTAAAAGAGTGCACAAATCGAAGTTGTGCGCTTATTTCATTTGCTTTGTTTTGTTCTTGACGGGCGAATTGTCAATGTAGTGCCGCGCTGACGGCATTGTGATACCCCGTTACGCGACGAAACCCGATTTGTGTACCCGCGACGGCATCGTATAAGTGCAAACACTGAGTTACGCGATATCCCACGATTGGCGTCACAAGTTTTTCATCATTGCCGTGATGAATTTCTTTGTAGGAAAATCTTCACATATCCCACAATTTACGTCACAAGTTTTCCATCATTGCCGTGATGAATTTCTTTGTAGGAAAATCTTCACATATATTGTTTTTCATAGACCTATGTTTATTTTTGCTTAACATTGTTCAAATTAGTGGAAAATAAATACGATTGTAACAAACGATTTAATTAATTTGATTTCAGTACGCTTTGACGAAAACGTTTGATATTCTATAATTTAGAGGAATATATAACTTAAAGAAATATATAGACGACCGAGTTATGCTCAATGTTAAAAACAATAATCATAATTTTGTCAGGGATTACATTCTTGTCTAGATAAATATGGAAAGTAAATCTTTACATAAATACAAAATTTCATCGATCCCATTAAATAATTTTCCGAGAAAACAATGTTACTTAAATAATCTCACTTGTAGCCAAATACTCAAACGCTGCTCAATTTTAAGATGTCGTTAAGTCTCGTGGTGTCACAGTCACCTTGACTTAAAGCGAGAGAGACAGCAGCACGAGACTTACGGCATCTTAAAATTGAGCAGCGTTTGAGTATTTGGATATATCAATAATAACTAATAAAATCATAATATGAAATTTGCACTTTGTAGTAGTAATCTTACAACAAACTCGTTTATTCTTTTATTGTATACCACCGGTTTTTTACTAATATATTTTTTTAATATTTGTACCTTGTTATGGTAAAACTTTTGTGAATGCTTACAGCGTAAATTCGCCAATGATGGGACCAAGTGGGATAAGTATTGCCAGCATGCAGAGTATAGGAATGGGACCAATGTCTGTACCAGGTTAATAGATTTTTTTGCCATTACGATTTATATTTTTTTTTCATATTTCCTCTGTTTTTTTTTTGATTTAATGACGATATACACAAATATTTATGATGTACATAAATATTTCGGTCTTATTTGGGATACGAACACGGAATTAATAACTTATTGTTAGTAAGATAGTAATCCGCTTGTACCTCTCTCTTACCTATTTTTAAACATGGTAAAAGAGTTGCTTGACCACGTCTGTACTTGATGGTAAGTGGTGATACAGCTGAATATGGTAAAGCGCACTGACTTAGCTTTTAACTAAAGCCTATTAACTCTTGTCTTGTAGACCTACATTGTAATCGGATGGAAAGACATTCTAGCTGATTATTTGAAGGCCAAAGCAAACCCCTTGGTTCGTATACGCGCCATGTCGACAATAAAATGGACACTGGCCGAGCGGCTGATTGTCCGATGGTGAAAGAATGAGAGCGCTATACCTTTTACTCATAGCATGCCTTTCCATTGAGTCAAAAGCTGCTAGGTGGCAATTTGCAGCAACACATATATTGCATCAATACCCCATGCACTACTGGACTTGCATTTTATACAGAGTATGCAGCTAAACCGAACTACTAGAGTAAGCTAGCAGCAGCGAGCAGCTGCTTTGGCGCAATGACCCGCCCATTGTTCAGGTTCGAGGAAATCGCTCCGTGCTTCCAGTAATATGTATTGGAAAGAAGGAGCCAAGGTGATCTGGTTCCATTTTGCAGTGATGAGACACGCTCGTTTTTACAAAGACGGTGAATTTGAAAAGAGTGGCTAAGCCCAATTTGGGAATTCCTTGTAGAATCTAGTTCAGACGCTCAACCATAGCTTCTCTGTCGGACTGAATTTGATCTCGATGCCAGACATAAGCAGTTCATTGAGATGCAGTTCCTGAGCAATTTTAGCGTTAGTCGCCATAGGCTCGGCTCGGCTGAGACCATTCGCCAAAAATTCTTTACGGATTTGAAACTTGAGAATTCGTGAATCAAATACATCATTCAACTAGTGTCGTGAACTATAACAAATAGTTTACTGGGGATTTAATCATTATTACTAGTATTCTTAAAAAAAAAGCTAATAGTGTGTTGTCCGGCAGGCATCCGCAGCAACAGCGCGTGCGGCGGTGGCGTGGCGGGGGTCGGTGTGGGTGGCGGTGCGGGGGGCGCGCCACTGTCGCGCCACTACCACTACACCATGCACTTCCCGCTTCCGCCCGCCGAGCCCGACCACACGCCGCACGATGCCAACCAGCGCCACATCTTGCTGTATGGCGTCGGCCGCCAGCGGGACGACGCCAAACACGCCGTTAAGAAAATGACCAAAGGTTTCTCTTTCTCTCTCGCTCTCGCTCTCCCTCTTTCCATATTCGCTTTTCGCCCATTCGCGTCTATCGATTTCACTCCCTCTCCATACCTCTTTCACTCTTTCCTGCCTCACTCCCTCATCTTATCTCTTTCATATAAACATTGTTAGTATTTTGAAGAATTGATATGACAGTTAATCTTTAGGAATATAAATCTAATACACTCATAGAGCCAGCATATACAAGATGGTTAATACGTCATATTTCGGAAGATTAAACTTTGGCCATTCTTATCCTTAGCTGCCGCTAACAATACCTTGGGGGATCTATCGCTCTATCGTTATGAGATTTCATTATATTGCCTACATAGATCTTACCCTTTAACTTTACATAAAGACATTTTTCCTTTTCTGAATAATTTAAATTTCATAATTATTTATACCTACAACAGCTAAATTTTTAATTCAAAAACACGTTATTTAATGAAAAGATATTACTTTTATTGATTATTCTTTACAGAGATCTGCAAGTTGTTCTCGAAGAAATTCTCAATTGATGTTGCGGAAGGGGGGAAAATTAAGAAGCACTCACGAAGTGAATTTAATTTTGAATCAGTGACACAAAAATTCCAAGTAAGTTTACATATTTAATGTTAAAATAGGTTATCTTCTCTCAATGCTAACAGTAAGCACAAAAGTGTAGGTGAAGTTTTGCCAGTTGACAACAGTCAATCTATACATCTATACAAATAAATAAAATGGAAGTGTCTTGCACTTTTTTGCAATTGCACCTTTTTACTAAATGCATATGAAAGTATAAATGGCGCTTAAAACAAAAAAAAAACAATTTTTAAGATTTTTCTCTGTTTGTCTGCTGTCTATCTGTTTGTTCCGGCTAATTTCCGAAATGGCTGGACCGATTTTGACAGGACTTTCACTGGCAGATAGCTGACGTTATAAGGAGTAACTTAGGCTACTTTTATTTTAGACTACCTGATACCCGCGAATTCGTCCGCGTTGCTTGATATATCAAGAAAACACTCATCACTGAACACGTAGTGCTTATAAAAATCGTTGTTTCTTATAACTTTAATAACTTTATATTAAATGAAGATATCATAATATTATTTTATAGATAAGGACCAAGTGTCTAAGAAATAAAACTTAGAAAACCTAATTGAAATACCTATATCCAGTAGTTTTTCCGTGATGCGCGCACAACTGCAAACCTCTTATCATTTTATTTATATATATAAAAAGAATTTAGTTTCCGCTAATCAAAATTAAAACCCGTGAAATCCAATCGCAATAAATTGCACGCGGACAATGTCGCTGGGAAAAGCTAGTATAAATGAGATAACGTGTCGGTTGTCGGCAGGCGATGTCGATGTACGAGCAGGGCGCGGTGTCGTGGGCGGTGGGCGGCGCGGTGTGCGAGGCGCTGGCGGCGTACGCGGCCGCCGCCACCACCTACCTGCCGCAGCCCGAGCACGTCGCCTTCGCGCTCGACCTCATGGAGATCGCGCTCAACGTGCACGGCCTCATCGAAACTTGCATACAGGTATCCAACTATCGCGTTACTATTGCTTCTTTTATAGCGACAACGGTGACGTCTTTGGAGGAACTGAAGTAACTCACAAAGCCTAGCGGATAATTATGCTAAAGTAGCAAGGACCCTAGTCCTAACCTATCTCTGCTGTCAAGAGCCAATATAACTACAGGCTGTGAGGTGTTCCATTTTAGTCTTCAGTGGTGACAATCTGTAGGCATCTTTATTTGAAGTTGGCTGCAGGTGTCCATGGACTGCAGTAACCAATTTACATCAAGTGGGACTTTAAGTTCAAAAAAATACCTAGGTCGGTAACGGCCAGCAGTGTCAAAGGTGTGAGACGTCTGGTACTGCAATCATCAATCCGCCTACCAAGCATGACAATGGATGCAAAATTCTCCCTAAAACGGGACTAACTCATGACTTTTACGGGACTTATGAAAATTCTCCAGTGGTCCAGCCAATTATTGGAGTGACGACCTGATAAAACATGCAGCGAGGCAATGGATGTAAATTGCTAAACTTGTGACGGGCTGTAATGAATTAAAGGGTGACAAACGAGCACACAGTCTACCTAATGGTAAGTGGATACTGTAATGGCAACAGAATTCTTCTGTTATGGTGCGGTTGCTGACGCACCTCCCAAGAGTGGCATCGTAGGCAAATATCTCCCCTATAAGCAATTTATGGGGGAGGCCTTTTTTCAACAGTGGACTTTTGGTAGTCTGTTATAAACGTATGAATTAGTGAATTGTTTTCATATTAAATTACAAAAACATTTACAGATACTCAAAGAATTATCAGAGGTGGAAGGCGCTCTCATAACACGTGGTGCACCGAGCAGTGGCTTAGCGGCACCCAGAGCATACACATCTGCCCTAGCTTTGTACACCGTTGGAGCTTTACGACGTTACCACTCTTGCTTATTACGTAAGATTCACATTACAGTTGTATTACATTCTATAAAATCAAAAAACTTCAAGACAGAATATTCACAACGCCTATTAAATAAACGATAAAATATCGGAGGTAATTTTTATTGATTTTGAAAGATAATAGGCCCAACATAACCCAATACTTAACCTAAATATATTTTTGTAAATATTATTACTGCTACTAACATTATTGCTTACAACAATATTTCACTTGTATAATTATTGTATAAAGTTACACAAAAAGGATTACAGGTCACAAAAATTTACTTTTGAGATATTGACATTTGACGTTCGAATCCAGTATTCAGGAATAATGTCTAGCTTCTATGTTTTTTGAAGTTTTGTTTTTCATCGAATACAACTTTTGCTAATAATGTCAAAAAATCATATTTTTGCAGGACCTGGGGTTTTGTTTTTATTTTATGTTATATGATTTGTAGGTTATGTAGTAAAATCACTCATTCTTCTGATAAGTTTGTTTTAATAAATTGAAAAGAACACAAAATATATAAATTTTGTAGTTATTATTAAATAAAGTAAAATAAAATTCAATCTTTTTAATGTTCAACTATTTTCTAGAATTTTATTAATAAAATGTCATCTAGAAAATCAGCCGGTCAGAGGAATAGAACAGACAATGTACAGCCACGTTGTCTGTTCTATTCCTCTCAAAAGTAAGGTACCACATTATTGTCATTATGTGGGCGCAACAACCTACTGTCCTGTGATCCAAGAGAAAAGCCAAAGGTCAAGTTAAATAAATCCACGAAAGTAAAAACACGAAATCTATCCAAAAACACAGCCATAATGTCAAATGTTTAAAAGTATAGCCCAACAAGATTATTTGAGAATACATTATATATTATTTTTGGCTCAAATTGTAAATTCGATCCTTTCTTTCCTTTTTTGCGTAAACTACATCCAATTGGGAGAGGGAACAGCGTGCGTAGAGCAGATGTTGGCGGTGTTCGAGCAATGGTGGAGTGCGTGTTGAATCCAATAGAATACAAGTGCATCAAGAGCGCAGCCTTTCATTTATTTGGGGCTTTTCCTCTGGCCACCTTATCGGGCTGCTTTCCTTCATTTCTTTAACGTGTCATAAGGTTTACATTTGTGAAATATATTGTATGTGTACTGGGTAGTGTGCGTGGAGCAGACGTCGGCGGTGTTCGAGCAGCTGTGCCGGCTGGTGAAGTGCGTGGTGAACCCGGGCGACTGCGGCTCGGCCGAGCGCTGCGTGCTGGCGCAGCTGCACGACCTGTACAAGGCGGCCGCGCACCTCTGCCACGCGCCGCACGCCGACACCTTCGCCAACGCCTACCCCAAGATCAAGTATGTGCAATATACTAAAGTATCACCTCCAATCGTCTTTGCACAACGTCCTTGCTGTCGCACGATGTTCTAACCAGTTAATGGAATTGTACAACAATCACATGCTTAATACATTTATAAAATATAACATGGCTGATTTCTACATAATGTAATATAATTCCATATAATTTTTTGCCGGAGCCGGTGCCGGACATAAAACTTTTCTTGGTAGATTTGCCCAATAAACGCACTTCCGCACAACATAAATTTTACGTATGCTCCCCACCAGCCAGTAAAATTTATGTTCACTTAGAATGAGGGATGAAAAAAAATATATTTATAATATTTTAAACACCGATCATTAGATACTTCACTCTGTAATATTAATACTTTTGTTACAGGCAAGCACTTTATTCACAGTTACAGCCGACACCATCCAATTATGTATACAATCCGCAATTTTTAAGCGAGTTCTTTACAAATCCTCGTAAAGGTAATAATTAAATTGTTTTATCCTAATTAATTAAAATGTTTTTAATTAGGACAATTTTAATAAAAACATTATTTTACAGGTAAAATAGAAATTGCATGGGCTCGTCAAGTCGCCGAATCGCCGGCTAACAGATACAGCTTCGTTTGTTCAGCAATGTTGGCAGTATGTCGTGAAGTGGATAACGATCGGTAAGTACAGCAAAGTAAAACTCTCGTACCTCATTTAGACTCTCGCCTCGCGCCTCGCCTCGTAACTCGCCTCGCAGCTCGCGTGTTGTTGCGAGGTAACGAGTGCCTGTCTACACTCTCGCGATGCGGTCAGTTTGCGTTGAGCCAGCAACGATGAATGACGTCGAAATAATAGCGGCATCAACTCTTGCCTTAATAAGTATTTATCGATGTTTGACCATTTTAAAAACGGAAATTAATAAAAATACGTCGTTGAGGAAGAATATGACGGATGATATCTATTCATCGAAACAGAACCTTTTCAGTTTCATAATTTTATATAAATTGCTAGTACCTATTGTGCAAGCTTAAATAATATTATTTTATTAAAATTGTAATTTTAAAACAAAACCAATTTGAATGTTATTATGGAAGGGCGCCGTAAACAAACTGAAACGAGACGCGAGTGTAAACACCACGGTCGCGTCGCTCGCGAGGCCCTTTGCCTCGTGCCCAAAAAACCGCCTCCGACGCGAGCGCCGCGAGTGGCGAGGCGAGCCACGAGCTAGCGTTTACACTCGCGCCTCGTGGCTCGCCTCGCGACTCGTCTCGTCGCTCGCACGAGAGTGTAAATGGGGTATCGCAGGATGCTTGTGTGAAACAGCACTATAATTCTGTTTCATATGGTGAATGTAGAGAACCGAAGTCAATTTTCTACCGACTTCTAAAAGGAGGAGGTACTCAACTCCACTGTATGTTTTTTTATGTGTCTCTTACCTCATAACTTTTTTCTGGGTGAACCGATTTCGATAATTCTTTTTACTTTATTTTATTTGAAAGCTGGTGCTTCTCATGTGGTCCCATATAAATTTGATCAAGGTCTAACTGATAGTTTTTGATTTATTATTAATAATTTAAATTGAAGTCGGTTGTACAAAATTTTTAATTTTTAATTATATTAGGTTACAATGCATTTCATTCTAGTCCCAAAGGTAATAACACATTTGCATTTCCTATGGGCTACATCATCTACTTACCATCAGGTAGACTGTGCTTGCTTGTGTCAACCTTATTCTATAAAAAAAATTATACGATTAATGCTTCAATGAATAAAAATTATATTTAACACTGAACTATTATTTACTATACTTTATTTAATAGAATCAGGCGTTACTTTGCGGAAATCCATTTATATAAAAGCTTTTAGAAAAATTTACTTCGCAAATATCGGCATTATAAAATAAAATGATGTGCCTTACCTAGTATGAAGAGCACCTCCCTCCCTCCCTCAATTGCGTGCACTATCCCCGTCACCACTAATCCCAGCACCGCTACTCCCAACACCACTACACTAGGCAAGACACACCACTGACGACAATACGACACGTGTTTCGCCTCTACACGAGGCATCCTCAGGTGATATAGACTCTACGGTGGCTAACCGCTAAGTGAGCGGCGAGCCAAAACAACTGTCTTTTATACAGACACCGCTCTTGGGCCGTCCTCTACTCCTGGTACCAGGTAGGGTCATGTCCAGGCATTTGTTTCCCACGTAGCTTGCCGCTCGTCGTACGACGTGGCCGTACCAGCGGAGGCGACCTTCCTGCAGCTTGTCAGCAATGTCAAGGACATGAAGGCTGCCGCGGATGTATGTATTCCGTACACGGTCTTTCCGCGTGACGCCACACATCCACCGCAGCATGTTCATCTCTGTGACATGCAACAACTGCCGGTGTCGCTCCAGTACCGGCCACGCCTCACTGCCGTACGTAAGGACAGGCCTTAGATGGTCTTATAGACCTGTCCCTTCAGCTTGACCGGCATTTTGGGGGTTCACAAATGACACCCGTCACCTCGCGCCATTTCGCCCAAGCCGCTGATATACGGGCCTTGATGTCGCGATCGATGTCCCCGGATGCATCAAGCACAGATCCGAGGTACCTGAAGTTGTCCGTGCGCTCGACGGTGTCGTCGCCTATACGGAGAGGCGTCAGATCTGTGCTGTTGCAGGCCATATACTCCGTCTTCGCCACGTTTAGCTTCAGCCCGCCGTTCTCAAGCGCCTCCCTCCATTCGTGCACGCGTCTGGTGAGCCGTCCTTTGTCCCCATCTACCAGTGCGATATCATCAGCGTACATAAGGAGCCAAGGCTGCGGTAATTTCTATACGCTGGCTGACAGTTCGTCTAATATCACACTGAAGAGATAGGGGCTTAAGACGGAGCCCTGATGCACGCCTACGGTTATGGGGAAGGGGGTGGTATCACCAACAGCGGTCCTGACTATTGAATCTGAGTTGCGGTACATGTCACGTACGATTTCCACGTAGGTCTCTGGTATCAACTTCGACCGCAACGCCCACCAGATCATCTCCCTGGGAACACAGTGAAAGGCCTTCTGCAGGTCTAGGAATAAAAAATGCAGAGGCATATTCTTTTCCCTGTGTTTCTCCATGAGGATCCTTAGGGCGTTAGGGATTCTATTATGCAACTATATGATAATAATTCATCTTCTCATCAGCCTGAACATTCATAGGTCTTTCCCATAACAGAAAAAAATTGATGATGTTGCGTTGCGATCGATTTGTGTATACTTGCCACAGAATAAATAATAGTACTACGTACAGAAGTTGCATTCCTTTGATGTTGACTGCTTGCCGACGTTTTAATAACCCACATAGTTATTATTAATTATATAAATCGCGCACGCACGCTAAATAAAACTTTATCGCTGCGTGCGAGTGTCCTTTGCATCTTTTCTCCTTCCTACGTTACAAAGTACTTTCCGTGGTTACTGAGGGCTATTAATAAAGAGTAAAAAAATACATTGTGAAATTGTAAGTAAGTTATGATCAAACATATTTCCGCTACTGTATGAGTTCTGTGATACCCAACGCATGCAACTTGCAAGGCCATTCGTTGGAAATCGGGTTGCTTGACTCGGAAGAAATAGGTAGATAGTGTAAACAACAAATAAACTTAAAATACGATTCCTAACAGAAATGTGATCGTTTTCTACTTCTATATCTTATAAACATATATCTTGTAAACAAAGTTTTAATTTCAGTATTTTATGTAATTATAACTTATAGTATTTTAATTACAAAAGACAAGTATAGGTATGTAAGTAGGTACTTGGGTAGTGAAGTAAATTTCAACTAAGTTTTGTAATAAAGTACTTAATAGTTAGTATTGCTTCTGCAGTTAAATTATTACTTAATTCTTTTTTCGCTATAAGTGTAGTAGTAAGTAACCTATCTAACAAAGAAATGAAATAAATTCACCTTTCATTATCTTTCGGTAACTTAAAAAATTGATATATCTGAATCCTTTTGATTGCTTATTAGTCATCCCCATACCCATCCCTGCAACAATTATAGTAGGAACGACGCTTTGCCATTATAATTTATGAAATAGATACGTAATATTATACATATATTATTCTTAAATTACATTAAAACTTTTTCAACTATTTTATCCTACAATTAAATATACTAAACACTTAACAAAAACTATTTCGATGAGTATTTCAACAAGTATTTACAAAAAACTATTTACGTAAACAGCGTTAAAAAAGTAACATTCAGTCGCCTAGAACGCGCTACTGCGTTCTGCCCAGGGGGCGCCCATGAAGCTAATACAAAGGGGAGACGGCATAAGCAACTGTGCACTGTGATTCTAAGTAGGTCCTGACGTCATCATAGTGGGCGTGGCTTTAGTTAGTATACTGTCAGCATTCGTCCTGTGCGCTTATGTGTTGAAAAAATCGCAAATCGGTGTATTTTCGTAGTATTAAGAAGAAAAGGATGAAGTGTTGTGTTTTATTGTGTAAAAACTACTCAGATAGACGCTCTGATGTTATGGATGGCATCACATTTCATTTGTAAGTAATTTTACACCTAATTTATTAAAATAGTTCTAGAAAAATCTCTTTGCGTCGGCTTTCAAATATAATTAAATATATTCGACACTAGATGGCGACACTTTGTGTCATGTGAACTAAAAATATAAAGGTCCGTAGGGCTCAGTATTGGTAAAATAATCATACGAAGGTGCTGAAATTTGTTTTGCATTCAGACATAAAAAAATTTTAATCGCAAAATATTATTTTTATACTTTATAATCATTTTGAGAACAGGCCGTATTCTCGTCAAGTAAGCCTCATAAAAATGACAAAGACAGGGCCCTAATTAGAATTCAATTATTTTTCCCAGTAATCCAACTTTTAATATTAAATGCAGGAAATTGTACTTAGGCTGATTTTTACGAAATGTTTAAGTTATATTGAAGTGACATTCTATATGCAAAGAATCACTTAAGGGGCTACTCCATGCGAACGACCTTGAGCATTTTGCCGGCGGCACGTCGCTCGCTTCAATATATTGCTTATTTGAAATATGTACGACGCCACCACCTATTGTATCAATGAACTAATTTATGGAAATACGCACAGCGTACAACGTTAAATGTATTTTAATTTTTTTATTCGGTATATTAGTTGCATTATATTAGAATTATGTATTTTCATATATTATCTAATTATGAAATTTTATAATTAATTATATATTAAAAATAAAGCATTGAAAATTATGTGTTTAAAAGATACCTATTCACTATAAGTAAATAAATAGATAGCTCGCCTTTTGTACAAATATTTGGTGCAATAAAGAATAAATAAATAAATAGGATGTTTCGTAGATGTGTTTTTGATTATTGTTAATTTTTACGTGTCACGTATTGAAAAGTAATATACCTACCTACTAATACAAAAATCAACAAGAAGTATAAGGGTTCAATCTTTCAATTTCAATTGTAAAAAAACGTTACCCCCACACTAGGATTTTCTCCTGCGTCGTGGAGGCAGTTTACAAACATAAATTGCACAAGGACAAACATCCAGACCCGGAACAATTATTTGTAGGCCATACAAATATTTGTTCCGTGCGAGATTCGAACCCGCGGCCCCCAGCGCAACAACTGATTGCTAAGCTACTACGTCACGGAGCCGTAGCCAGGTTATAGCTAAAGTGACCATACGTCCCGTTTTGAACGGGACTGTCGCTTTTCTCGGTCACCTGTCCCATTGTCCCCAAACAAAGCTCCGGGACACAAAATTGTCCCGTAACTCGTTGGATGGAAGTATTCAAAGTCAACAATCTTCAATATAATTTTTTTTAATCGAATATATTTTATGTCTACCTGGTACGAATGCTCCGGTAGAAAGAGTATTTTTTTATTTTGAATAAATTGTGGACGTCTGAAAGAAACACTTACGGTTCCAGAGTTCTAAAGGCGATGTTGTTAACAAAGATAACAATAAAAAAACTTGAGCAGAATTTTATTTTTATTTAAAATCATCACCAACTTTATTAAAGCAAATTTAATCCACTGACAAATGTAATTAATAATTAAAAAAAATATGTTGCATTTAATAATTACCGTCTATACCGAATATAATTTTACAGTGAACACTAATTGTATAAAGTTATAGTTTTTAGAGTATAAATAAACCCATGTCCTGTTTTGAGTTAAAAAATAAATGGTCAGTTTAGTCTTTTTAGTTAAATTTAGTTTTAAAAATGTTTAGTTAATAGTAAAAAGTAGGTATATTAGTACCTACTTAGATACTTTTTACCGAATTATAAGTATAGAACACCTTATTTACTCAATTATTTTTTGAAAAAGAAGTAAAAACAAGCAATAAATAATATACTATATTTTAGCAAAAAACTATAATTTAGTAATACTAATTATAACTTAGTACATAAATGAAAAACTCATAACTGACTTTTTGGCCCGACACAGGATTCGAACCCGGGACCTCATGATCTGCAGTCGCACTACTACAACCACTAGACCAACGAGGCAGTACTATACTTAATAAGATAATGGTTGGGTGATAATATTGAATTAGCCTTTTATAGTGTAAATTATAATATTTGCTTCATTTTTTTATTTGCATTTACTTCAAAGAAAATACACGCAAAAAGCTTCATCGCGCAGTAAAAAACACAACAAATATATGTATAACTAATACGAAAAATTATACCCAAAACAAACAAATAATACTACCTATAAATAACCTAATAAGTAATAATATTATAATATTATCGACTAATAAGATGACGTGAGCGCACACGGCGCTGGCAGACGCTCTAACGACACGGGTTCCACGTCGAAGAGCTCAGGGCTCACTGACTTTAGCAAGCCCGTGAGCAGTGAATACGCCCAGATTTTAAAATAATTTCTTAATAAAATCAAATTATGGTCTTTTGAAAAAAATTTTACTATAGAAATGTTCATTAATAAATTGCCTATCCATTGGTGTAAATCGCAAAATAAAATAATACTTACTTTACGAGGAGATGCATGTTATCAATAATAATTTCACATTTATGTGGTTTCGTTGTAAGGAGATTATATTAATATTTATTCCTTTAAAAAAAAATTGGATATAGCTTTTATGGAGTCAAGATTATGTAGAAATATAATGTGTTTTTTATTTGTTGATATATCTCTTAAATAAAAAGTAGATAGCTCCTAAAAATCGCACAAATAACGACTAACGCGACATTTTGCTCAACCTGCGCCTTAAATACAATTTAATGTTCTTAGATTGGCATTCAAAAAGTGCATTCGGATGACTAATTTGGAATAAAATATTCATATTTTAATCGATTTGTAAATAAAATTATATGAATTACAATAATTTGTCTATTATTTGTTCTCCCTCAGAGATATTAAGTAGTATAACCCACACATAAATAATAGTCCTGCCGTTTCCTAATTTATTAAACCTAATTTATTAAAATAGTTCTAGAAAAATCTCTTTGCGTCATCTTTCAAATATACTTAAATATTACACATTACCACACTAGATGGCGACACTTTGTGTCTTGTGAACTAAAAATATAAAGGTACGTAGAGCTCAGTAATGATAAAATAATCATACAAAGGTGCTGAAATTTGTTTTGCATTCAGACATAAAGAAATTTTAATCGCCAAAATATTATTTTTAATAGTTTATAACATTTTGTGGACATGCCGCCATCTAGCGTCAAGGTAGCTAAGCTACATTGCAACATCGATATGGAAAGATTCGAGTAGTTTTACTATTTATCGGTAGATGTAGATAGTGTAGTGGGCGGGGCTTTGCATCCCCTCACCCCGCAAATTGTCACGCGTTGTTACATAGTGAAATTTAATTACAACGTCTCCTCTTTGTATTTGCTTCATGGGGGCGCCTCACGATTGTAGGTAATTATTTCACGCAGGTAACAAAAGTGACAGAAGCCCGATACTGCATACATAAATTGATAACGCTTAACCGACTGTTCGACATACCAAATGAGAGGGTTAGAGTCTCACGTTTCACGTGTTAGTTTTATTGAACCTTAGGAGGCTTTCTAGGTCTTTCTACAAACGATAACGCCAAATAAAAATCTTTGAAAATTAATGAGAATGACATATTTCAATGTCACATGATAGTCACGCTGTCGTTGAGATACCATCATCATTTCATAATTCATTCACTACAGCCTATTAAATTCCACTGCTGAACATAATAGACCTTCAACTTATATTGCCTCATAGTTGGGATATCTGCCATAGTTACCACATTTGAAATGAGGGTTAGCAACTCCAGTTTTTTTAATATTTCGAGCTGTTATCAGGAACATGCTACTGCTTATCATCTCCTGTTTCATCCCTCTGTCATCTTTTTCGACACCCACCGGATGTTACGGGGTGGTGAATTCTCTTAAACCGCCACTACACGTTTGTACATTATGTCTTATACAATTGTGGAAAGTCTGCTTGCTGGTACTCTCAGGGTAAACGAGCTGGGCGTGCTGTGCGCGGAGATGACGGCGTGGTGCAGCGGGCTGGCGGCGGAGTGGCTGGGCGCGCTGGTGGCGCTGTGCGGCGCGCAGCACTACCCCGCCGCGCCGCACGCCGCGCCGCCGCCGCTCTACCCCGACCTGCTGCACCACCGCGACCTGCACGACGCGGCCGCGCACGACGCGCTCGCCGTCTTCACCTGCATCCTGGTCGGTACGTACAGCGTGCGCCGCACCCGCTCTACCCCGACCTGCTGCACCACCGCGACCTGCACGACGCGGCCGCGCACGATGCGCTCGCCGTGTTCACCTGCATCCTGGTCGGTACGTACAGCGTGCGCCGCACCCGCTCTACCCCGACCTGCTGCACCACCGCGACCTGCACGACGCGGCCGCGCACGATGCGCTCGCCGTCTTCACCTGCATCCTGGTCGGTACGTACAGCGTGCGCCGCACCCGCTCTACCCCGACCTGCTGCACCACCGCGACCTGCACGACGCGGCCGCGCACGATGCGCTCGCCGTGTTCACCTGCATCCTGGTCGGTACGTACAGCGTGCGCCGCACCCGCTCTACCCCGACCTGCTGCACCACCGCGACCTGCACGACGCGGCCGCGCACGACGCGCTCGCCGTCTTCACCTGCATCCTGGTCGGTACGTACAGCGTGCGCCGCACCCGCTCTACCCCGACCTGCTGCACCACCGCGACCTGCACGACGCGGCCGCGCACGACGCGCTCGCCGTCTTCACCTGCATCCTGGTCGGTACGTACAGCGTGCGCCGCACCCGCTCTACCCCGACCTGCTGCACCACCGCGACCTGCACGACGCGGCCGCGCACGACGCGCTCGCCGTCTTCACCTGCATCCTGGTCGGTACGTACAGCGTGCGCCGCACCCGCTCTACCCCGACCTGCTGCACCACCGCGACCTGCACGACGCGGCCGCGCACGACGCGCTCGCCGTCTTCACCTGCATCCTGGTCGGTACGTACAGCGTGCGCCGCACCCGCTCTACCCCGACCTGCTGCACCACCGCGACCTGCACGACGCGGCCGCGCACGATGCGCTCGCCGTGTTCACCTGCATCCTGGTCGGTACGTACAGCGTGCGCCGCACCCGCTCTACCCCGACCTGCTGCACCACCGCGACCTGCACGACGCGGCCGCGCACGATGCGCTCGCCGTCTTCACCTGCATCCTGGTCGGTACGTACAGCGTGCGCCGCACCCGCTCTACCCCGACCTGCTGCACCACCGCGACCTGCACGACGCGGCCGCGCACGACGCGCTCGCCGTCTTCACCTGCATCCTGGTCGGTACGTACAGCGTACCACCAAAAACCAGTGCATGCACTGCTGTATTGTATACCGGTATAATGGGTACAAGCGTCAGTAGCCTAATGGAAGGGCGGCGGACCGCGAACTCGAAAGGTCGTGGGTTCGAATCCGCCATGCGACTACTGTCGGGAACGTGAGGTGGTTTAAGGGAATATTAGCAATGCTTAATGGCATTACTAGTATATTTAAAAAAAAGGGTATAGAGTGCCAGTATAATTACAGATTGTGAGTCAGTACATCTTAATCCTCACCCCCCGTAAGCCTATTGTGCCTTAATAAGTATTCATCGATGGTTGACCATTTTAAAAAGAAGGAAACTAATAAAAATACGTCGTTGAGGAAGAATATGACGGATGATATCTATTCATCGAAACAGAACCTTTTCAGTTTCATAATTTTATATAAATTGCTAGTACCTATTGTGCAAGAATTAAATAATATTATTTTATTAAAATTGTAATTTTAAAACAAAAGCAATTCGGATGTTATTATGGAAGGGCGCCGTAAACAAACTGAAACGAGACGCGAGTGTAAACACCACGGTCGCGTCGCTCGCGAGGCCCTTTGCCTCGTGCCCAAAAAACCGCCTCCGACGCGAGCGCCGCGAGTGGCGAGGCGAGCCACGAGCTAGCGTTTACACTCGCGCCTCGTGGCTCGCCTCGCGACTCGCCTCGCCACTCGCCTCGCGACTCGCCTCGCCACTCGCCTCGCGACTCGCCTCGCCACTCGCCTCGCGACTCGCCTCGCCACTCGCGCGAGCGTGTAAACGGGGGGTCAGAGGATAACGCATCTGTAGTTCTTTGTATAAAGATGTTGGATAAGGTGTAAAAGGTGCACTTTAAGTTCATTTTGTCACTTAAACATTTAAAATAACAGCTCGTAAAGCCGTTATTCCTGCGCCTGATCTTTCTCCGGTCTTATCAGATTGCAGTTTCATAGGATTATGGGAGTGAAGGAATGGAGAGTGCATCTACTTGCGCGCACTCTTGCAATATAATGCTGTCGTGCGCAGATGGCTAGTCTCCATTGAGACTGGCAGCCATAACTGAAATTTGTTCTGTAACGTACTCCACGTAATTATTATATATCAAACAATTAACTAATTCGGATATTTTTCAGAAGTTACCGTCTTTTAAAATCGGCCAGAGAATCCTAACTATAATATTTATTATGTACAGCTCGCCACTGCTTCTCACTGGAAGACTTCGTGCGACACGCGGCATTGCCGTCGCTCGTGAAGGCGTGCGGGGGTGGGGGAGTATCGAACAACCCCGCCAACGCACCCTCGCCTGATACAGGCGCCCGGCTCACGTGTCACTTGCTGCTTCGTCTGTTTAAAACCGTCGATACACCGCAACCCGGTAATCTTAGTACTACATATCATTACTAGCTATTTATTTTAAGCGCAAATTACCTATTGCCGTATTCAGTGGTATTGCCTGTTTGCTAAATTAAATCTATTGCTTTTAATTAAAACAATTAAATTGCTTATTTATACTATTTAAAATAATCCGCTACCCCATATTGTTCTGAGGATTTCGTAAGAGGTCACAGAGAGAAATAAAACAAGAGATAGGTAGCAGCATGTTCCTGAAACTCAAAATATAAAAAAAATGGCGGTTGTTAACCTGCTTGTCAAGCGTGTCTACTATGACAAATCTCGCCTCTATGTGGCAATCTGTGGAGCAGGCCTTCGTTCAGAAATGGATTTTAATAGGCTGTCATGAATCATCAAATTATATAGAAATTTATTTATAATAGCTCCACAATCTTATTTATTGAGAGCGAAGTATTGCTTTTTTAAATAACATTTTGCTATATTGGAGCATGCAACTGTCAAGTGTATATTCAATTCTAAGAGGTGCCGTCATAGGTTTCATGTTATTCATTTTTTTTTTTAGTTTTAATAACGTTACCCCCACACTAGGATTTTCTCCTGTATCGTGGAGGCAGTTTACAAACACAAATTTCACAAGGACAAACATCCAGACCCGGAACAATCATTTGTAGGCCATACAAATACTTGTTCCGTGCGGGATTCGAACCCGCGCCCCCCAGCGCACCAACTCATTGCTAAGCCACTGCGCCACGGAGCCGTCGAATTTTCTTTGTCTTTACTAGTCACTAAAACTAAATTCCAGGACTTGCTCTTCCAATTTAGGGAGGATTTGCCTTCATTTATATTGTGATAATATTAATTACAGTTAGGTCTGGCAACTTTACCAATTGGGTGTTAACTTTGCCATCAGGGATAACATATTTTCGAGATAAGCCATGTTTTGGATGAAAATACAATAACTAATTAACAGCATTATGTTTGATATGGCAACATGAGAGTTAATTTTGGCATTTTATTTCAACGCGGAATTGTGCCGGCGAAATAACCTCTTTGTTCAGTGCTCCAGAATTTTAGTTTTTTTTTGTTTGAAATACTGTATGCAATAAATGTAATATATCGTTTTTAACATGTTGCTCTTTACATTTATCTATAAAACTAACTCGGCAAAGTTACCATACTAGTGATGCCATGATATGATGGTTACTTTGCCATGTTTTGTTACAACCAAGGATTGTCATTTTCAACCTATATATTTAACCGATTACAACTATTTAAACAAAGTGTTCTGCACTTGACATTCTATGTTTGTATCGATGTTTCATCGTACCAGCCCATTAGACCGATTTTACCAAATGATCCGTTCAATCAATTCATCTTTATTACAGATGAAGGAAAAGAAAAGAGAAATCTATATTATTTTTACTGCGTTGTCGGGCATTAACAATATTATTACTACTCAGTATTTTTCATAATTTAAACTTAGTGTATTGGTATTAAGCAAAACATTAATTGCCATTTTTAATGATTATTAATTTTTTGCTATTTTGGGAAAACATGATTTAGATTGATTACAATAATTATGACCTGACATCATTTTATTACAACCCGTAATAAAATGATGATGAAACGAATGATTGTTAAAAGTGATTTTTTTTATTCTATAATATTATTGATTTAAGCTTATTATTGCACCAATTTTATTTTTAATTTTAGACGAGAGTATTTTTATTTGATATATTTAAGATTTTTTCTTAAGAAATTATTGTGATAAGATATAAACAAAAAAATTAAGTTAAGTATGTAAACAAGGATATTTGACAACCCTAACACATATTTTCAAGTTTGTATGAAAAATTTAAAAATGGGAGGGCAACTTGCCACAAGTGTAAACTTTGCTATTTGCAACACAATTAAAGAAGCCAATCATAACTCTGGGTGTTGTGTATTATATTATGAGGTAAACTTACCTTCAACCTTGAAGTCATATCCTATTATTTTTCATTATAAACCCCTATGTTAAATTTGACACAAAGTGAGGTCAACTTTGCTATTTTCTATCTTTGAGTATTTTGTCTATTTAATGTTAGTATTTGTTTAAATCATTAATAAATATCAAATCTATGAAGAATATAATGTCACATTAAAACATTGTTGCCCAGTATAACAGTACATTTTTTGTTGGAAAATTGGTGTTAAACTTTTAAGTCCTTTCAAAAATGGCAAAGTTGCCAGGTTTCAAGGTAGGTGTTTTTACATAGTTACATGAATACTTTTGGAGCACTGCGACACTAGGAAATCATAAGTTGGTTCGTAGTGTTTCAGTGTTAGTGGTTGTGTTGTGCAGGGCTGTACAGCGTGTCGACGTCGCCGGGGCCGGGCGGCGGCGCGGCGGGCGTGCGGCTGTCGTGCGACCGCCACCTGCTGGCCGCCGCGCACAAGAACATCGGCGTCGGGCCCGTGCTCGCCACGCTCAAGGCCATCCTCAGTCAGTACCGCTATTTATACGCGTTGGGGGGGGGGGGGGGGGGGCGGCTAGCCTTTTGTCTACCTATAAGTGGTGGAGCCACACAGCTATATTATGGTTGTAGCAAGAATTCGTCGGCTCGACCGGGGAAGAACCACGCTCTCATAGAATACTTGCCTGAAATAGGAGCATGATGCTGCTGTTTTACGCTTTTCCACGTTTAAACGGAGACCCTTATCACTGGAAACGAGTCATTCCATCTTAGTCCTCAAGGATGACTCCGCATCTGCATTTTGATTCTTAAACGAGGATATATGAAGATTTCTATGAGCCATATCATCCACTTACCATCAGGTGAACTGTATGCTTATTTGTCACCCTAATACGACGGTAGCTTATAAAGGTTCCTTCACGTTGAAGGAGTAGATTCTGAATCAGCGGCTCCAGGAACCTCTTATGTTTTTCTGTCGTATATATGTATATGTATAAGACCCACTAGGAATATAAAACTGATATTCACGAAACTAATTTTAACTACTGACTACAATAACGTTTAGCATTGATAAAACTTTAAACTTTGTTACTACAAACTATATTCAATCGTCTATCTTATCTGATTCAAAATTGTGACTTATGCAATATCCAAAGGATTGGAATTTATTCTATTAACATCATGTGATATAGTCATTGACAATCACTGACTTTATTAACATTTGTTTCTCTGTGAAATTGATTTTTTCTTTCATAGTTTCCAATAATTTTGTTAACATCCAAATAAGATAATATCAATGAATCTACTTCCATTGATTTTATCCTCAAAAATTTTTTTTCGGCAAAAGATTGGATGCGACACAATATAGGTGAATTAAATATTGTATGTTAAAAAGCTTTTTCATTAACTTTGTAAAAAATGGAGTATCTATAATAATATAGTAATTTATATATCTAGAGGTATTTAATAAATCTCCGAGGCTTGTTCTAACTGCCTTTGCTGATTTATTATCCTAAGAGTATTCCACGGCCGTACCCTATTAATTTTAATCACACGCGATGATAATTGAAGTACTATATTTTTTTAAATAATATAATTAATAGAAGAAAGTTACTTAAGCTCTTAACCACTAAGGTTAAAGAGAATCATACATCACCTAGAAAACACCCTAGCTATATGTCGAGGTATATCATCTGGTCCCTTTAGTAGATTATCCATTCGCGTGCATTACCGATCGCATGACAATATGAAGAAAGCGACACAGGATAAACCTATTAACAAAAATGTACTTTACAGTGGTTGGTGACTCAACTGCTCGAGACGGCGGAAAGCCAAGTGGCAAAAAATCCAGTGAGCTGTCACACATATTAGGCACCAGCGATACCGTCCCCTCAGACGCACAGCTGGACCTTATGTCGTGAGTATCATATTCTTATACTGTTTAAACTATAAATATTAAATGTTTTGCCAGTTTAATTCCCATTAAATTCGATTTAGAGGTTCTTAATTTCTTCAAAAACTTAACAAGGTTAGCCACACTTAACACTAAGAGCCACTAAGAACAAGGTAGTTATGGCATAATTAATAATTTTCTACATCTTATGATTTGTTTGATTATTTTAGTTGTATTTCAAAATGTGCTTACTGGCATATACAAATACATAGGCTGCACTAAAAGTATCGGGAATTGAATATTTCCACTGTACCTGTCATATTAAAATCTTTTTAATTGAAAAGTCCTTGTTTTAAAAATCGAATACCATTTATTTATTTAAAAAAAGATTCTCGGTCTTGTCACAAGGTTTTGTCAAACTTGTTTAGTTGTTGAGAAAATGGAATTGACTCGAGAAAATTCAAGAGCGATGATTTATTATGACTTTCGAAGTGGTTTAACACAAAAACAGTGTGTTGACCGGATGATTTTTGCATTTGGTGATGAAGCCCCATCCAAAACCACAATTTGTCGCTGGTTTGCTGAATTTCAACGTGGACGTGTCAAGCTCAGTGATGATCCCCGTCAAGGTCGTCCAAAAACTGCAGTCACCCAAGAAAACGTTGATGCTGTTCGTAAGCTGATTGAGGAAGATCGACATGTGACATACCGCGAAATTCAGGCAACTTTAGACATTGGCATGAGTCAAATACAAATAACCTTGCATGAACTTAGAAATTAGGTGTAAAAAAGTTGTTTTCCCGATGGATACCGCATTCGCTCTGTGAAGAGCAAAAAGCGGCTCGCGTTACTTGGTGCGTCAGAACTCTCGAAAGATTCCACGCAGGATCCTCAAATACTGAGGGACAAAGAACGGTTAATGCAGAATGGTATGCTAGCATTTGTTTGCCACAGGTCGTTTCTGAACTCCGTAAAGAGAACTGCAACCGCCGCATCATCCTCCATCACGACAATGCGAGTTCTCACACCGCACACAGAACAAAAGAGTTTTTAGAGCAAGAAAACATAGAATTATTAGACCATCCGCCTTACAGCCCCGACCTAAGCCCTAATGATTTCTATACTTTCCCTAAAATAAAGAATAAATTGCGTGGACAGAGATTTTCATCACCTGAAGAAGCTGTGGACGCCTACAAAACGGCCATTTTGGAGACCCCAACTTCCGAATGGAATGGTTGCTTCAATGATTGGTTCCATCGTATGGAAAAATGTGTCAAATTTCGCGGAGAATACTTCGAAAAGCAATAAATACATTTTTAAATAGTAATGTTGTGTCACTTCCTTCATTCCCGAAATTTTCAGTGCTGCCCTCGTAGGATTACAATATAAAAACATTTAGAAACGGCATGGAAGCGATGACCTTATTCCCAGGGGTTATTATCAATAATTTACTCTTTAGTAGTACAATAACCTATATTAAACAACTATTGCTTAGTAAAAAAATTAAACTTTTTGATGGATAAGTCCAGCAATTTCTGGGACTTTGTTTTAAAAGCGTATACATTGCCCCGTGAAAGAATTTCAGACTCTTTGGAGTGTCAACAACCCTATGCCGATAGTACATGCAATAATGACATTCATCGTCGTCATCATTACAGCCTTACACAAGGTCACTGCTAAACATAGGCTCTCCCAAAGAATGCCAAAATACGCAGACCTGAGCCATTTTCATCCATCGACTTGCATGTCTTACTATAAGTGGAGGGCCATCCTAAATTCGCTTACATGTACGAGGCTGTCATTCGAGAACCTTACTTCCACATCGGTTGTGGGTTTTTCGAACTATATCATTGTCACTTTAACGTACTGATCCATATCCGATATTTTAATATTACACGACATACATTTTGACTTGTTTTTTTTTTATATTATATGGTTTAGTTTAAAACTATGTGGAAGGAAAGCAGCAATCAATGCAGCAACTCAATAAATAATAATGATGTATATATATTATTGACTTGAGACCATTTTTTTATTCATAGGATGGTAGATTCAGAGATGAGTGGGGGCCATAGAACTCCTAGGTTTGTTTTATTTTAATATTGAGTTGTAATGTTGCACATCCAAATCCTTGCAATACATAATGTCACTCACATGTCTGTTACGAGGGCGCGAAAGTTGTGTGGTCACAATGCTCACCCGCTTTGCTTCTATCCACATCTGAATACTCATTTCATTCTCATCTCCAATCTTTGGACGTGTTGACGATGGGATTTGTTTATGTGTAGTTACTTTCCTTTCTCCTCTTCGTTGGTTTACATAAAACTTTGAACGTAAATTCCTAACTCCATGCACTAATTGATTGTCAACTTAATTCATTACATGGTTGTAACATTGTCACTCAAAATTTCGTTTGGGAATTTTGTATGATTAACAACACATTGCAATCATTAAGTTATTGGTCTATCTTTCATCCTAACGACACGAAAATTTACGTTCACTGGGTGTCTTGTGATGTCTTCTTTGTTTGTACAGTTTTCTAATAGTGGTGTAAGTAAACATTCTATCCTGTAAAAAGTTACCTTGCTACTAATTTATACTAAATGATGTTACAATATCCTAATAAAAACAAACCATAATAAATATTTAGGCCGTGGTTCATTAACGGTATTGTTGTATGATTTTAGTAATTCTTTAACCCTTGTTATGGAACAGATAAAGTTTTGTTATCGTAGGGGGAGTGGTGGCGTTGGCTCTACATTACTAGACTCGTCCCAGTCACTTTCATCTCTGGCGAGAAGGGTCCTTGCGGAAATCTGCTCCGAGGAGTGGGTGCTGCAGAAGTGCTTACAGAATCCAGATGAGCTCTATCAACCTGACATGCTGCTCGATTCTATGCTCACTCCACGACAGGCTCAAAGGTATAAATTTTTTTTTACCAATTTTTATTGGAATTGTTTTACCTGATTGAAAAAAATATATGTATAAAAACATCTACTTGGGTCGAGTTTTACAGTCGGACACCTATGTAGAGAATTAAGGAGAGGGTAGGTGTGAAAGATGCAGAACGCAGAACTAGATATTTTATACTTTGATGTTGCTCCCTAGCGCAAGTGGCTAAGAATTTCATTTCTAGCATATACAAAATGTCATCCTGCCATCTATCGTTGGCCGTGAGGTTGTCTTTCCCATAGTCGACTCTTACGACACCCAAAGAATGAAATGGAGTGATGTATTCCCTAACGCAGCCTCTAACAATGTAATAATAAAAAATATTTACTTCTTAAATACAAATTATATTTTTTCAGGTTGTTACATATGATATGTTATCCTGATTCAGCCAGTCACACTCATCCCGATCTTGACCAGAAAACTATGATAACGCGCCTGTTGGAGGTAATTTATATTTTTAATACCACATTTTTATGTGAAAATGTACATATTATTATATGTAGCCTATACTATAGAGATTAAATTTATATATGATCACCCGAGGCAAGTATGACAGTGGGGCAAGTGTAACAAATGCAAATTATGCGGCATAAACACGTTTTTTTTTTGGGTTAAATTTCATCTATTGAACAAAGCGGGAACGTTTACGCTATTGACTTTATCGACAGTTAAGTACATAGCTTTAACTATTATATCGACAGATGAAAATTAATTAATTAATATCTAATTTATATCACTTGCCTCGGATGACCATAAATTATTTATTGAATTATATTACATATTAAATAAATAAGTTGACATCTGATTAGATAAACGAGTCTAGTTGAAATTCAAAACGGACCAACATAGAAATATGGAGTATACCAGCTAAATCTGTTCCATAATCTTAAAGACATCATTTTCAAACATAATACGATTTGAAAATCGTTTTGATTTCTGTTTTTGAAGATTAAAGATAAACTAATTACGCAAACTGACAACATAGACAGTTTTACTATGGTTTATCCGGTACGGAACAGAACCTGGAGCAGTGGTCGCTGCGCATGTCGTGGCTGGACCTGCAGCTGATGTTCAAGCAGTTCCCGAGCGGCTCGTCCGAGCTGAGCGCGTGGCTCGACACCGTGGCCCGCGCCGTCATCAACGTCTTCCAACAGCCGGCGCCTCCCCCGCCGGATAAGGACAGGTATACATTTTATTAATCATTTTCTATTGATGAATACTATACATGTTATGCTAACGGGGTGACTGAAGATGAGCCGGAAAGAAAATACGACACTAGACCGTCACTCCGCGAGGCGCTTTTAGACCATTCCATTTATATTAATACTGCAAAGCACTAGAAACCTCGGGAATGAAAACGAAATTAAACGCGATAAAATCCGAAAAATTGAACTGATTATTTATTAATCAGTTAATCATAATATGTCCTTAAGACCGAATTTCCCAATGGATAGCAATCATATGCTTATCCTCATGATAGGCACGAGTAAAGTCTCTGTTACCTCATTCTCATAGTCCGATGGGATAGAAACAATTATTTTTAATTTTAAACATTAAAATCGCATCGAGTCTAGATGTGAAAATTGACGTTCAAAAAGTGAAGTTACCAGTAAACCCAATATTGTTATTTTTCTTTCATCATTCATCATCATTATTACAGCCATTCATAAGTCCACTGCTGAACATAGGCCTCCCCCAAGGAATGCCACAAAGCACGGTCCTGAGCCACCTGCATCCATCGACTTCCTGCATGTCTTACCAGGTCGTCACTCCATCTCGTGGGGGGTCGCCCTACACTTCGCCGACCGGTACGAGGCTGCCACTCAAGAACCTTTCTTCCCCATCGGTTGTCGATTCTTATATATTTTCAATATATATTCTTAAATATTTCTTAATTATTTTTCTTTGGTAATGGATAATTATAATTTATAACTATTTGTTCAAAAATTTCTCAACAACATATTGATGCATCACATTGCGGAGTTTTTGAGAGATTTCGACAACAGCTTTAACCAACCCCAACCATAGTCGATGAGAATATTTCAAGATCACATCGGTACACTTGTTTTGTCGATTCCTCCAATAGTTCACATGCGCAGATATTTAAGAGCCCGTTCTCATTTTGTCGGCCCCGACAGAAAATCGCTCACTCTAATGGCAGAACATTTTATATGAAGCTGTTCATTCACACTTATCCGACACCTTTTTTCTCGGCACCGACAAGAAATGTTGGCTGTTTTGCCAACTCTTTACGTCCGTAAAAATCGCTTCGAATCTCGTTCGCCTATAAGTAAGTATAGTGCTGTTCAGTGTTCACATTATGTCGGATGTCGGACCCGGCAACCAAGCTCTCTGCCGCAGATCGCGTACACACATATCGCGGCGCGCACGCAGAGTTGTTGGGTTTTTATTGAAAAACTTTATAATTTCACTTCTCAATTCAGTTATTAAGTTCTGAAATGTTCTTAAAGTAAATCTTTCTCTCTGGATTAGGTGATCCCAAAATAGTGATCCCAAAATGTCACAACAAAAGCTTCATCGATGTCCATCCTGTACAGTCGCCTCGCATAGACTGCTAAAAATGACCCAGTTTTGATCGGATCCGACAACCGACTGGTATGAACAGAAGCGCCGACACCCGATTAAAATACGGCACCCGGTACCCGACAGGTGGGAACGAGCTCCAACACACAAAATCACATCTTTTTGAGGTATCAAAATCCACTTGAAATCATTATTTAAACGGTAAAATGGCAGCAAGAATTGAACAGTCCAGTGAAAGTCCGCAGATATAGTCAAGTTTTCACCAAAACTCAATGCCATTACCGTCACAGGCCTGATCCGTCACTATCACAGAAATGATATTATTAAAGCACACTCGTACTTGAGCCGTCTATGGTCACTACCATGTATACTACTAGACAGATTCTACGTACTGAACACATTGCACACTAAGTTATGGTCAATTCTCCGTATCTCCTTTAGTCGATTACGAGAAGATAATTTTGTTTTGTAAACTGCGAACGTTGTTTTAGCCAATCTAACACTGATTTTGTTTAATGACTTTTTTTATAGAATCAGGGTGACAGACGAGCACACAGTCCACCTGATGGTAATTGGATACTGCGGCCCATGGACATCTACATTTATTCTCAATTAAGAATCAAAATTCATATGCGTTGTCACCCCTGAGGACTAAGATGGAATGCCTCGTTTCCAGTTAAAAAGATCTCCGGTTCTCAACACTCACCATACGAAACACCGCAACATCAAGCTGCTATTTTACGCTGGTATTCTGTGAGAGCGTGGTCCCACCCCGGTCGAACCGACCTATTCGTGCTACCACTATAATATAGCTTTCAGCATGGCTCTACAACGTAAAAACTTTGTCATCGTGATTTAAAGTTTGTTTTAAATAAGTATGTATTTATTTCGTATATACCAAAACAGTAACGACAGTTAGCCCAGCGGGAGCCAACGCGAACCACATCTGTGACACGCTTTTTGTTCTGTCGTGCCGGTCTAGTGGTATGTCTAGAAGTCTGCAGTGCAAGTCTAAGTATATCGTTACATGTGAGGCCACCATTGTTGTTCGCAGGACGGGCACGGACCGCGGCGTGGTGAGCACTAGCAAGTGGTCGGAGTCGGTGTGGCTGGTGGCGCCGCTCGTCGCCAAGCTGCCCGCCGCCGTGCAGGGACGAGTGCTCAAACAGGCCGGACAGGTGACCTTACGTTTACAGCTTTGTCTAAAAACATTCACAACCAATAACGTGCTTCTAGATGCTTATGAGTTGGTCAGCAGTGAACTTTTCCATCCATCCATTACGGCCTATAAAAGTCCACTGCTGAACATGGGTTTCCTCCATAGGCCTCATAGGAAAGATATTACCATAGTTGCAACGATTGGCAGGCGGGTTTTTTTTAAAAATATTTTGATTTGTTATCAGAAAGATGCTAATGATCATATTTTTTTTACAGTGGTAGAGCTAAGCGGTAGCTTTTGCTGTCGCACGGATGGGCCAGCTCGAACCGGGGTGGTACCACGACCTCACAGAATACCAGCGTGAAGTAGAGGTTTACCTCTGCGTTGCGCTTGGTGAGTGCAGGTGGCCGGAGGCCCAATTGCCCCCCCCCCCCCCCCATCAACATGGCAGTGGAATTAAATACAAGACTACCCCAGGAGGGTACCAGCACCCCTGGAGAATCCCTCGCTGAGCATCCACGACCAAACTACTTCACTCCTGAGCGTGGGTGCTCAGGCTGCCCCGCGTATTCTGGGGGGGGGGGGGGGCAAAATTCCGCTCGTGACTAATGCTGCTCGGGGCAAGCGGAGCAATACAACCAAGGCGACCCCTGTCACGCTATCCGTGAATTTTTGCAACATCAGGGGACTTCATTCCAACCTTAACGCTGTCCATTACCATCTAGAGACGGCGAAGCCGGCCTTGCTCTTTTTAACCGAGACTCAGGTGTCCTCTCCGGCTGATACTTCATATCTCTCCTACCCGGGATACAAATTGGAACACTCCTTTGTGCCCCGGGCTGGGGTTTGTGTATACGTCAGAGAGGACATCTGTTTTCGACGCCTCGGCAGCCTTGAAGGTACGGACCTGTCCATCCTATGGCTGCGCGTAGAGTGACGATCATCCCCGCGTCTACGGGTGCCTCTATAGGTCCCATAGCGGTAATGCCGACACAGACCGACTCATCGACCACGTCCAAATGGCTGCAGACTCCGTGCTACAACAGGTCCCATCCGCAGAGATCGTGATACTCGGTGATTTCAACGCCCACCACGCTGAATGGCTTGGTTCTCGTTTAACCGATCATGCGGGTAGATCTGTGTACGACTTTGCTTTGGCATATGGTCTAACACAACTGGTTACTTCGCCTACGCGGATCCCAGATGTGGAAGACCATGTACCTTCCCTGTTGGACCTTCTGCTGACCTCTCATCCGGACGGATATCAGGTCTCCGTCGATGCCCCTCTGGGCTCTTCGGACCATTGTCTGATCCGGAGCACGGTGCCACTCACGCTCCAATCGCAGTTGCGATCTGCAGCTTGCCGCCGTGTTTGGCACTATAGGTCAGCTGATTGGGACGGGATGCGGTCTTTTTTTGCATCCTACCCTTGGGGGCGGGTTTGCTTCTCGCCGGAAGATCCCAGCGTTGTTGCCGATTCTGTTCCTGATGTGGTACTTCAGGGTATGGAACTTTTTATTCCATCCTCTGTGGTGCCCATCGGAGGCAGATCCCAGCCATGGTTTGGTCGCTCCTGTAAAATAGCATCACGCTATAAGCAGGAGTGCTACCGGGCCTGGGCTGATGCATCAACGTCTCGGGATTTAAACACCAGCGCACTTAAAAAGAAGTATAATTCCGCCTCCAGGTCCTTCAAAAGCGTCATTGCCAAGGCAAGGTCTGAGCACATCGGCAGAATTGGTGAGAAGCTAGTTCGCCTTCCTTCGGGAACCCGTGCATTCTGGTCTCTCGCCAAGGCTGTCCAAGGGAACTTCTGTCAGCCATCCCTTCCATCTCTGCACAGAGAGGACGACTCACTGGCCCATGCCGCAAAAGAGAAAGCCGATCTGTTGTGCTCTCTTTTTGCGTCTAACTCGACTCTAGATGACGGGGGGAACACACCGCCGATCATCCCGCGATGTGAGTGCTCCATGCCGGATGTGCGATTTACACAGCGCTCGGTTCGCAAAGCACTCTTCTCCCTGGACGTCAGCAAGTCGAGTGGGCCCGATGGAGTCCCTCCCATTGTGCTGAAGACGTGTGCTCCGGAGTTGGCACCGGTTTTAGCGCGTCTTTTCCGGTACTCCTACTCCCAAGGCGTAGTCCCGAATTCATGGAAGACAGCTTTGGTCCACCCGATCCCTAAAAAAGGCGACTGCTCAGACCCGTCCAACTACAGGCCTATCGCTATCACCTCCTTGTTCTCCAAAATAATGGAATCCATTATAAACTGCCAGCTCATGAGGTTCCTTGAAGATCACCAGCTGATCAGTGACCGTCAGTACGGTTTTCGTCGGGGTCGATCAGCGGGTGATCTTCTAGTTTACTTAACTCATAGATGGGCGGAGGCAGTAGAGTCCAAGGGGGAGGCATTGGCCGTTAGTTTGGACATAGCGAAGGCCTTCGATCGGGTCTGGCACAAGGCGCTTCTTTCGAAGCTTCCTTCCTATGGGCTTCCCGAGAAATTGTGCAAATGGATCACCAGTTTCCTTGCTGATCGGAGCATCAAAGTCGTAGTAGACGGTGCATGCTCTGATTACAAGCCTATCAACGCTGGTGTTCCACAAGGCTGCGTGCTATCACCAACGCTGTTTCTCCTGCATATCAATGATATGTTGCTAACTGGTAGCATTCATTGCTATGCAGACGGCAGCACTGGGGATGCCTTATATACCGGCCGTGCCAATATTTCTCGGGACAACGTCGCCGAGTACCGGGACAAACTTGTGTCTGAAGTCGAGTCTTTGCTTAACAAAGTCTCGGATTGGGGCCGACTAAATCTAGTCCAGTTCAATCCCCAGGAGACACAAGTTTGCGCGTTTACCGCTAAAAAGAACCCCTTTGTCGTATCTCCTCAGTTTCAAGGCACTCCCCTTGCTGCCTCAGCCAGTATCGGAATCCTTGGCGTCGACATATCGAATAGCGTGCAGTTTCGTGGTCACTTGGAAGGGAAGGCCAAATTGGCCTCTAAAAAGCTTGGCGTGCTCAGCAGAACGAGACAGTATTTCATGCCGGCACATCGCTTGCAACTTTACAAAGCGCAAGTTCGGCCCCACATGGAATACTGTTCTCATCTCTGGGCCGGGGCACCCCAGTGCCAGCTCCTTCCACTTGACCGCATCCAGCGCAGAGCGATTCGAATCGTCGACGACCGAGTTCTTTCCGATCAGCTCGATACACTGGCACTGCGTAGAGATGTTGCATCTCTTTGCGTATTTTATCGCATTTATCACGGGGAATGCTCTGAGGAATTGTTCGGACTAATTCCAGCCGCTCAATTTCACCATCGCACGTCGCGACAAAACTAGCGTTACCATCCGTACCATCTGGATGATTGGCGGTCCACCACTGTGCGATTTAGAAGAAGTTTTCTCCCTCGCACAACTTCTTTGTGGAATCAATTACCACCAGCGAATTTTCCGAACCGATACTACTTAGGAACCTTCAAGAAAAGAGCTTACACCTTTCTAAAAGGCCGGCAACGCATCTGCAATTCCCCTGGTGTTGCGGTTGTTCATGGGCGGCGGTAGTCACTTACCATCAGGTGAGCCGCAAGCTCGTTTGCCCCCTATTCTATAAAAAAAAAAATCCTGTTTCAATTTCCCTCTGTCGCCCCTTACGACACCAACGGCACGATATAGTATAGTGGGTATTTTCACACCGCTACTACATGGTTAGTGTATTATTACAGGCTGATAAAGAGAGAAAGGACCCCAAGGGGCCAGCAGCTGGCCGACTTCATGGAGAAAGAGGGACTCTTTATAATTAACTCATTCTTCTAGAAGCAGTCCCACAGGAAGTGGACTTGGTCGAGCCCCGACAGTTCGACAAAAAAATGAGACATTATGACGACTAGACGGCAACTGAACTCTAATGAAGTCAACGTTCCGTCCCCCTCGTGCTCTAATCCAAAGTCTCGAAGACTTTCAGCTAGAGTTACAAAATCGTTTTCAGTGACTAGAAAATTGCAATACAGTGGACGATATGAATGACAAGCTCATGGAAACTGTCCAAGCGGTCAGAGCTATGTTCTGCAAGACCCGCCACAGAAGAACACAAAAACTGCGATCACACTCTTAATATCATGTCTGTTTGACGGGAAATGAAGCTACATTCTTCAACAGATTTGACAGCATACAGGCAACTGAACGGACAGATTTCCAAATGCATGCGGCGGGACTTACGCAACTTCAATACAGCTCGAATTGAAGAAACGATCGAGCGGAACCAGGACTCCAAAGTCTTTGCCAGAAATCTGTCTGCCAAAAGAGCCAACTGTCAAAGCTGAATACTGAATGTGGCAGCACAGACGCCAGGACACCTGAGATTTTGAGTGAGATTGAGAGGTTCTATGGGCAACTGTACACGTCATTGTTGGATCCACACGCAAGTGTGAGTAACGATCCAAGAGCAAATCTTGTCCGATACTATTCCGGACGTCTTAGCGAGATTAGAATGGCAAGTCCCTGAGCGAGGGCGGAGTTTTTTTTTTTTTTTTTTTTTTTTTTTTTTTTTTTTTTTTTTTTTATAGGATCGGGTGACAAACGAGCACACAGTCCACCTGATGGTAAGTGGTTACTGTGACCCATAGACATCTACATCTATCCTCAATAAAGACTCAAGATGCAGATGCGTTGTCACCCGTGAGGACTAAGATGGAATGCCTCTTTGCCAGTAAAAAGGGTTTCCGGTTCTCTACACTCACCATACGAAACACAACAGCGTTAAGCTGCTATTTTACGCTGGTTTTCTGTGAGAGCGTGGTCCTTCCCCGGTCGAGCCGACCCATTCGTGCTACAACCATAATATAGCTGCAGCATGGCTCTACCACGTACAAGTTACCGGAGGTTCTAAAAGCAGATGGAAAACCGGTACTTGAAGTCTTTCAGACGTTCTTTAATTACGTCCTCTATGGTGGTACTACTCTGGAGACGTGGAGCAGAAGTGCGGTGGTTTTGTTCTTCAAGAGAAGTGCACTACAATTGAAGTTGTTTGTGAACTACAGACCAATTTTCCTTCTGAGCCGCGTCTACGTACTGTTTTCGAGAGTCATTAATAATCGTCTCGCACGCAGACTCGACTACTTCCAACCTCCCGAATAAACCGGTTTTCGAAAAGGCTTTAGCGCAAATTGTACAGAAGACCGAGGAGGAGTACAATTTGTCACTATGTCTTGCGTTTGTGGACTATGAGAAAGCCTTTCATTCCGTCAAAATTTGGGCGGTGCTGCAGTCCCTTCAGCGGTGCCAAGTTGACTATCGGTATATCGAAGTGCTGAAGTGTTTCTACAGTAGGGCTACTGGAGTAATTCTTATGGCAGAATCGCAGAAGGACCTAAGCACTATGCTCAATGACCTCAATAGGTGATAGATAGATCATGAGTAACGTCCATGTCACACCTATACCGGTAGTTGTTTGGAACACTAAGCTCGAAGTTGTTGACGAGTATGTTACCTGGGCCAAATAATCCGACTAGGTAAGTCCAACTTCGACCGACAGGTCAATCGACGGATTCAACTCAGATGGGCAGCGTTCAGGAAATTACGACACATCTTCTCGTCAGGTATACCATGAAATTTGAAAACAAGATTGTACAACAACCAGTGCGTTTTGCCAGTGATGACTTACGGATCTAAGACGTGGTCCTTCACTGCTGGCCGTATGAGGAAGGTCAAGGTCGCACAGCGAGCTATGGAGAGGGCTATGCTCGGAGTTTATCTGCGTGATAAACTTAGAAATGAGGATATCCACAGTAGAACCAGAGTAACAGATATAACCCAGCGGACTAGTAAGCTGAAGTGGCTATGGATCAGCCATATAGCTCGAAGAACCGACAAACTAGATAAAGTGACGACCTAGTAAGACATACAGGAAGTCGATGGATGCAGATAGCTCAGGACCGTGCTTCGTAGCATTCCTTGGTGGAGGCCTATGTTCAACAATGAACTTGTGAAGGACTGTAATGATGTAATGACGATGATGAAAAAAGAAAGGGTGTAAAAACAATTAATAATAATTATTGACGTACTTCAAGCCAAAGACAAAAAGTACATTGTCGTTTTGCATCGTGCGTCGTGCATGACCTTGGCGGGATGTACAGCAAGATGGGCCGTGTGTAAGGAGCTTATACTCAATCAAATCTAAGAAAAATCTTTTGACGTTTCACATTAATCATTCCGCAATAACTTTGTACAAACGTACTCACACGATTTAAAATAAGCTTTTACGTAAATTCTAAGAATTATGAATTCATTACAACATGTATAGTTTTTTATCACCAATTTAAATTCAAATCATTCACATATTGTGCGGTAGACATGAACAGGCGACATGTGCCAGTGGGAAAAGGGTGGCCGCGCCTCAATTTGCAATGTAGGATCCGCCGGAGGAGAATTTGTAGAAAATACATCTGAAACACAAGGGATGACTGGGCCAAATTGACGGAGGAAACAAAGAAAATTCTTATGGACTATGAAAGAGACATTCATTTTGAATGCATTGAAAATTAAGTAAAAATTAATTTAAACAACGATTATGACGACGACAGCTCAACAGTATAGTGAAAGTTATTAAATAAATTTTTAATCTTGTGCAGTTTTATCAATTTATATAACTTTATCTAGAAATTTGCAGTAAACAATAAATATGAAGAAACTGATAAATTGAAATTGAAAACTGAAATTTTGTGTTTTGAGTTATCTGTTTCTAATTTATTCTGATTTAAATATTAATCTCGATAAAACTAAATGGTTACCTACTCTAAAGAATCGATATCGATATCTCTTAAGAATCGAATATATTTTTTTCTTTTATTTAATTTTAGGTACCGATTTTTCAGTTGGAACGCCTAGTCCGTTAAATGTGTCATCTATCAAAAGGTATTTCTTAGATTTGGTGTAGTATATTTATCACCAGAGGTTGTTTATGGTTTCTTTTGTTTAATTTAATTTTAAACAATAGTTTGCCCAGACAATATTCATGTAACTGTAGTATATATTTTGCGATTAGATTCTCGAAAGCGGTTGGGGTTCCGGTTGCAGCGGGAACTGTTCTGGTGGCGGAGGCGGAGGCGGCGGTTCACATCGAGATTGCAAGAGCCATCAGAGTCCTAGCTATAAAGGGTAAATTTTAATTGTCCTATGTCTATTACTTTTTAACTGCATCCTAGAGATAACACTCTTTCAGAGATGAGAAAAGGTCTATGTTTAATATTGGGATGTATTAAGCTGTGTTGTTTTGTGCGATCGTGATTGTTTGTCGGTGGAGCTGACCCATCGGTTTTGAAGCTATACTACAACTGCACTGTGGTCGAAAGTGGCTGATATCTAACATAAGGAATTATACACGTATGCACGCTGTTACTTTATTCTGTGGCAGCGTGATCTTTAGCTGGTGAATTTGACCCTTTCGTACTGGAGTCATGCTACAGTTGCACGTGTTCGAGTGGGGCTGATAACTAACATTAGGATATAAATATATACTATGCTGCTACCGTACTATAGACGAAGCAAGGCCGGTTGTTACTTTATTCCGTGCGAGCGTGAATGTTCACGTGGTGTGGCTACTCTACAGCTGCCCGTGACCGAGCAAGGTTAATGTCTAACATTGAAACGTCTACAGGCTGTTAGTTTATTCTGTGGTCGCGTATACGTTCGCGTGTAGACTAGTAGAGCGCGTCTGTAGCGGCACGTGGTGCGCAGGTCGGCGGGCGGCGGCGGCGGCGGCAAGCGCGGCGTGGGCGGCGCGTGCGCGTGCGGCGGCGCGGCCGGCGTGCGCCTCGCCAACGAGCCGCTGCTCTCCCTCGTGCTCACCTGCCTGCGCCACCAGGACGACCAGAAGGTGAGCCCAACATCAGGCCGCGACCTACTTTCTTTCTTTCTTTTTTCTATCATAGTGGACTTGTACGATTATACTTTTGCCAGTATCATGTAATAAAAAATTATTCTTTATACTACACTTCTTCACAAAATGTCGAATCACATTGCGAAGATTCTGGGAGATATTGACGGCAGCTTGAGCCAGCAGACTTTTGATGGTGATAGGATCTTAAGGCGCCTAAACAAACACATTATCTTGAAGTTCACACCCCCGTCGGAGCACTTGTTTTATCGTTTTCATTAATAGTTTATATGCGCAGACATTTAATATTTACATATCAAAATACACTTCAAACTATTATTCAAACAATAAAACAAGAGCAACAATCCACCGGCGGTCAAGTTCCCATAAAAACCGTACGACACAATCATTGCAACGTACTAGAACAGACGCAAAAATCTGTGCGGCTATGCGGGGTGCGTGGTTGAAGGCACAGAGTACCTTTAATAGACTAAGTAAACTTAACCCCGTGGGCTCTAGCCTGTATTGCAAACAATCAAATCTTGGCGTCTCTTCCTGTACGTAGTAAATATTACATCAATAACTATGATCTACTTTGTTAGCCCATTAAATGACTCTGTGTAATAAATAATGGGCCCCATTTATTAAAAAAAAAAAAGGAAAATTTTAATTCCATTTTACGTGATTTGCCAATGAGGGCAATGAGGGGATAGAGGAGCAAGAGTAAATACACAAAATAATTCCTCAGTGGATTGCTCTTTAAATTTTTGCACATTTTTTTAAAAAACCGGCCAAGTGCGAGTCAGACTCGCGCACCGAGGGTTCCGAACAAATCCGTAAGTATATAAGTTTCAAATTATTAAAAATATTTTTATTATATGATATAACTAAAAATTTATACTTTTCGCAATTTTTCCTTTATCTGTGCTATAAAACGTTGTTTTGTACCAAATTTCAAGATTCTGAGTTCACGGGAAGTACCCTGTAGGTTTTGATTCCCTTGCGAATGTCGAAAATTTGCGGCATAAACGGCTGTATCTTTTGATTTCGTTAGCTTAGAAGTTTGATTTTTTCACAGCTCTAAGGAACAGTAGACTTGAGTATTTGATATAAATTTCAGCTTGATACCTCCACGCGTTTCTGAGAAAAAGGGTCTTGACAGACAGACAGACAGACAGACAGACAGACGGACGGACGGACAACAAAGTGATCCTATAAGGGTTCCGTTTTTTCCTTTTGAGGTACGGACCCCTAAAAATGAACTTATAGGAATATCGTAGTTTAGTTATTCATTTTTAATCTAATTAATATTAATATAAAACTATAAAAATAAGGAAATAAACATTATATAACAGAGATGGCTAGGTTGTGTCCAGTGGCTGCCAACGACCACTCCTTTAAAGTCTTACATACGTGTAATAAAGGGCTGCGACTGTGTGTGCTGGGTCTTGACAGACAGACAGACAGACAGACAGACAGACAGACGGACGGACGGACAACAAAGTGATCCTATAAGGGTTCCGTTTTTTCCTTTTGAGGTACGGAACCCTAAAAATGAACTTATAGGAATATCGTAGTTTAGTTATTCATTTTTAATCTAATTAATATTAATATAAAACTATAAAAATAAGGAAATAAACATTATATAACAGAGATGGCTAGGTTGTGTCCAGTGGCTGCCAACGACCACTCCTTTAAAGTCTTACATACGTGTAATAAAGGGCTGCGACTGTGTGTGCTGGAACAGTTAGAGATATTAAAAAGTAATAATACTAACTGCTGAATAAACAAACAAAAGTTTCTAACTCGCCTCTCTTAAATATCTTTAAGCCTGCTTTCTAGTAGCAGACAGCCTCGCAATATGATTGTTTATCACCCTCACGGTGATCGGCGATTGGTTGCGTGGTTGGAGGGTATTCGGGCGTTGCGCGGCGGTTTGTTTTTAATTTTACAGACGGCTGCGTAAGTCCGGTGGTGATTGGTCGCATGTTTTATCGCATGACGCGGTCGCTCGCTCCTTAAGCAGGGTGCGGTTGCGTCAGCGGTCTGTATAAAAGGCAGTCGTTTTGGCTCACCGCTCACTTAACGGTCAGCCACCGTAGAGTCTACATCACCTGAGGATGCCTCGTGTTGAGGCGAAACACGTGTCGTATTGTCGTCGGTGTTGTGTCTTGCCTAGTGTAGTGGTGTTGGGAGTAGCGGTGCTGGAATTAGTGGTGACGAGGATTGTACACGCAAATGAGGGAGGGCGGGAGGTGCTCTTCATACTAGGTAAGACACATCATTTTATTTTATAGCGCTGATGTTTGCGAAGTAAAATTTTTTTAAAAGCTTTTATGTTTGTCATACATTCGCATACTAACAGCACACACAGAATACCAGCGTATAATAGCAGCTTATTGCTGCTGTGTTTCATATGGTGAGTGTAGAGAACCGGAGACAAATTTTACTGGGAACGAGGCATTCCATCTTAGTCCTCAGGGTTGGCAACGCATCTGGATTTTGATTCGTAATCGAGGATAGATGTAGATGTGTATGGGCCACAGCAACCACTTACCATCGGGTGGACTGTGCTCGTTTGTCAAACACTATAAAAAAAATACTAGAAACGTTCTCGGGTGGCAGGAGAGCCTGCTGAGCTCGATCCACGCGCAGCTGCAGCACTACCTGACGCACGCGCGCGAGCACGAGCGCGCCGCGTGCAGCGACACGTGGCAGGACGAGGTGGCGCCCGAGGCGCTGCAGCTGCGCTTCTCGCTGGCCGGCGGCATGTTCGACGCCATCCGCCGCTCCTACCAGCTCACCTCCGACTGGGCGCTGCTGCTCACGCAGCTGCTCGCGCAACAGCTCGTCGACGCCTACAGCAATAGGTAAATGCGCGTCGCCGCTCCGCTTTATATATATATATATATATATATATATATATATATATATATATATATATATATATATTTACTAATATTAACCCTGTATGTTTAAACCCATCAAGCCGCTTAGGCTACAGAGCGTGCCAAAGAAGTAGACATACATACACATTACGCACACCCGAAAAATTTTACCCCACTTCTGGGTAGTCGGGTAAAAACTACCTGCAATCTCAAACTAAAAAAGTAAAATAGATAGAGGAGCGCTGTGTACATTTTAAGTAACGCTATTTTTTTTTATAGAAGAGCGGGCAAACGAGCATGCGGCTCACCCGAAGGTAAGAGACTACCGCCGTCCATGAACAACTGCAACACCAGGGTAATTGCAGATGCGTTGCCGGCCTTTTAAACAGGAGTAGGCTCTCTTTTTGAAGGTCCCTAAGTCGTACGGGTCCGGAAAAATCCCTAGTGGTAATCAATTCAGCAATTCCACAAGGAAGTTGTGCGAGGAAGAAAACTTCTTCTAACTCGCACAGTGGTGGACCGGCAATCATCCAGGTGGTATGGATAGTATCGCGAATTTTGTCGCGATGTGCGAAGGCGAAATTGAGCGGCTGGAATTAGTCCGAACAATTCCTCAGAGCACTCTCCGTGATAGATGCGATAAAATACGCAAAGAGATGCAACATCCCTACGCAGTACCAGTGAGTCAAGCCGATCGGAAAGAACTCGGTCGTCGACGATTCGAACCGCTCTGCGCTGGATGCGGTAAAGCGGAAGGAACTGGCACTGAGAGCCCCTGCCCAGATATGGGAACAGTATTCCATGTGAGGCCGAACCTGCGCCTTGTAAAGTTGCAAGCGGTGTGCCGGCATGAAATACATTCCCATTCTGCTGAGCACACCAAGCTTTTTAGAGGCCAATTTAGCCTTCTCTTCCAATTGACCACGAAACTACACATGACTCGATATGTCGACTTCGAGGATAACGATATTTGCTGAGGCAACAAGGGGAGTGCCTTGAAACTGAGAAGACACGACAAAGGGGTTCTTTTTAGCGGAAAACGCGCAAACTTGTGTCTTCTGGGGATTGAACTGGGCTAGATTTAGTCGCCCCCAGTCCGAGACTTTGCTTAACAAAGTCTCGACTTCTGACACAAGTTTGTTCCGGTACTCGGCGAGGTTTTCCCGAAAAATATTGGCACGGCCGGTGTATAAAGCATCACCAGTGCTGTCATCTGCATAGTAATGAATGTTACCATGTTATCATTGATATGCAGAAGGTACAGCTTTGGTGATGGCACGCAGCCTTGTGGAACACTAGCGTTAATGAGCTTATAATCGGAGCATGTACCGTCTACTACGACCTTGATGCTCCGATCTGCAAGAAAACTGGTGATCCAATTGCACAATTTCTCGGGAAGCCCATAGGAAGGAAGTTTCGAAAGAAGCGCTTTGTGCCAGACCCGATCGAAGGCCTTCGCTATGTCCAAACTAACGGCTAACGCCTCCCCCCTTGGATTCCACTGCCTCCGCCCATCTATGCGTTAGGTAACCTAGAAGATCTCCAGCCGAGTAACCTCGACGGAAACCGTACTGGCGGTCACTAATCAGCTGGTGATCCTCAAGATACCGCATGAGCTGGCAGTTAATAATAGTTTCCATTACTTTGGAGAACAAGGAGGTGATAGCGGTAGGTCTGTAGTAGGACGGATTTGAGCGGTCGCCTTTTTTAGGGATCGGGTGCATGAATTGGGTCTTCCATGAATTCGGGACTACGCCTAGGGAGTAGGAGTATCGAAAAGGACGCGTTAAAACCGGTGCCAACTCCGGAGCACACGTCTTCAGCACATTAGATGGCACTCCATCAGGCCCACTCGACTTGTTGACGTCCAGGGAGAGGAGTGGTTTACGCACCGAGCGCTGTGTAAACAGCACTTCCTGCATGGAGCACTCACACCGCAGGATGGGGTGCGGTGTGTTCCCCCCGTCGTCTAGAGTCGAGTTGGAAGCAAAAAGAGAGTCTAGCAGATCGACTTCTAGGAGAACCTTAGCGTCATGGGCCAGTGAGTCGTCCACCCTGTGCAGAGATGGCAGAGATGCCTGACAGAAGTTCCCTTGGACAGCCTTGGCGAGAGACCAGAATGCACGGGTTCCCGAAGGAAGGCGAACTAGCTTCTCACCAATTCTGCCGATGTGCTCAGACCTTGCCTTGGCAATGACGCTTTTGAAGGACCTGGAGGCGGAATTATACTTCTTTTTAAGTGCGCTGGTGTTTATACGACGAAGATCTGATATCCGTCCGGATGAGAGTTCAGCAGAAGGTCCAACAGGGAAGGTACATGATCCTCCACATCTGGGACCATGAACATAATATGCATAAACTTTAAACAAAGCAAGTCACAGAAGCTTTGTCGTACTATATAAATATACTAGTTTACTTACTCTTCAAACTGAAACACAAGAACGGTTGCTTTGATGCGTGGACAAAACGAGTAAGACAGAATCGTCCAGACCAGACGAACATCTTAGCAGAAAAAGAGCCTTACAAGTCTTTACTCATTTTCATGCTTAGTTCCGTATCGTTCGTTAAATACATATAACTAGTGTCCGACCGAAGGTCAATTTTTGGTAAAAGCCTGAATAGATTGAAACTTCTTCTGTTAACTTCAACCGAAGCCGAAGGTTTGTGCTTAAAAATTTGGTCTATCACTAGCTAAAAGTAAAAGTAACACTAAATTCCGTACTATTATTATTTTGGGTATCTTAAAATGAAATCGTAAGATCATAATGGGAATTACACTTTAAAGGTGCATAACATCCGAAAAAGCAGTTTACTTAGATTATTTAAGTATTAATCTAATCAACAGTCATCATTACAGCGCATATAGGTCTCCCCATAGATTGCCTCAAAGCACGTCTCTATCAGTCCATTGGCTGGAGAATGTCTTTAAACTTAACGGCGAAGAGTTTCAGGGATATAACGTCACCCTGTCTTACACCTACTTGAGTTAGATACATTTTATACTCTGGTTCTAGGATAACCATTGAGGTCTCACTGTACAAACATTTGAGTACTTCGAAATACCAAGAGCCAACCTAGCATCGCTAAATCAAAGGCCTACTCACAGTTCACAAACGTAAGACATTTTTAGACATCTTCTACACAATTTGCCGAAGCGTATTTATTATTTGGTCAGTTTTCGAACAAGCAATAAAAATTACACTAGTTTACAAAATAAAATAAAAATTATGTCGTTCCAGTGAATTTCATATTATTTTATTTAGTTGCAGTAACTTAACGTAAAAATATATGTTTCTTATTTTTATGACGTCAAAAACTTAAGTTATCACCACATTGGTTAACCACAAGTGCTTCTGTATTCATTCAAAAATTTTGATGCAGTGAAATAAATATTTGTTTTTAAAATGTTAAGAAAGATGTGTGAAGTACAGTCAGACCGTTTTTATTACGTTTGTGGTGAACTTATTGTACTTATAAAGGATATCCCATAACCGAATCACTCAAATAAGCATATTTTTATTATTTTAAAATATCGGTTTCTCACCAGGACTAATCTTGGGCTCCCCACGTATTTTGTGAAACATTTAGACCGCAGGTGGAAACAGATCTTTGAATTTTAACATGCCAATGATATGGAGGGAACCGTACCACTAAAATGATTTTTAACGTTTATCTTACAAACACATTTAGTTTTAACAACAAGAACAAAGATACAATTATATATGCAAATGTTCCTTCTGTTACTAAACCCGTCTACAGTTCAGACAAGCAGCAAGTGCCAGAACCTTCTGGTTGTTCCATTGAAACATTGATGACTAACATAGAATTTAAAGAAGTTCAAACTCAGTCAAAGTTCAGGTGAATTGTTTCATGTTGATGAAGAACCACACATGACAACTCAGTCCGAATTGAAAGATTTAACACTAGAAGGGTCGGGGAACATGCCATACCTTCAAAGACCGCGACCGTCAAATTGACGGTTTATTAGATGTTTATGATTGAAACAAAATTATTATTTTTAATGTTGGTTTTAATTACTTAACACAAACAGCTTTTTGACAAACAGAACATTTGAACATTATTTTTTATTTATGTACTCAGCTCGAAGTTCACTTACGAGTTGGATAATATAATTATGGCGAGAAATATTTTCACCTGTAACTTTCCTATAAACAATCCATGGTTTTATAGCGGCTAAATCTAGAATATTGTAGAAGACATGGACTATCCATCTTTGAGTTCCAGCTCTTACGATGTACTTGCGTGCCATTTGGTCAACTATGTCCACGCCTAACTTGGTTTCGTTATAAAACTGTAGAGTCTCTGGAAGTTTTTTTGAATCAGTATCAATATGATCATTTTGATGTAGTGTACTCAAGATAATGACATTTTTTCAGGTTTACCTTGAAAAACTTAGGTTTACGTTTGTTGCCGATTTCAAAATAAAGGTTTTATATCTTTGTGTACGAATGTTTCTACAAATTGATGGTACCTCTCGTATTGCTCGTCTCATTGTTCCAACAATACTTGTATTTTCTGATCTTAGCTTTTCTGCTTAGTTTTAGAGATGTGAAAAAATTATCCGTTGTAATGTTTAGACCTTTTTTGAGATTAGGTTGTAACAATTTCATAACAACATGTTCTGGTAATGAAATATCACGTAGGTGCTCAACATCTTTTTCTAAATAAGGAAAGCCACCACACAGATATTTGCTTTCAATATCGGTTCTTCGAGCTATATGACCAACCATATATCAGAAACCATTGGAAATTTGTCTGTAGATGAACGCGTATTACAAATGCTTCTGAAATCAAATCGCAAATATTTCATTATTTCTTTGAATCTATTTTTACTCATTGTGGTTTTGAAAACTGGGGGACCCCATTCCAGTGACCATAAAATGTCTAAATCTGAATGGCTCATGTTGTAAGCTCCACATGCATAAAACAAGGCAATGAAGGCATCTAACACATCTAAAGAAATTTCCCACGAATTGTTTTGACATTTGATACGTGCTTCAGTTTCGGTGCATAACTTTCTTGAATAAAAAGTCGCCAGGAGAAAAGATTTTTTTTTGTTTTCTACATACCGCTTAGCATATGGAGTAGGACCTGAAATTTCTCTAAGTTCGTTTTATTGACTTCGACGGCCCGTTCCACCACCACTAGAAATACACATCCATTCAGTGCCATCACTAGCCACTTCACTCAGATCTACTTCTGGCAATGATGACGTCCTAACTAGCCTCCCACCACGGGTTATACTTCCAGAGTGCTGTGCTCTTCTGCCAGGTCCAGGTCTGGTGCCAAGAGTTCTTCTTCTGCCACGTTCGCTGTGTAAATTCCTGTCCTGCATTTCAGTGTCAAAAGGACTTTGAGTTGGAGTATCAGTTTCAGAATACTCCGATGTGGAACTTTCTTGTTCTGGCTGAAAGTCTCCATCCGCGTTTTCGCAAAGCTCGACTTATAATTCATTGCCACTTTCATCACCTGAGCCGTCTTCTTCAATACCACAAAGTCTAAATAACTCCCGTTCTATTTCTAAAATCGACAGTTGATTCGAACTCATTTTATAATGTAAACACACGACAATTCACTTCAAAAAATCAGTTGAAACTACAAATCATGTCAACAAATACAAAATATATATAAAATTTACGGTCAGAAGGTAGAAAGAAAGCTTTTGTTTTCAATACTTCACACTGATTGATGAGGCGTCAAATAGACGGCATCCGGTCTTATTAGGAATAAGGAAGCATTTCTCGTTTAACAATCTTAACTCACTTATTTTTATTAAGTTAACACTTATACAATCCTTAAGTTAGGAAAAGTCATTAAATATGAATACCAACTGAAAAATAGATAAAAAGTCATTAGCGATCAAAATCATTTTGCCGTCAAATTGACGGCATTGACCATTCTAGTGTTAATCAGAGATTTACAATTATCAAGTCCAAAGCTGAATAACTAGGTTCACGACTGCAACAGTGGAGGTTACTTGCTCCTAACACAAGAGTTACTATGTACCGTCAACGAAGTGAACGTTTCTCAACATATTTTAAGAAGGAAAACTAACTTTGTTACTGTTATGATATAGTTTGACTTTTCAAAGAAATGCAACAACCTTATAAGCCAGAAGAGTGGCGGTTATTTGTTGATTTATAGAAGACAAGTTTAAAATCAATTCTTCTATTCCGATAGAACACGCAGTAAATACCAAAGAAACATGAAAATATGTCAACACTTATTGAACTTATTGGATAAAAACATCACAATTTGATTGTTTGTGATGAGAGCCAAACAAGATCATTATAAAAAGTAGACTGGCCAGTTAAAGAAGAATATGTCCCTGGTAAACTGAATATAAAGCATAAATATCTAGTACCTTCACAAAAAATTGTTTTACCGACACTTCATATATAATTAGGTTTGGTAACAAACTTTGTGAAGGGTAAAACGAGTTAGGCTACGCTAAGCCTTTAAGCATTTATGCTCAACTTTTCCTAGTCTTTCTGATGCGAAACTGAAAGAAGGTGCTTTTATCGGACCGCAAATGAAAAAATTTTGAAGGTGATATATTTGAAAACAGTCTGATACTGAAAGGTCTGCTTGTACCAACACTTAGTAAGATTTTTGAAAAAATTATTCTTGATCAAATGTTAAATTTCTTTAATATAAATAACTTACTTCATAAAAATCAATTTGGTTTCACAAGGGGTCGCTCGACAACTGATGCCGGTGTTGAGCTGATTAAATATATCTTTAATGCATGGGAGAATTCACAGGATGCTTTGGGTATATTTTGTGACCTATCCAAGGCCTTCGATTGTGTTCACCATGAAACATTAAGAAGGAAACTTCAACACTACGGTGTAAGAAGTGATGCTTTTAAATTAATTATTTCATATTTAAGTAATATAACGCAAAAAGTTGTCATTAACAATATGAGCTCTTCCGGGTCGATTGTACAAATGGGCGTGCCTCAAGGCTCAGTTCTCGGCCCCTTTCTGTTTCTTCTTATTTGCAGATGACACTTCTTTAATTTTCAAATTAAGTTGACAATTATTAAAATATGACGAAGTAAATAATGCTATATCTAAATTAGTAAATTGGTTCAATGTTAATAATTTGCATTTAAATGGCACTAAAACGAAATGTATGAAATTCGTGACTCCAAATGTCAAACAATTAAATACTAATGTAATTTTAAAAGGGGAGAAACTGAGTCTTGTAGATAATAGTTTTACAAAAATAAGTGATATTCATTCTGTAAATACTAGGAACAGACACAAGCTAGTAGTACCAGTTACTCGACTCCATCGAGTCAGTAATTCATTTTTGGGGCGATGCATACGCTTTTACAACAAAATTCCAGAAAATATACAAAATTTGACCGGCTCAAAGTTCAAAAACTTTATTAAACTAAGTTTGTATAAAAAGGGTTATTATAATATTAAGGAATTTATGGATGATAATAACCCCTGGAAATGAGGTGATCGCTACCAAGCTATTTCTAAGTTGTTGTGTTGTTAATGTGTGTAACATACATGATCGTAAGCTGTTATTTAAAAAAAAAGTCCCGCTGGGTTTCTTGCTGGTTCTTCCCAGGACAGAGGTTTTTTTTTCGAACCAGTGGTAATTAAATAATTTAAAATTAAAAATTTTGTACAGCCGACTGCAATATAAGTTATTTAAGAATAACTCAAAAACTATTGGTCTGACCTTGATCAAATTCATATGGGACCACACGAGAACTATCAGCTTTCATATTGTACACGCCCCTAGCTGCCCCAACAAAGCTCAAATATCGCAGGGCCCATCAGCGGAAGATTCGACGGACAACTAAGGGTGTGGCACAAAATGCCTATGGACAATTGACCTATCATACTACACGATAGAGATAAGGCTAGGTAAATAAATAGTACGTACCTGGATCCGAAGCTCAGACCGCCCCAAGGCTCGGTCAGGCCGTAGGTGCATGTAAAGTGGTGTGTAGTAGTGTTTATTTATGTGACCTGGCCCAGCTGAGGTGACCGGGCAGCGGCCTGGTCCCATTCTGCCCCACAATGCTGCATCACTCCAGCAGGCGTCACCAAGTGACAACTTCTTTCCTCATGTCACTATTTCAGTCTGTCAACTTTATTGTGCATTTAACTAACTTCAACTTCATCGTAGAATCAAACACGTAATACCCGACACAAGTAACGAACAGTAGTTCAAAGTTCAACATTCAATGTTCCGGATTCATTTATCAATATTAAATACTACGCCGCAATAAGAATTCAAAATCAACCTAGCTGACACGCAAACTAACTACGGAGTCAACACACAAAAAGCTCTTAACGCGACGGCACAATTAAACAATGATTTCCAAAAAACAATCAACCGGGCCACGCCCTCGAAATGGAATGCGAGCTTCAAATTCCAGACCGTATCTCTACTCGGCGCGCGCGCAAGATTCCACGTCACACAAGCAAGTAAAATATTGCAAAATTCACTTCAACACGCAATCACTATATAATTGGCGCAATTACTTTCAAACGAAATTACTATAATCAGGCAAATTCAATACAAGCCTCTTGTTCAAAATGACCATATTTGGGCCTATACACATAAAAAAAAGAATCATCGAAATCGGTTCACCCAGTACAAAGTTATGAGGTAACACACATAAAAAAAAATACAGTCGAATTGAGTACCGTCTCCTTTTTGGAAGTCTGCAGACAAAAGAGTGACTCAATAAGTATTATTTATAATCTATATTGAATAAAAAAGTTTCTGTTTCTGTTTCTTGGAATTCATTACGACTTGTTATTCAAGGGTTCTTAGGCAGCAAAAAAATGAAAATTACCGTCAGTTAGTTGTTGATTTATTATACAATTTTCAACGAATAGGGGTTAACATGTCTCTTAAAATTCATTTCCTTCACCCGCACCTCGATTTCTTCCCTGAAAACCTTGGACACGTCAGCGACGAATACGGAGAGCGTTTTCATCAGGATCTTAAATTTTTTGAGCAAAATTATCAAGGATACTGGGACGAAGTTATGTTAGGTGACTATTGCTAGTCTATAATAAGAGGCACAGATAATAATAATTACAAAAAAGCTACGGCAAGTCATTTTTAATTTTTTTAATATTTTTGTGCATTTCTTGGTCAATAAAAAAATAAATACTTTGGAAACGTGACGTGTGTTGGATTATTTTCGTATTGTATTTTAACTCAGTGTATCTTATATGTGAAGGAAAAATACTTTTCATGTCAGGGACAGAAACCATGTAAACTAATGTTATTTTTAAAAAACATGACATTTACATTCTTAAAATATTAGAATCTATCTTATACATTTAAAAATAATAACTATTTTCAGTCAAAGCTATGACCACTCATATGCACGTTATTTTTGTCTTACTTATGTTGTTTAACACATTTTGATGGTTTAGTCAAAACTTCAGCTTCGGCCAAACTTTCGACTGATTTAGGCCGAATGCCGAATGCGTGGTTGAAACCAAAGCTTCGGTCGGACACAACATATAACAATGTTCATGTTTCCACAGGGTTTTGTGTGCTTCATCAGGTGTTACGCAGCAAGTCATATCATTTAACTACATCATTCATAAATTAATTAAGAATAACATAACGTCATCAAAATTCTAGAAAAATTTCATTAAAAAAACCATAAACTTGCTGCGTAGCGGTGCCGAGTGACAGTCAACCTACAATAAATTAATATAGTCTGTGTCGCAGCAACCTGTTCACAACATTGATCGACATGCTTGCCACTCTCATACATTCGACCCTCGCTGACGGAGGAGACGATAACAACAGGAAGCACTATCAGAACCTCATGAAGAAACTCAAGAAGGAGATCGGCGATCGACATGGGCCTTCGGTGCAGAGCGTTCGACAGCTGCTTCCATTGTCTAAGAACACTATTATCGAGGTAAACAAAATAATTCGATACAATCTCATTAATACAGTTATTATTCTGGCATAACCTTGTTATAATTTGTATTATGCCCACGAGATGAATTGGGATGTTGAGTTCTCTTCCATTGGCACCATATGACTAGCATTGAAATAAAATGTATATCACATTATAATATTAATGAAGTTAAACCTCTCCATAACTCACTCGGCGACTTTAAGTTTCGTTATGAGATAGGTTGAAAGCTATGCTGGAATAAAAACCGTAACAAACATATCCGCAGCAGAACCAGAGTAACCGAAATGGCCTAAGATTAAAATTATGGAAGAAAAAAGGTCCTATAGTAGCATTCTCGTACCGGTTAGCGAAATAACCTAGCGGACCCCCACAAAAACGTAACGACGTAGCGAATTTGTGAAGTTTTAGAAACGTTCGCCGCTGGGTATAACACCACAATCACGTTATGTTTTTATCATTATGGTAATATTTTGGAACTTTTTGAACTTTTTTTTAAACATATTTCACTTAACAATAATTGTGTTTATACAATTTTTAAATGAATTTAATAGAATCAGCATGGTAGCGATCACCTTATTACCAGGGGTTATTATCATTCATGTATTCCTTGATATTGTAATAACCCTTTTTGTACAGTTAGTAGAGAACCGGAGGCCCTTTCTACTCGAAAAGAGGCATTCCATGGAGGATAGATGTAGATGCCTATGGGCCACAGCAACCACTTGCCATCAGGTGGACTGTGTGCTCGTTTGTCACCCTATCCTATGAAAAAAAAAACGCAATAAAATCCGTTAAATTAATTTTATTCAAAACATTTGTTACGTTTGTTGTTTTAGGTGATAGCTTGTGAGCCACTGGGTTGCTTGGTGGACCAAAAGGGCAACAAAATCTCCGGATTTGATAGCGACAAGAAACAGGTAAGACTTTCATAAACACAAGACTTACTTTTTTGGTAGTGATATTAAATATTTTATAGTTTAAAAATTCTAAACAGTCTATTGCATTTGAGTTAATAAATTGAATCCGAACGGATTATACCTATTACCTACTTAAATATAATATTATCCTGTGTGGTGATCGGACCAACACAAACAACTGTATGTTATAATATATTTTATCACTGCTTACTTAACCTAGGTGTACATATTGTATTTGTTACACTACTGGTAGGAGCACGGCACACACCACTACATCTGATTAGTTCGCGACATAACTTATATGTTTAATTATTCTTTTTACTTTAGGGTCTTCGACTAACGGATAAACAACGTGTGTCGAGTTGGGAGCTGGTGGAAGGCGGACGGAACCCTGCACCGCTCTCCTGGGCATGGTTTGCTGCTACAAAAATCGAACGAAAACCCCTAACATATGAAAATGCTCACAGGTATTATAAATTGAAAATATATCAGATGGAATAAAGAAGCAGAATAAATATAATTTATTATCCCAGTCAATTAATTATAAAAGGTATTATATTAAGTGTAGGATATTCAATATCATAAAAACTTAATTGGGAAAAAATGGCTTCAGATTTTATATTATTACTTGTCATTATTCATTGCAGGTTATTGAAGTACCACACGCACAGCCTGGTCAAACCATTGAGTTACTATTTAGAGTCACTGCCATTGCCACCTGAAGATTTGGAGACGAACGAAGGCAAACAGGTATTTTTATTTAATTTATTATTTTTAAAAGAGTAATCCAATATTTATCCTATAATAATAATAATTTATGTTTAGGATACTGGCAGTTTGGACTCCAGTCCGACAGGAGCTGGGAAAGGACGTAAGATGCCTTGCAAAAATAATAAGGCCAAGAAGCCAAAAGTTACAACACCAGTAAGTTTAAGTAATTTTACTATCTATATTCTGCATATTATCATAATCTGATGCGTATTTTCCCCCATATATAATCAATTGTTCAATACCTGAATTATTATACTTGAATATCGCTTTATTACTAAAAATGTAGTTACATAACATTTAATTTAATCCTTCATTCATTAATTCTATCAACTTGATATCAGTGGCTTGCTTAAGAGGATCCTTAGTGCAATTCAATGAGTTTTTTTTTTAAATCTTCAGCAGCATACAAAATTCAGTGATTTCCATATCATTTAGCATATAATGATATAATTCTGCGATATATAAAGTATCTTTAGATATCCTGTAGACTAGTTCCCTTTTTCGTTATTAATACATATCGTATGGTATTGTGAGATTTTGTGTTACATACATATCATGGTCTCTTTCAACTTAAATTAAATTGCTGGCACTAGGCTGGGGCTCCCCAGTGCCAGCTCCTTCCATTTGATCGCATCCAGCGCAGAGCGGTTCGAATCGTCAGCGACCGAACTCTTTCTGATCGGCTTGACTCACTGGCACTGCGCAGAGATGTTGGATCTCTTTGCATATTTTATCGCATCTACCACGGGGAGTGCTCTGAGCAATTGTACGGACTAATTCCAGCCGCTCAATTTCACCATCGCACATCGTGACAAAACTCGCGATACCATCCCCACTATCTGGATGATTGGCGGTTCACCACTGTGCGATTTAGAAAAAGTATGACTTTATACGCATAGCGCTTATACGGAAAATTGAATTGAAAACTACTATTATTAAAGTTGAAAATTTTGTTATTACATTTTTATGAGTAGTGTAATCCTCATGGTTCCATTTATTTGAATTGTATGTTTTTATAATTAACTGGATTAAACTTAATATATGTACTTATACCATAAATTGTTATCATTACTTACTTAGAATGCACTGAATACTATTTTTGTATCGCCCTTCAAAATTATCCTTTTTTTTTTTTGGTGGTTTTATTAAAGATGTATCTAAAAGGCGGCATGAAAGTACTGTTTCTTGCAAAAAATCTAGTACTTACTTCCGAATAAAATCGAATAAAAACTCGGCAAAAGGAAAAAAATCTTATCGCATCAAGAAGTGCGTTCACAGGGTATCTGTGCATACCATTGATGAACAAAGCATGAAACAAAAGATGCACTCTACTCATTTCTTCGCGCCTGCGCAGAGAAGAGTAGTGTCGCGCATGCGCGGTTGGTTTTTATCATAGAATATATTACTTAGGTAGAATGATCAGTAGGTATGTAATAATAGATTGTTAGATTGTATTGCTAATTATGTAAATTATATCAAGTACAGTTTTTAAAATAAGTCTTTTATTTAAATATTTTAAAAGGAAACTATGTAAAATATTTAAAACAAATACTAAAGGTATGTTTAACAAAACGTATTAATATAACATTTAATTCAAAATATATTTATTTAGATTAGAATAAGACCTAATAAAATTCTGGGCACGTGAGAGTCAAAAACGGACGGATCTATTCCACTTTTCTCTGTTTTATGAACGTGGCTTGGACGTGAATTCCTAAAAATTAAATAAAAGAATAATCAGCAAATTTAAACATCAGAAATTTAGCCTAATTATGAATACTTCTATTTGATTCTACAAAAAAAAACGTGCATAATATAATTGTCCTACACTTACCCACAGAAACGTCGCATCTGAACAAATTAAGTTCATAATCTATATTCCATGACACGCGAGGGTGTCTTAAGAATAATTTGTACTATTAATCTTTAATACTTTTTTATTATTATTTAAGTATCTTATTCAGTGATGAAAAGTTATACCTTGGTATTTGCTAATTTTTCTTGACTTATTTGTGCAATATCTAAAACACCATGCCTGGCAGGCATATTTTATCATTTTTTTTTATATAATCAACACATCACGTGTCAACTCCTTACGTGGCACTAACGACTAAGCGAGTGACTGAGTAAAGTGCGGCGATATCACCGCAATTGGATGGAACAGCGTAACTTAATGTAGTGTCGCCTCTAGTACGTAGTATATAATAGCTCAATGGTAAATACCCAATAAAAAAGGTACGCCGATGGGTTTTAACCTCAAGTCTTTGACTATTAACGGGAACGATAACTGAAGTTTTTGTAATTATAGTGACACGCGCACTGAGCATGTACAAACTAGGAAATCTACTGACAAGCGCTATGCTTCACAAATTGTAGCCAGTTTCATGAGTCTGCAATACAAAAAAGCATACAGTGCATAATGCGCGTGCGAAAATTTTGGAGTGAGATGAAATATTTGACAGATTTCATATCGGGGAAGTTAATTTGTCAGAAAAATTTAAGGGTTAATGTTTCTTTTTGTCCTATTTGTTATATTTTATATTAATTATATTTGAAATAAATAAATTAAACTACGGATATTCCTAAAGGTAGAAAATTAAAAAAAAGGAGTAAAAAAAATATGCAAAAAAGTAAATACCAAACCAATGGTGCATTGTTTTATGTATTAACATAATAATCTAGAAACTGATAAAATTTTATTTAAAGCTAACTTCATTATTAAATGATATTGTGTAACAAAAAGTTTCACCTCGGTCCCCATTGACGACATATGGTGAGTGAGCAGAAAATGATAAGACCTCATTGTGTCCGTTGTGTCAGACGGGCGGCGGGGGAGCGGTGGGTGCGGTGGGCGCGGGCGGCGCGGCGGGCGCGGGCGGCGCGCCGGCCGGCCTGGCCGCGGCGCCGCAGCAGCAGCCGCAGTTCATGCAGTCGCAGCAGCAGTGGTTCCCGCCGCCGGGCCCCACTTACTACAACCCACCGGGTAACTCCGCGGCTTTTTATACAATAACGGTGACAAACGAGCACACGGGTCCGCCTGATGGTAAGTGAATGCTGTGGCTAATACACATCTACATTTATCCTCAATTTTTTTAACAGTGGTAGAGCCACGCGACAGCTTTTGCTGTCGCACGGATGGGCCGGCTCGAACCGGGGTGGTACCACGACCTCACAGAATACCAGCGTGAAGTAGAGGTTTACCTCTGCGTTTCGTTTGGTGAGTGCAGGTGGCCGGAGGCCCTTTTTACTGGAAATGAGGCATTCCATCTTAGTCCTCACGGGTGACAACGCATCTGCATTTTGATTCGCAAACGAGGATAGATGTAGATGTCTATGGGCCGCAGCAACCACTTACCATCAGGTGGACTGTGTGCTCGTTTGTCACCCTTATCCTATAAAAAAAATGTATCAAAATGCAGATGCGTTATCACCGCTGAGGACTGAGATCGAATGCCTCGTTTTCAGCAAAAAGGGTCTTCGGTTCTCTACACTCGCCATACGAAACACAAAAGCGTTAAGCTGCTATTTTACGCTAGTATTCTGTGAGAGCGTGTTCCTACCACAATTGAGCCGATCCATACGTGCTACAATAATAATATAGCTGCAACTTAGCTCTACACGTAATAAAAACGACTCTACAACACTATTCTCTCTGGTAACTACACGCTATGTCACTACAATACACTTGTTAACTGCACGTTACGACATTAGTTTACCTTTTCCAGGTTATATGCTACGACTGGATTCAACATAAAATGAATATTGATAGTAATACCGATATTTAAATATCGATAATCTGTTTGAACGCCTGTTTCAACCACAGACATATAATAGAGTAGCAGACCAAGCATTAATCCATAGTTATATCTATAGAGATGGCCATGATTCTTTATCCTTTTTTTTTTGCTAAGTATGAAGTCGTAAACAGTATCCCGTTTTGTCAACTGTCGTAACACTGACTGATACATAGACAAAATTTCATGCGTAGCTTGTCCCATCCCGTGCCGCCATATTGATAAGCAACATCTGCAACATAACCTGGGCCAGGGCCGAACTAGGGCCAAACTAGAAGGAGAGTTGACTGCTGTCCATCGTCCTCTTAAAATACTCCTTTAGTCGCCTTTTACAATAACTACGGGAATATATGGGTTGTTCTATTCGTTAAAACTTAATTGATAAGTAATCTACACTTCTTATACCCAGAGAATATCGATTTTTGCAGATTTTCAGTAAGTATATCGGTTGTTTTAATATCGTTAAATAATATCAGCAACCGGCCCAAGTACGGCCCTGTAATAACAACCATTACCTATGTGTGCGTAATGACTACGCAATTTTTGAAGTGCCATCTCTCAATTCGATTTATTAATATAATTCAAAAATAATTATTTTGAAAGTCTTTCCAAGCAGCCGTTTCTGATTTTCTCAACTATTTTTTTATTACTTTATGACCATTGTTTCGCCATGAGGTTTGAATTATTTCCAGATATTTTTACACATTGCCTAATGGTTAAGGATATAGACCGCAAAATTGGTGGATTCAAATCCGCAAATGATTCGACTAATGTCGTGAACCACTCGTAGTATAAGAAATGATAGTTTATTTCGAGTGGTTTACGGATGTGGTATTAGTAGTGTTAACTAAAAAAAAATACATAAAGCAACACATTTGTATTTTTTGTTTCGAGTGCAATCAAGTATAAATATAATCGATGTTTTTCGATATTTTAATAACATTAATGAATTTGGTTTATGTGTCGATATTATCGATATTACTGGACTTTCGATATATCGTTAAAAGTCTAGTTACAACAATGGACTAAATACTAACTGAACACTCAATTTTACGATATAACTGGGCGCTCTAACTCTTCAAACCCAATAACTAGACGCTACCATTCTACACTTACTCCGTAACTGCATGCTACGTCACTACAATAATTACAATTCGACGGTAATTGCGCACATTTTGGCAGGCGGGTTGGCAACCGTAGTTTCTTTTATTCTTGAGTTGTTATTAGAAAGACGTTGCAGCCCATCTACTTTAAGTTTTCCTCAATCGTCTATTACGACACCTGCAGGACGATATGGTGAAGTGGAATATCTTACGCCGCCACTACTGTGCGACTTGTATCTAAAGCCTGTGAATTTTGTGTGTCAATTATCAAATATCTATATATCATATATTTTATACGTGGTAGAGCCCGTGCTGCATTTCGTATGGTGAGTGTAGAGAACCGGAGACCCTTTTTACTGGAAAAGAGGCATTCCATCTTAGTCCTCACGGGTGACAACGCATCTGCATATTGATTCACAAATGGGGACAGATGTAGATGTCTATGGGCCACAGTAACCACTTACTATATGGTGGACTGTGTGCTCGTTTGTCACCCTATCCAATAAAAATAAAATATGGGCGTCAATTATTTTGTTGTATTTATTTAAATTAATCTTTAGCATGCTGCATAGGTCTAAGGAGAAGATGAAGAAAGATGATGGAGAAGAAAGTCTAAGAGAATCCATCATTTAATATCGCCCCGTGGTTTTAGTAAGAGGCGACTATGAGAAATGTCACAAAAAACTAATGGTTTCCGACAGATGGCGGAATAACTATATCGCATATACCAAACGTATAATATCCAGACAGGTGACAGGCTGCAGCGTCAAAGGTCTGCGTTCCTCATTGCGTGACTATTAAGGAAAATCCTCCGTGCAACAGAAAAGACCAATGTCTAGCAGTGGACTTTTACCGGTCGATGAAAAAGATGAAGATGCTGATAAGTCGCAAGATGTTGGCTGTTTTGTAAAATGCAAATTTGACTTTGCGTCTTGCTTGGGGATACAACGTATGGTGTTAATGTCTCGTATTATTATTAAATTGTCTATACTTACCGATATTTATTTAATTTTCCTTTTTTTATGGACGCTCTGCACTCCTTAAGGTAGACCTATGTTCAGCTTTGGACCTGGGTATGAAAATAATGATTCAATTTATTATGCGTAATATTAAATTCTGTTTGTAACCTTTTAGCAGCGGGCGTGAGCCCACGTGGAGTCTCACAACCAGCCAACACTCAGTCCAAACAGGCTCTCAGCAACATGCTACGACAACGCGTGCCCTTCAACCAAATGACTCAAATGCAGGTAAACATTATTTCATTTATCAAAAGTATGAATCTAATTAGCATGGATGGAAAACGATCATAGTTTGCGATGGTTAGAGTTCGCTGTAGTTCATAGACAATCTGGATGAGTTAATTTTTGTTGCCACCCTTCAAGACTTAAATGGAATGTCCTTTTAGACATTCCATTGAAATCGAAAAAGGAGTGTGATATCTTTTTTGTTTTTATTAAAATGTACATGTGTAACAGATATTTCATTACATTTTTAATCTATATTCATTCGCAGAGCGCTGGATATCCAGGTGCGCCACACGCAAGAGGGCCATTCCCACGGCAAGGCATGAGACAGATGCAACCAAATCAAATGAGTCAAATGCAACCAAAGTAAGTTAATAAATAAGTGCTTCCTGTACTGTTTTTATTATTTGTGAATAATTATGTTTATCGTTTAGATTCAGTGCCGGCTTTAGGGGAGGGGAGGGAGGGCAAGCCGCCCAGGGCGCCACACGCGCCAGCTTACAGCTTCACCACTTAATTTAATTTTAATGACCATCTCAATTTATCAAAATCAAATTTAAAATAAGTTTTAAGTAAAATCAAACTAGCGACCCATCCGCGGCTTCGCCCGCGTAAATGCCACAACATCGGCTATAATTTATACAATATCGTTATAAATTATAGCCTATGTGTTTTCTGATGTATAAGCTATATTACTGTAAAGTTTAATCAAAATTCGTTCAGTATTTTTGCGTGGGAGAATAACAAAGCATCCATACATACATGCTAACATACCTTACAAACTTTCACGCGTGTAACTAGCTGGATATAAAAGGGCGCCAAAAGAATCACCCGCCCGGGGCCCTTAGGTGGTTAAAGCCGGCCCTGTTTAAATTGTAACTGAAGTGACAAACGAATGTCCAACTGATGGTAAGTGTCTACTGCAGTCCAGGGACATTTGCAACAACAAATAACACTACAGATGCGTTGTCACCTCGCAGGACTGAGACGGAATGCCTCACAGCCTGCAATTATTCTGGTTCTCTATATCCTTTAGACCAGGACAACACATCAGTACAAGCACTGTTAGAAGCATAATAAAGCAGTACTTGCTCTGCTAGCACAGGCGTAAGTAAAGTTTGGTACCGAGACAGATGGACTCTTGGGCAAAAAACCACTACTTACGAAACTGCAAAGAGATGTTAAAAGCAAAAAGTTATTTTTTAAAAGCAATTTAGTATTTTACTTATTTGTATAATGTTTTTAAGGTGTTAAGTTTTAGTTGCCAACACTGTTTTTAAAGAATTGTATTTTTAAGTATTAGAAACTTAAACTTAAAAAAAAAAGTAAAATCTGACTGAAGAGACTAAAATAATTTGCAGGTTTGTGAAGTTAGTGCTCTAATTCAGAAGAAGAAGAGATTCTTAATTCTTATATGTATACTATGTCTTAGTAGTTTTAATATTTTTACCCTTCTGAATGGCCTAAGCAATAGAGCAATACGGTCCACCGGCGAAAAGTAAGCTCGGTGGGCCGTGTTTCTCTATACCATAAGCTCAATGTAGCTCAACTAAAGTATCGTCTAAATACTTATATGCAAAACTCGATCGCCTAATTTTCCATCCTTGTAGGTGGAGTTACTTTTCAAATTTATATGGAACCCCAGAAGCATAAACTATTTGACGCCTTAAGTGCAAAGCGCGTAGGTATGTTCTACTAGCGCCTAAAAATCAAGATTCCAACGTTTTGTCGCATGAAATCGTATCTAAAAATCATATTGAACATATAAATGATATAAAAAGCATATTGTCAGAAACATAAATAATTGTTGAACTTATTAATATTTTTTTTAAATCGATTAATTGCTATTTTTACATAAAAAAGTGGTTTCAGTGACTTATGGTGTAGATTTATTACACGATAACTTTTGAAAATATCAATTGTTTAACTCAATCTATTTTTTAATATCTTCATCTATGATGTGGGAAACCATGGACAGTTTAATTTTGTTTTGTTTAGTTATAATTAATTTTTTCGGCTGCGAAATGTCGAAATTTTCGGTGTTTTAGCAGCCTTGTATTAATTTATTTTACTAAATAGACTGCCTCACTCACTCACTTGTCGTGAGTAGATACTGTATCGGTTATTAGCAGCGGCTCAAAAAGATCGCTGTACAAATACAAAATATTCGAAAAACCAAATTTCATACATACTTGATAATCAGAGATTTTTATTACAATATTTTAAAAGCACAGAATAAATAATAGTAGTACGTACTAAAAGTAAGTAGGATGTATATATTTATACTTAAATACGTCTTGGACTTTATGGAGTGACCTGAATGATGATATGATGATCATGAGCATTATGAGTATTGCACTTTTGGATTTTCCAAACTTTTTTTTAAATTGAAGTTTGACATAAAATTATCGGAAAATTGGAAGCATAATATGGTTATTAGTGAAAACTTGTGTGTGTTTAAACTACTTTTAAAAAAATTTCGTATAATCATGTTATACATAATTTTTTTAATGCGCTTAGGGCATGCACAATTGGATTTACCATTAGTTTGATATTAATTTTATCTATACAAATAAATAAAATTAAAGTTTGTTTGTTATGTCAAAATAACAGCTTTTTACTAAATGCATATGAAAGTATATACGATACTTATAACAAAAGAAACAATTTTTAAAATTTTTGCCTGTCTATCGGTCTGTCTGTTTGTTCCGGCTAATCTGCGAACTTTTATTGCTCGTTCTTTCAGTCAAATGAACCCAATGAGTGCTATGGGCAACATGGGTCCCATGAGTCAAATAGGTGGCGTTCAAATGGGACCTGGACAAATGGGCGCAGGTCAGATGGGAAGCGGTCAAATGGGTCAGGGACAGATGGGCGGCGGTCAGATGGGAACCGGACAGATGCCCGGGATGGGGGGACAAATGTTCGGCGGACAATACGGCGGTATGCAGCAAGGATATGGTGGCTATGGACAGCAGATGATGCAAGGTGGACAACAACAAATGATGAACCAGGTAAATTAGCATAATATATAAAATTTTCTTATAAAAAGAAGTATTCATTTAATAAACGTAGGACAAGTGGTCTCAACATTATACTTTGTATTTCAAGTACCAAATCTTTACCTAGTATTAGTTGAAACTGTAATAGTGTTGTACTCTCTGTTGTATTGCTTGTACTTTTGTATGATAATCCTTTTTTGATGAATTGTTTTTATTAATTTTATATATAAAATTCCGGTCTGTTCGTTAGATTCATTAGCAGATAGTTCTTCTCCTTGTAAAACGGCATGACCGAATTTGATAATGTTTTTGTTTCTTTTTGTTACTGATACAACTTATTGTTCAATAAGAAATAATATGTTTATATCGTATAGGTAACAACTAAATGTTATGAAATTACAAAACTTACTTTACATTGTTTTCAGGGCATGGGGCAGAGTGTAAATCAAATGGGTCAACAGGTAAATCAGATGGGGCAAGGAGTGAATTCGATTGGACAAAATGTTGGACAAATGAATCAAGGTGTTGGACAAGGGGGACAGATGCCACAAGGCATGGGACAGATGGGTCAAAGTATGAGTCAAATGGGACAGGCAATTGGTCAGATGGGACAAATGGGACAAGGAGGAGGTATGGGAACAATGAATAGTCAAGCGACATCGATGGGACCACAAGGAGGCAACGCCATGGGTGGATTCCCCGGGCAGCAATCATTCCAACAGGTATTTTTTTTAAAAGCAGTTAGACAATTATAATGATACTAGTTATTATAGTTAACAATACTATCTTAGGATTATACTTAAAAAAAATCTTCTATGAATTTAGCAATCTTGCTTACAAAAAAAAAAATACTCTGGATACATAAAATTGTATTAAAACAATTCGTATTTACATGTTACCGAAACCTAGTGTTTTATTACGTTTAACCTTACCGTGTTATTGATATAGTTTTTTATTTTGTTTTAGAACATGATGAGTGGTAGAGCAAGTCAAGAAGCATTCTTGGCTCAACAAAGGCAGAATGCACGGCCTCAGTATATGCAGGTGAGAAACTTAATATTATTACAAAGTAAAGCAGACTACAATACAATATTCACCACTGCTAAGCACAAGCTTTCTCTCATTTCTGAAAGGGTTTTAAAGTAGAAAAGGGTCCTTTGCGCTACCACAATGCATGTTGGTGAATTATTTTTTTTATAGTAGAGGTACGAGCTATACGAACGATATATAGACGATACGAGCATATGCGGCTCACCTGTTGGTAAGTGACTACCGCCGTCCATAAACAACTGCAACACCAAGGGAATTGCAGATGCGTAGCCGGTCTTTTAAAAAGGAGTAGGGTCATGCATGTTGGTAAATATCACATCTATAAGCCCATCAAAAGTACGTAGCTGAAAATAAGCCTCTCCATAGTTAGGCTTATAGAAACATATTTGCGACAGTTACTACGCTTGGTAAGTTGGCAACCGAAGCTTTTTTTTGTTATTGGGTTATTATCAGAAAGAGGCTGCTATCCATAATATCCTCCGTCATCTCTTAAACACTTAAGGGATGAAGTTATAGTGGATTCTCTCACGTCGCTACTACATAGCTAGTATTTCATGTCCTAAATAAATAATTTCAGATTTCTTTGCTTATTTTTTTCCCGCCTTCCTATAAAGAATACGTCACCACGTAAAATTGCAATTAACAATTTCACTGGTGCCGGCAGAATAGAATTTAGTTTGTTCGTGCACAATGAAATTTTAAGAGCAGTAATGACCTTGGTTTTTATAACTTTCATTTTAAATTCCTTGCGTTATGAATGCCTTGCAACAATTATGGTGACGATACTCAATAGTGATGAAATTAAAAATGAGGTTTGTAAAATATACGCGATAAAATTCTGTTAAAATATTAAAATTAGTGCACAGCCATTTTGAGATTAATATTTTTTGTTTTAAGATAAGTACTAGAGGTATAACAGTATAAAATAAATATTTTTTAAACATATTTCTTATCCTGAATTTTTTTACACACATGAAGTAAGTTTACAATTATTATAAGCAAATAAAGTTACCGTAAATATATTAGTATAAACACTCCTTAGTATATCTTCTATATTATTATGTGACCAGAGTCGTTGTAACTGTTATAACTAGTGTAACTGTGATATGGTTGTTGAAGCATTAATTTTAAAATATCAGTAGACTCTGCGCTGTTCTTATAATGTAATTATGGGAGAGGCTTAAGTACAGCTGTGATGTGTAACTGATAACGAGGTGACAATGACGCGTTCATATGTTAGGCGCCGAACGTGACGATGGGCGGCATGGGCGGGCCGGCGCCGCCGTACCCGCGCGGCATGCAGCCGGCGCAGGGCGCGCAGTACCAGCAGCAGCTCACGCCGCAGCTGCGCATGCGCCAGCAGATGCTCGCCATGCAGCAGCAGCAGCAGGGCCCGCTCGTGCAGCACCTGCAGCGCCAGCAGTACCAGCCGCCCTACTAGGCCTCGCCACACACTACCACACACACGCTCACTACACTCAATTGTACGTAATCACACAAAATGGATCCAACCCAAACTCGGCTCAAAAATGAGTTACATATTCAAAATTAGGGGCTTTTAATCTTTCATAACACAAGAGAAATAACAAAAAAACATCTAACTCAAAACAGAGGACTTCTTTATAACTAAACGCTGACACATGAATTATTTATTTTAAAAAAATTACTTCCTTTCTAGGAAACTTCTAGAAGACATCAAACGTCAATATTTCAAAAGTAGCCTTGTGTGAGTTAGATCCATCTTGTGTAACAAAGTTAATTATACCTATCAATTTCTCCTACATTATCATATATTGTCAACGTGACGAGATAAATAATATAAACAAACAAACTTCCGTGCCTAAATATTTTATATGGGATTTTTTATAAATATTGAAATACCTATAAACTACATTTATTAACAGTTGTCGTTTGTATTAGATATAATCGCTTTAGGTATTCTTTACAATTTTATAACATTGCTGGAAGTAACAAGTGAAATTAAAAAAATCTATTTATATCAGGAACTAAGCCCCATGTACCACAAATTTTGACTTTTGAAGGATGCTGTGGCCCATCGACACCTATATCTCATCATTGATTGAAAATAGTTTTCTTATCATAATATTCTATTAACAAACGAAATTACAGTCCAGGTGGACTGGTAAATAGAATGGTAAATGGCTACTGCAGCTCATGGACACCTGCAACTAACTTGGAATAAAGAGCTACAGACGCGTTGTTGTCTCTAAGGACTAGATGGAATGCCTCGCGGCTTGTATAATACTGACTCTATAACAATTTCAGCAGTATTAAATGCAAAACAAACCAGATAAACTCACCACTCGCAACCATAATGCAGCTCAATTTTAGTCAGCCTATTTACATTCTTAATCTCGTCCGTTGGCCCCACCTTATGAAGATTAAATACAGATAAATACAATTATTTTCTTATAAAAGTATTTATCAATAATTATCCGTTATATTATGATACAATCTAGGTGACACAACTTCAAGTAATTTTAATGGGCTTGCAGTCCACCTTGATCATCATTGGTCACTGCAAACTGAATTGACCTCCAGGTCTCAAATGGAATGTATGTAATTACATAGAGTATTATAATTTATTAAAGTTAAATTAAAATATTATTAGGTACATATCAACCCTTATCGAAATTATAAATAAAAAACGAAAATGCAGACGGATATAATAATATCACGAAAGATTCCAGTTATATTTAATATCTTGTTCTTCTTAAAATCGTACTGGAATGATTTATATTTTGATATTAAAAGTGATAAATAAGTAAATTTTGGAAAATTTAATATTTTTGTTTATATAAATTGTAATAGGGCACTGTTTATTCAATCCTTGGAAAAAGCAGCAGTGGCTAACGATGTCGGTCCCTTATGCGAGGTGACAAATACACCAAATAGTAATTATTGTTATAAATATTACAGCGCCGTAATTCTAAATAGATTACCTAATAAATAATAATGTAAGTGTGATAAATACATTGTTTTAGGTAAGTTGTACACATACATTTTGTACATATTATTATCATATCGTACTATCTTGAGTATTATAGTTCTATGTAAATCTATGTATAAAATTTACAAATGGTCATCTTGTATATGTATGTTGAGATATTAATCATAATTTATAAATTACCTTAGTATTTATTATGTAAAATGTATGAATAAATGACCACAACATACACATACAAATAAAATTAAATTTCTAATTGTTATTTAATTTTTATTTGTTTTCTTTTTAAATATCCGACAATAATTTAATATAGTCAGAGTTCACATGTGGTATATTTTTGTTACATGCTGTACACATTATGTACAATCTGAGTTTGATCGGTATTCGTTTTAAGCTTAGTGAATATAATTTGTAAATACTCCCCTAAAATATACAAGGATGTAGATATTTGTTTTTTTTTTAATGATAATCCTTTCGATATAAATTTAAATTTTCGTACATTATACTCTTTTCATTATTACATGTCAAAGATAGAGGGTAGAAGATAACAAAAATAACTTTTAATAAAAAGTAAAAAGAACTAAAAAGAATTAAGTAATTTCACATTCTTAAGTTTGGGGGTGCTGCTGTCTTCTCGGTTGGTCGATGTTATGACTGAATATAAGGTTGTGAACTCAAGACTTCTCTGGGTTCGCTTTAAATTGGGACTGACGAAATTATTCCTTTTGGCTGTTTATGCGCCGGTAGCTTCGTCGTCCAGGGCTGAGCTGGAGGAGTTTTGGGAGAATGTAAGAGAAGTTCTAGATTTGGCTAGAGGAAACGAAAGAATTGTTGTATGTGGTGATTTGAATGGATAGTTGGTACCGCTCGACCAGGGTACGAGTCGGTACTTGGAAAGTTTGGCGATAAAAGGGTTAATGATGCTGGCAAGCTTATACTGGCGGTGTGCAAGGAAAGGGGTCTTCTTGTGACAAACACTATGTTTAATCACAAGAAAATCCATATGTATACTAGAGAACGAAAGAATGAGAGAAGTATGATTGATTTGTTCCTGGTGGATGACCGACTGCGAAAACAGGTGATGGATACGCGAGTGTTCAGGGGTGCTGACCTGGGAACGGATCACTATCTAGTGATTACTAGATTTAGGGGCCTGTTCGCGGGTTGGCGCTACCGGACGGCAGTAACAGAACCACAATCGGTCTGTCGCATCCGAAGCTGGAAGCTTCAGGAAGCGGATACTAGGGACAAATATCATGCGAGGGTAGCCGAAAAGCTAGACACCATCGATGGCAGAAAAGAATGTGTAGAAAGAACATGGCAGAACCTTAGGGATGGAATGGTAAGTGCAACGGGAGAAGTGCGTGGAACAATAAAAAGAGGCAGTAGTAAAAGAAGAGATGCATGGTGGAATGATGAAGTGAAAGAAGCTGTAAAGAAGAAGAAGAAAGCATGGTTAGACTACTTGGCCTCTAGTAATGATAAGAATATGAGAGAGAAGATGAAAGAAAGATATAGGCTGCAGAAAGTTCACACGAAAGCATTGATTGAGGAAGTGCGTGAAAGGTGTAGAATGGAAGCGGACGAAAGGTTGTCGCACAACTTTAAGGAGAACTCCAAACTCTTCTGGAAAGAGGTTGGAAGGACCCGAAGTGGTGCGACGGCCTTAAGAATAAACAAAGTGCTTTCGAGAACTAATGACGTCCTCAGAAAAATCGGACGTCATGCAGCGATGGAGCGAATTTTATAGAGAAATGTATGCGTGTGATGATCTTAGTGAGGGATCCGGGGATGACGCCGTGACTGGTACGCCAGACCCGGACCTCGATCACACTGAGGTCATCAGTATGAAAGAGATTGAACGTGCGATTCGAAGTTTGAAATGTGGTAAGGCTGCGGGACTAGACAGAGTTACTGCTGAAATGGTCAAGTATGGTGGGCCTCGCGTCTGGGACAGCTTTCATCTGCTGTGCAATTTGTGCTGGCGGACGGGGGATGTCCCGGATGATTGGCGATCCGCAGTCATTGCGCCTTTATATAAAGGTAAAGGTTCACATTTTGACTGCGGGTGCTATCGAGCGATCAGGTTGACCAGTTTAGCAAGTAAAGTTTACTCGAAGGTTTTGACACGTAGGATGCAAGAGAAATCGGAAAGATTTCTATGGGAGGCACAATACGGATTTAGACCTGGAAGAGGATGCACGGATCAAATGTGTTCTCTCCGCATGATCACGGAAAAGCTTCTGGCTGCTAACCAGAAGATTTTCTGTGCTTTTGTGGATCTTGAGAAAGCATTTGATAAGGTTGTAAGGAAGAAAATGTGGGAACTGTTGCCGGGGTATGGTGTGGATGGTCGATTGCTAAGGGCTGTGCAGTCTCTTTACTGTGACTGTAAAGCCTGTGTGCGGGTAGGGCATGACCTGTCACCCATGTTTAGCATCCAAACGGGCGTAAAACAGGGTTGTGTCATGTCTTCCTGGCTGTTCATACTGTATCTTGACAGCTGTTTATAGAATCTGAAAGATAGTTGTTTGGGCGTGAAATTGGGTGACATAAAAGTAAATTGTCTGCTGTATGCTGATGATGCAGTGCTTATTGCACCATCAGAGGCAGAACTGCAGGCATTAGTCACGTGTATGAAAGAGGAATGTGAAATTAAAGGTCTCCGTTTGAATGCTAATAAAACTAAGGTTCTGGTATTTGAAAGGGACGAAGAGAGAACTAAGTGTGAAATATGGGTAAATCAGGAATGTCTAGAACAGGTAAATGAAATTGTATACTTGGGGAGTGCTTTTAGCCGGGATGGAAGATGTGATTTAGATGTGGGCAGGCGTGTCGCTGCCGGGAATAAAGTCAATGGTGCCCTGACTGCGTTAGTCAAAAGGCTAGGCGTAGTGAAGAGTGCACGCCTTGCAATACATAACGCAGTGTTGGTACCGACTTTGTTATATGGCAGCGAAACCTGGGTATGCCAGAAGAAGCATAAAAACAAGTTGAATGCAGTGGAGATGCGATCTCTTCGTAAAATGTGCGGCGTTACCATAGCCGACCGAAAGCGAAACGAAGAGATTCGCGGTTTGAAAGATGACCTTATCACAAAAATTGATAAGGGCGTGCTTCGGTGGTTTGGGCACGTTGAGCGAATGAGTGAAGACCGAATGGTGAAGAAAATATATAGCGCGAAAGTTAATATTAAAAGGTGTCGAGGTAGACCGAGACTAAATTTCGAAGACCATGTGAGCAAATTGCTCGAAGAGGGTAGGGTCAAGAGTACTCGGATACCTAGACGTGCATGTATGAAGAAGATAATTAATCTGAAAGAAGCGAAAGAGGTATGTAAGGATCGTGACACTTGGCGATCTGTTCTCTCTGGCTACCCCGTCAGGGATTGTGCGTGAAGATAAGTTGATGTTTCGTCTCCAAATTTATAAAGGTATATAAATATATTTATATGAAGTATAACTTATTTAATA